AGCTCGCGAGCTGGCCGATCTGACGGTTGGGCCGGAACATATATAACATAACCTAAGAGCGCTTAAAAAAGAGAAATGGTTAGTCGATTCCGAAATCTGCCTTGGGTCTCTCTAAAAAGCCGTATCCTGTACCTACAGGGATAAGTCCTTACGTGGCGTTGCAGCCAGCCTTGGGCATTCCGTGCCCTAATTGAATTCTCTAATTAGCCCATTACTAGGCAACACACAATTTACATCCCCGCTTCCCAGATTAAAGAAATTGCCAAATACCGATTTTGAGAATTACCATTTACAATCTTTGTCCTAGAATCTCGACTTTAACAATGTTGAAAAATCATACGCTATTGGAGGACCAGCACGATGGGGAGCAGCAGCTAGACGAATTATGCATTGTCTGTAGGGATATCGATTTAAGGCCATACTTATTCCAAGATTCGTGGGTGGCAACAGTGAGGTTAGGAGAATTCCAGGACATCTTGAAGAGGAAACACTGCGCCTTATGCAGGATAGGTGGTGTCGGGATTCGGCGAGAAGTATCTCTGGGTGGATGCGTTGTGCATAGTACAAGATGGCGAGGACAAGCAAACTCAGATCTCTCAGATGGATAAAATCTATGGTTGTGCGACTTTGACTATTGTTGCTCTTGCAGGCGACAATGCCAACACTGGCCTACCTGGGATAGGCACTACTCTACGAACCGTCGTTCAATACTCCGAAACTATTCACGGCCTCAATCTGGTTGCAAAATCCCCTGAACTGTCTGGACTTCTCGATGCATCATGCTGGGAGTCTCGTGCTTGGACGTTTCAAGAAAGAATTCTCTCCCGGAGACTGTTGTACTTTACCGAAGCTCAAATACATTTCCAATGTCGTTCTTGCATTTGTTGCGAGGACATCTACGGAGAGTATTCAAGGAGCACTAGGATTGCCTCTGGGGCCGTAAACCCATTAGAGCGAGAGGTTTGGGCTACAGATGCAGCCTACAGCCCAGTTTTCAATATATATGAAGGACTGGTAAAATCATATTGTGGGAGGCAGCTTTCATACCACTCCGATATACTGAACTCATTCTCTGGCATTATGTCAGCGCTACAAGAACTCCACGGATTGAAATTCATCAGCGCTCTTCCTGAACAAGAATTTGGCTTAGCATTGCTTTGGCGGCCGATGGCTAGTTGTCGGCCGCGATTCAGGCTTAATCCAGATGAAGAAGGGTCTAGTTTTGATAAACTTCCTAGCTGGTGCTGGTCGGCTTGGGAAGGCAACATTTATTGGGACGCTTGGCGAATTGCAGCTATGCTGGTAAAGATATTCGGTTTAAGAGTAAAGTGGAAGATTTCGCAGTCAAGGATAAGACTGGGTGGCGCAGCATAAATCTAACCCCCGAACATGATATTCTTGACCATCAACCTCCGGCAACTTCTCTGACATCTCTCTCTTCGGAGAAAATTACTACGAGAGATCATGGGATATCTGAAGATTCCCTTCCAGATGTGCCCGTGATACGTTTCTGGGCAGAAGCAATCCAACTCGGAAAACTCTGTATCTCCTCTGAGAAAACACTTCCCGAAGACAGCGGCTATACCGTTTCCTCACTGAGTTGGCTTGAAACATTTAACAAAATATGGATATACGATACAGAAAACCATCATTGCGGCACTCTCGCCGGGGACGAGTCGTTGCAGGTTAACATCGGCGATATCTCAAAATACGAGCTCATCCTCCTTTCACGCTGCTATCAAGACGTTGTAACTGATGCAGATATAGAAGCTAGCTTGGATAGTCTACCGACGGAGTATCCGGGAAGCCAAGAGTACTATCGGGCGGTGTTTGATACGAATTTCTTTGTTCCCACGGAGGACTGGGCATTGAATGTCATGTTGGTTGAGCGGAGAGAGGGCTATTTTGTACGTCTGGCCGTTGGTCAAATTCATAGCGGTGCTTGGGAGAAGGCAGGTTCGTGTAAGAAGCTTGTGAGATTGGCTTGATTCTCTTTGTGTCTTGCATTGATAAATATTAGTAGAAGATATCAAATGGAAGTATTTGATTTTTTTCATATTTTTAATTTTTTAATTTTTAAGTCCCGAGATAGATATATCATCACCGATATTATAAAATGTATTCGACGACTATTTCCGACAGAGATACCCAAGCCTCTTTAGGTATAAACGATTATAAGAAGCTCTTTCTTCATGGCATGGCAGGGGGCTTGTTGACACTGCCTCCTTTATATCCTGTAGGCTGATTGCAATGGAGGACAGGGGATGGTTGATGATGCATTACAGAAACCTCACCACACATACACAAACCCACAAGCTCAGCAAATACACAAACCACTCACTCACTCACTCAAGACACTCAAATTCATAAACCCTCTCAATTCTCATTCTACGTACACTCTCCCTATCCACCATCCACCATCCACCTATCCATCCACCCCCCCATCCCTCCCTGCGTCACCCCACCTCCCCCATCACATCATCACAGATACAACCCCCCCTAAAAGATCGCCCCCCACTCCCATCAAAAAAACAGCGCGATAAAAAAACAACAAAAGCAGGAAAACAAAGAACAAGAGTAGAAGAAGAAGGAGAAAAAAAAAGAGTAGTAATCCATAATAATGCTAAAACAACAGCTGTAAAATGTGTCTCCTCTCGGAGGGAAGACAGAAATGGGCATCCTGAAGTCCAATACGATCCATCCATCCATCCATCGGTTCTTGTGCGGTGTAGTGTCGCGCGGTGACGGTGAGGTTGCTGAGGTCGATGTCGAAGAATCGGAAAGCCAGAGATCCATCCATCCATCCATCCATTCATGCTCGCAATATCTCAAAATCGAAAAAGTAATTCCGCAGCTTCTGCACGCCGGAAACAGATCTCACTAACAAAACAACAAAATATGCGAAAAAAACCACGAAGATACCAAAGGAAAAGAGTAGATAGAACCAAGGAAAATAATTTTGGGAGCCGGTAGTAGTGGAGTGGTGTATGGTGGTAGTTTTTAATTTGGAACCAACCGCCCATCAAATCCACAACATCCCATCCCCAATCTTTCGCTGCCATCTTTGCCGCGCTGTGCTGTCCCATATCCGTTTCTAATTTTTCTTTTCGTTCTCGAACCGAAGAGGTAAAGGGCCAAGTTGTAAAGGCACCCCGTTGTACAGTGAGGGTCATTATCGTTGTTGAGAGACCGGGTTGGTAGGTAGGTGGGTAAGGTTGTGCATGTGCGCGCGCGCTGTAGCGGATTCTCCTCGAGGGGTGGGTGCGGCGGCAGAGGTTATGGTACAGAAGAATGAGGAGGAGAAGGAAGCTCGAATGAGGGCGGCTGGCTAATGGGAAAGTTGGATGTAGCCAATTCTATCCGCTGTGTCTGTCGCTCTGAGCTTTCCGAAGATGAGCGTGGTTCGTGTGGTAGTAGTGTAGTAAGGGGAACTAGTGTAACAATGTCTTTTTTCGTCCGTCCGTCCGTTCGTTCGTGAAAATCGTGATAATGTAAAAACCCCCCTGGTCGCCGAGAACTGAAAAAAAAAGTAGACCGAAGTCGTCATTGGCCGCGGCGGGGAGAGTAATGCATGTGCGCTCGTACCGTTACAAGTTTTTTTTTTGCTGAAGAAGAAGAAGAAAATCGTCGATATCTTGATTGATTTGAGTCACCGGAGCCGAACATCTAGAAGTAGTTCCCCTGCTGCTGCTGAACACCCTGCTGCTGCTGTGGCTGCTGAGCAACCTGCGCAGCCTGTGCACCCTGCGCGCCATTGCCGCGACCGTATGGATACCCATTACCCTGCTGCTGCTGCTGCGGTGGTGGTGGTGGCCCCGCATATCCCTGAGCCGAAATCCCAGCAGTAGCAATCTGCGTGCTGCTCGGGAACACCGTAACTGGCGCCCTGGTAGAAGCCGCGAATCCCGCAGCTCCATATGCACCAGCCGCATTGCCATTCGCAAACGCCGTTGCGCTAGCGTTGGACAGGGAGCGCGCGTGCAGCTGACGAAGGGGGAGCTGCTGCTGCTGCGCGGGCGTCTCGGTGGTCTGCGCAGCGCCCGTGGCGGAACCATTGGTGGCGATAGCTGGACGGCCCTCAGCTCCTTGGAGCTTGGCTTGGATGCGGCGACCGTAGGGCGTGGTGCGGATCTGTGGGAGGATGGGGCGGATTGCGTCGACGAGACGGGTTTTCATGGCCGGGTTGGCGTAGTCGAGAGCAGTCTGTACGACGTAGTTTGCGAAGGAGTCGCGGAGGAGACGCTCGAGGTCGGCGGGGGTGGCGAGCATTTCCTCGATGAGCATGTCCTTGCTTGGCTCCTGGGCGCAGCGGAGGCACTTCTCGATGACGTTGCTGGAGAACTTCTGGCGGGAGAGCTGGCCGACGCGGCCGGCGAACATGGCGACGAGGGGCTCGGTGAAGACGGGCTCGTTGAGGTCGAGGATGTATTGCACGACGTAGTTGCCGAAGGGGTCTTGGACGAGGGTGAATGCGTTGTTGGAGATTTGGCGGATGAGCCAGGCCTTTTGCTCGCCGCTGGCGTGGTCGATGCAGCGCTGGAGGACGCAGCAGCCGTGGCGGTGCGTGCCGACGTCGACGCAGTGGCGTCCGACGGCGTCGAAGATGAACTGCGCGTCGAGTGGGGATAGCTTGTTGAGGCACTTCTGGATGACGTGGTTGCCGTTGAGGTCCTGGATCAGCTCGACGACTTGGTAGCGCAGGGCCTCGATGATGGTCTGGATCTGGCCAGCGGTGGAGATGAACTCAATCATCTTCTGGAGGGCGCGTGTGCCGTGCTGGTTCAGTGCAATGCGAACAAGGTCCTGGGAGGCGTTCTCGATGAGCACGGTGCGCTCTTCGTCGTTGCAGAACTCCAGTAGCTTCTGGCAGAGGTAGTTGCCGAAGGGATCGGTCATCAGCTCTACGACGTGCTGGTTGGTCTCAAGCCAGATCATGTGGATCTGCTCGGCGTTGCGCTCCTCGAGCTTCTTCTGGAGGAAGCGGCATCCATGCTGGTCCTTGCACAGACTGTAGATCTCACCACCAAGGGACTCCAAGGCAACATTGGCGAATCTGTTCATAGCTAAAATATTGTCAGTACATCACTTGAGATCGAGATCGGACACTGAAACTCACCCTCACCATCATTCTGGCGACGCTGTTGGATAACCCTAGCCTGACTATCACGTGGAGCATTGTTCTGGTACGCCGGTGGAACTCCATAATCGCCATATGCACTCTGGGGGTATGCCTGCTGTCCGATCTGCATGTTCTGCATCGCCATAGCCATCATTGGCATGTTGTACTGGTTGTTGTAGTATTGCATGCCGTATGGGTTGGCTCCAGCCTGAGTGACAGCCGGCTGATTGAGAGGCACAGAGCTCTGGGTGACGGAAGGTCCGAATGGAGGAGCACTGGCCTGGAGTGCAGACTGGATGGACTGGTAACCGCCGTTTGTGGCCTCGCGGACTGGAGTAGATTCACCACTGTTGACCTCACGACCCTGTCTGTTGTTGACGGCGTTGGGAGGAATGCGGCCCAAGCTGGCATTGTGGTTGTGGAAGTGCTGCTGAGCGTGGGACTGCGTCTTTTGAGGGGTGCTGCCAACAGCGTTGCCGCCGTTCGACTTCATGGTTGGCACATCGTTGGCGGAGTAGGAGGTCTGAAGCTTGGGAGGAGTCATCTGGACCTGGCTGGTTGGTGAGGTCACCTGGGACTTGTCCTGATCGCCGAAGTACTTCAGATCCTGGGAGTAACGGTTGGGGGTGCGGACCTTCAGTGGCGACTCAAGAGGGGTCGAGCTCTGCGAAGTAGAGCCGTTCATCGTGCTGGAGTTGCCGTTCTGGTTGGAGGAGGTCTGGCTTATATGGTTGGTAGGCAAGCTCTGTTGGCCCGCGCGGTGTCGTCCAAACGACGACCAGCCAGTAGATTCCGTGGTGGTGGATTGGCCAGAGGCTAGGTCAAGGGCAGCGGATGAGGTGGATAACTGCAGGAGGCGGTGAGCACCGTTTGCAGTGGTAGATCGATCAGGGGACTTACATTCTGGGGGTGCTCTCCACGAACTAGGATCGGGAAGTTCTCATCAGTTGCGTGCATCTGGAGGTAGTTCTTGGAGTCCATTGGTCCTCCGGCATCCTCGTCGCCGAAAAGGAAGCGGGTGGTGTTGGTCTGGTCGAGCGAGAGCATATCCTGAATGCCATTGCGTGACTTGGTCACAGGCATTGAGTATCTGTTGTGGCTAGCCATGGTGTTAGCTTCTATGATGTGGTGATATTGGTTTTTGTAACTGAATTGTTAAGTATAAGATCGATAGCAACAAGTCAAATAAAGATTTGCAAGATCTATAATTGTCTGTGTGAAGTTGTGTAAAAGTAGCTGTCTGTTGTCTGCAGCAGAAAGCCAAAGCAATTGTAGAAAGTTGGTGTTGTGATCAAGATCGGGCAAGTATGTGAAAAGTTGAAAGGGGGAGGGTGATATAGCATCGACGAGCGGCTGCCTGAGGGCTATGAGGGGGAGGGGGCCTCAGAACAAGCACAATGTGAGGCCCCTCTCAACAAAAGAACCACAATGCTAAGGTTCCACTTCCACCCCACCAGTGAACAACACAAAGGTGCAACTGACAAAAACACAACAACAAACAGCATTCAAAGTAAGAAGAAAGTGAACTTACTGGTTCGAAGACCTGTGGCTGCTCGGATCCTGTCTCACAGCCTGCTCTTTATCATCATCCTCGCTATTGCGTCTCGACGTGGAGTTCGACATGATGATAGCGTTCTCATCCATGGTGTATCGCGAAGAAATCAATCCGTTGTGCGGCGAAGTAAGCTGGCTAGCAGAGCGGCCAGGACGGTTATACAGTCCTCCAATCGGCGAGGTCAAGCTAGATGTGGAGTAACGATTCGGGCGGGAGAAGACTGTCGGGAAGCCTGAGCTGGTCTCGCGGTATTCGGGGGGAGTGGTAGGTTCGGACTGGTGGCCGCCGTTGGTGTTGTGCGAGTTGTGGTGGCGCCCGAGGTCCTCTTGCATCTGTCGGAGTTCTTGTTCTTCTTGGCGCTGCTGGAGGTCCAAGATTTGCATCTCAGCCTCAAAACGGCGTTTCTGTTCGCGGAGACGCTCGTATTCTAGTTTCTTCTTCTCTAGCTACGTTGAGGGTCAGCTGGAGAGCTCAGCACAGACGTGGTGAGTCTAGATTGATGTTCTCTGCAGAGTATTCAAAAGCTAATGTGTTTGTGGAAGGTATGGAGTGGATGTGGATGTTTTGTTGTGTGGGAGTTGAAGGGAAAAACGCGGTGGGTGAAGCTTACGAGCTGAACTTTATGGTAGTTCTAAACAACAGAAGTTAGCAAAAAGGCGCCTCAGGAATCGATTCAAGCCGCGACGGGGATCATCACCAGCCGCAGCCCTCCCCAGCCGCAGCTCGCAATCGGATAAAGAAACCACCACCCAACCACGCACGACTCCTCACGCTCTCTCACGCTCAAGGGACAGGGACCAGCTTACCGAAGGCACATACTCCTGCCCATCCTGCACTCCTCTCTGTCCGGTAATAGAGTGCAGCGTGGGCACTCTCCCCGAGTCCGTTGTGAAGCGCCTCGTGAGCGTGAAACCGCGACCGTCCTGCGCCGAGGCCGACGCGGACAGCGGGGGAGGCAGACGGCTGCCGCCATTGCGCGGTGGTGACACGAGGCCAAGGAGGGGCTGCTCACTGCCGCTGACGCCGCCACTGATGCTGCCGCGCACCGATTGTCGGAAGCGCAGCTCGTCCATCCGCTCGCTCGTGCTGTTCGAAAATGCCATGCTGGGGAATTGCTACAATACTGGCCACGGGACATGTGTCAGCTTCTTTCGGGTTCAGGGAGGGAGGCGCGGTGAGGCTGGGGCGAGCTGCGAGGGGAGCGGAGAATGCGCGAGAGGAGGGAGAAGAGGAGATGGTGCTGGGATAGGTTGGTGGGTTTGGGGGAGGGGACAACTCACAGTTATACAAAAAAAGACTCCTACACTGTCTTGCCGCGAGCCCTTACAACCTGGAGAGCCAGGCGTCGCAAACGGAAGACGTCCAATCTCTCCCCAAGGAAATAGAACAACGAGAGATAGAGGTGAAGAAGGCGGGAACGAGAGAGAGAGAGAGAGGTGAGAGGTGGGAGGTAAAGAGAGAGGAGGATCGAGTCGGAGAGGTTGTGCGTGTGTGGACGTTGGGTGTGGTGCAGAGGTCGTTGATCGTGGACCCCTGTTTCTGGGGATCCGCCTTCGGCAAAGCTCCAGTAGTGGGCCACGGAATGGGAAGGGGGAAGAGGGAAGGGCGGTGGGAGGGTGTCGACACACAAAATGTGAGTCCTAAAGAGGAGGAATTGAAGATATATTGAAGGTTTGAGAGTATGATTATTATGTGGGATTGTGATTGTGCAGCAGGTATGTGTAGGGTATGGCCGGTGAGGTTGGGGAGTACGCGGGTTGGTATAATGAGGGTACTCGGGGGTGGTGTCTCGACAGTGCTGGGAGAAGCACGAAAACTACAATCCCGGAAAGTACCACAGATGGTACCTCGAGGATCAGTTGAACATACGCTGGCCATACCTCTACCACACCACTAAAACACCACGACAACCACCACTCACATGTACCACACCACGCAAATCACGCTCTAAGTTACCTTTTTGATGGTAGTCTGGGGATCTGTACTCTACTAACTCTAGTAATTCTAGTAGTAACTCTAGTAGTAACTCTTAGTATATACCCAGCGCCGTTGGGCACACTCTCCACGCCCAAAATCGGACGAGGCACGAGGGAGAGGGAGAGGTTACAGCAGTATGGGCAGCGGCGGCTTCTCTTCACCGCATCGTACGCTTTGCTAGAGTAGTAACTAACTAAGCAGCAGATAGCGCTCACTCCACCGCCGCTGTCGACACGACTTTGCTCTGCTTACACACAAATACTTTCTCTCTAGCCGCCCCTCGGCCACTCCACCTATATTTGTATGGCCATCAAGCCCATCCGTTCTGTACTCTTCTGGCTGACAAAAAGGTTGAAATGGTTCCATTGGGTTCAATTGAGCGGTGGGCACACAGTGGTGGGTGGGCAACAGGCGCCGACCCGTCAGGGGCTACAGTAACAAGGGGGTGGGGGATCCATCGTCTCTTCGGCGCCAATGGGACGAGTACGAGACTGCAAAGTCACTTCTCTCAGGCCATTTTTTGCTTCGCTGTTGCGGTTCCACTACATCCACAATACAACCGTGCGGCCTAGGCTATACGATACGCGCATTGTTGAGACTCGGATCTGATATAAACCGCCGACAGATCCCAGAAATATATCGATTCAAAAGGATCCTTCGTCCACCTTGCTGTCTCTGTCTCTGTCTCTCCCTTCAAGACATCCTCTGCGTTGTTCAAAATCAGGTACACCAATCCACGGATACAACCGCTACAACCGCCGCCCGCCCAGCCAAGCTGTCAACCCACGCCATACTGCATGCTTCTGACTCGTGCAACTCACAAACCTCACCCCCGTGTCAATCCAATTCCTCTATATTATATATATTATATTACCTCGACACATATATTACCTTCAAACCCCCATCTATCCCATCCCACGCTTCCCCAGGCTTACCTACTTACCCACCGTTGCTCGTAGGAATGGACGGACGACGGAGCGGGACAACCCATTGTTTTGTTCGCTTGGGCGATGAGACGAGGAATTGACCCATTTACCCAACGCACTAGAGCACCCTACCTTCACACTTTAGGCCCGATCACCCCCGCCCGCCCCGTCAAAGAAGGAGAAGAAGAAGAAGAAGAAAGAAGCTACGTTGCGCTGCACCCGCCGGCGGCCTGTGCGAGAGATAGCGGTGCATCTGAAACGCATCAGGAACTCTAAACGCCGTCGCTCGTACGTTTTTTTTTTCTCCCCCCGCCTGCTTACTTACCTAGGTAAACTGAGTCTGTCCTGTCTTGTCTTGTCTGCCTGGTTGTCTGGCTGGCTGGCTGTCTGTTCGTCCCATATGCACCCGCAGAAAGCACCTCTGAACCCCTCCCATCGCGAACCATACCCCGAAACGGACAGAGATGTCCAATCACCAACCACCCACGCCGGAAACCCTACGCGACCCCTTCCGTTCCGCCACGCCGCAGCCGCCGCGCCCCTGTGATGCAAGTGACGGACGCAATCAGCGCCGCGATGATGCAAGACACACAACACAACACAACACAGATAGAGGGAGCGAGGTGGGAGCGAGGAGGGAGGGTGCATACTTAAACCTTCCTGTTGCTCTCTCATACATATACCTCTCGTTCCTCGCAGTAAGTCACATTACCCCGTCGACACCCCCACGAGATCTCCCTCGCAGACCACAAGACATCCGATTCCCTGCCTCGCCCTGCCCTGCCCTACCCTATGTGGACTCATGCATACGTGCAGCACGCCGGCGCAAGGACTCAGACATGGGATGGATAGACCCCGCGGTGCGCTGTGCAGCTCCGCTGCGCAACGCTCCCCACAGCTGGCTTTCCTTGCTTCGCGCAAGCGCACACAGCACGTCTGTCTCGATGGGGGGATGAAGAGGGGTGATCTGTATGTGCGCTGCGGCTCTGGCTGCAGGTTGAGGCGTGGACGAGTGGGATGTAGTGACGAGATGATGGATGTTGTATTACCCCCCCTCAGCTGTCTCGCATCTGTCTCTCACCGGCACAACACACATACACAGCTGCGAACCAGTATCTCGAATATTGTCAGCCCCCTCTCTCTGCCCTCAGTACCACCCTCTCCTCCCTCCTCCCTCTCCCGTCTCCCCTCTACCCTCTCACCGACGGCACTTCGCAGCTCCCCTCTCATCCATCCATCGTATCTCATACCCCGCTCCTAGCGATACCAACCTGCATCCCAACCCCTCCATCCCACCCACCTCCCTCATCAAGTAACCATACACCCGAACCAGCCAAGCCGCCGTCGACGTGGGGTCGCTCCTGCACCATCTCTCATCCCACTTGCCAGGCGGGGTCTCAACACAGGAGGCGGTGAGCAAGCCGCCCAACCAATCCTATACGCGCCTTTGCCTCCCTCGCAATGCCCATTGACGCTAGTCTGTATCGCGTTAGTACCCCCATCCCATCTCCCTGCTGCCTTACAGCCTCAGCGCCTTCTTTCTGAACAAAGATTCTCCGTTCCGGCTACCTCCATCCCACCCCGTACCTCCGTACCTTTTTCCACATGCGTGTACCACCACCACCACCCACCTATCTCTTATCTTATCTTAGCCCCATCAGCAAGCTTCACCTCAACTTTTCCCAATGGTGGGCGACAAAACCACTCACAGCCCGTCAAACTCCGCCAACCCACGCCTCCGAAACCACACAACCATGCGCCGCGACGTTAGGTAGCATATACCCCCCACTCGAGAGACGAAATACATAAGGCTTCTATATGCCTCCGAGGAAACGCGCTGCTGCTGCTGCCCCGGCTGCAGCGGCTGTGCCGCCGGCGCCCGAGGTGCGTGATGATGCCCCGCGCAAGGAGTCAGAGGGAGGGGGGCTAACGGGTGAACAGGTTGAGAAGATAAGGGAGGAGTTTGATCTGAGTACGGAGGAGGGGAGGAAGAAGGCGGCGAGGAGGGAGAGGGCGGAGGCCCAGAGGCCGGTGGGGAATGATGTATGTTTGCACTGGCGGTGATGACTGGTTGCCCCCTCCAAATTGGGGAGGATGAATGGCTGACAAATGGTGAAATGTAGGGATTTGAGGCGCTGTTGGAGCCGTTTTATGGGGGGAAGAGCTTGACGGATCCGATTGATACGGCGAAGGTATGTGCTCTTCTCGAAAATGGGGTTTTTTAGACGATGATGATGATGGTTGCTGATGATGGGGTGTTTTACAACAGGATAAGTGGAATTTGCTTCCGGCCTTTTTGAAGGTGAAGGGGTTGGTGAAGCAGCATATCGACTCGTTTAATTATTTTGTCGATCATGAGATTAAGGATATTTTGAAGGCGAATAAGTTCGTTAGGAGTGATGTGGATAATACCTTCTGGCTTGAGTACGTCTCTCCTTCCACTTCCCGGGGAATACTATTGCAGGCCACTAACTTTGATTCTCTCATAGATACACAGACATTCGTGTTGGCGCCCCAGAACGCCTCGACTACGATGACCGCAAACCCCTCAACGATGTCACACCTAACGAGTGCCGTCTCCGCGACCTCACTTACGCCGCCCCCATCTTCGTGGACATAAAGTACGTGCGCGGAAAACGCATTGTCGCTCGCCGCGGCATCCCCATCGGGCGCATGCCCATCATGCTTAAGAGTTCCAAGTGCCGCCTAACAGGGCGCAACGACGGGCAACTCGCATACATGAACGAGTGCGCCTTGGATCCAGGAGGATACTTTATCGTTAACGGTACGGAGAAGGTTATTTTGGTGCAGGAGCAATTGAGCAAGAATCGAGTGATTGTGGAGACAGATGCGAAAAAGTCGATGGTTTCGGCGTCGGTGACGAGTTCGACGCATGAGAGGAAGTCGAAGAGTTATGTGGTGTTGAAGAAGGAGAGGATATATCTGCAGCATAACGTACTCACTGAGGCGGTGCCGATTGTCATTGCACTGAAGGCTATGGGTGTGCAGTCTGATCACGAGATGTTGCTGCTTGTTGCGGGAACGGATGCGACGTACCAGGATGACTTTGCTGTCAACTTCGAGGAGGCGGCTAAGCTGGGTATCTTCTCGCAGCAGCAGGCGCTGGAGTGGATTGGAGGAAGGGTTAAGATGGGGAAGAGCAGGTTCGGGCAACCGCAACGGCGAAACTTCGCACAGGATGGGCTGGAGGCATTGGCGAATATCGTTATCACCCACGTTCCCGTCGTGGGCCTGGATTTCAGACCCAAGGCGCTATACGTGTGCTTCATGGTTCGACGTGTGCTGATGGCGATGCACGACCCCAAACTCGTAGACGACCGCGATTACGTCGGTAACAAGCGTCTCGAACTTGCAGGTCAGCTGCTATCTCTCCTCTTCGAGGATCTGTTCAAGAAGTTCAACTCGGACCTCAAGATGAACATCGACAAGGTGCTCAAGAAGCCGAACCGCACCAACGAGTTCGACGCCTACCAGCACATGCAGTCTCATGGCAACTACATCACGCAGGGCATGAACCGCGCTATCTCGACGGGTAACTGGAGTTTGAAGCGTTTCAAGATGGAGCGCGCGGGTGTGACGCATGTGCTGAGTCGGTTGAGTTATATCGCCGCCTTGGGCATGATGACGCGTATTAGTTCGCAGTTCGAGAAGACGCGCAAGGTGTCTGGTCCGCGTGCGCTGCAGCCTTCGCAGTTTGGTATGCTGTGTCCGTCTGATACGCCTGAAGGTGAGGCTTGTGGTCTTGTTAAGAATTTGGCGCTCATGACGCATATTACTACCAACGATGATGAGGAGCCTGTGCGCAAACTGGTCTTTGTTCTTGGTGCTGAGGATATTGTGTCTATGAGCGGAAAGGAGATTTACGACGATGGTGCTTATGTTATCTTTATCAACGGTACGCCTCTTGCCTTGACCAGGAAACCAAAGGCTTTCCTGGCGGGCTTCAAGACCTTCCGTCGTACGGGTCGTGTATCTGAGTTCGTGAGTTGTTACATCAACCACCACACAAGCTCCGTCCACATCGCCACCGACGAGGGCCGCATCTGTCGGCCCCTTATCATCGTCACAAACGGCATACCGCGGATAAAAGACCACCACCTCGCAGCCCTCCGCGATGGCACCATGGAGTTCGACGACTTCCTCTACCGCGGCCTCGTCGAGTACATCGACTGTAACGAAGAGAACGACGCCATGATCGCCCTGTACGAAAACGCCATCACACCCGCAACCACGCATCTCGAGATCGAGCCCTTCACCATCCTCGGCGCCGTCGCGGGTCTCATTCCCTACCCCCACCACAACCAGTCCCCACGTAACACCTACCAATGTGCTATGGGTAAGCAAGCCATCGGCGCAATCGCCTACAACCAATTCGCACGTATCGACACTCTCCTCTACCTCATGGTGTACCCACAGGCTCCCATGGTCAAGACCCGCACCATCGAGCTCATCCGCTACGACAAACTACCTGCTGGCCAAAACGCCATCGTGGCCGTCATGTCCTACTCCGGATACGATATTGAGGATGCCTTAGTCCTCAACCGCGCCTCCCTCGACCGCGGCTTCGGTCGCTGCCAGGTCCTCCGTAAATACGCCACCAAGCTCCTCAAATACGCCAACCGCAGCGCAGACCGCATCGGTGACCGAGATTTCGAGGTTCGCGCATCAGACGGCGCTACGGTGCCCATCGAGAAGCACCAGCTCCTCGGCGCCGACGGACTCGCGCACGTCGGCGAGATCGCCCGCAACGGCGACGTGTACGTCAAGAAGGAGACGCCCCTCAACACCTCCTCAACAGGGATCGGTTCCGATTCCGGGCGCAGCTCTGACATGAAAGACGCATCCATGTCGTACCGCCTCCCCGACCCAGCCTACATCGATAAAATCCTAATCTCCCAAACCGAAAACGAAAGCACAGTCATCAAAGTGCAAACGCGACAAACCCGGCGCCCCGAGCTCGGCGACAAATTCTCCTCCCGCCACGGACAAAAAGGAGTCGTCGGGCTCATCGCGCCCGCCCAAGACCTCCCCTTTGCCGACACCGGCATCACCCCGGACATCATCATGAACCCCCACGGATTCCCGTCCCGTATGACAGTCGGCAAGATGCTGGAGCTCCTCTCCGGGAAATCCGGCGTCATCCGCGGCACCCACGAGTACGGGACGTGTTTTGGTGGTTCCAAAGTCGAGGAGATGGGGCAGGGACTCGTGGATGCTGGGTATGCTTATGCGGGGAAGGAGTTCCTGACGAGTGGGATTACTGGGGAGGCGTTGCCGGCGTATGTGTTTATGGGGCCGATTTACTACCAGAAGCTTAAGCATATGGTGCAGGATAAATTGCATTCGAGATCTAGGGGTCCCAGGGCGATTTTGACGCGCCAGCCCACGGAGGGTAGGTCGAGACAGGGTGGGTTGAGATTGGGTGAGATGGAGAGAGATTGTTTGATTGCGTATGGAGCTAGTCAGTTGTTGTTGGAGAGGTTGATGTTGAGTTCGGATGCGCATGAGGTTGATGTTTGTGAGAGGTGTGGGTTGATGGGGTACCAGGGGTGGTGTCAGACGTGTAGGAAAGGGGGGGTGGCGAGGATGGTGATGCCGTATGCGGCGAAGTTGTTGGTGCAGGAGTTGTTGAGTATGAATGTGTTGGTGAGGTTGAAGTTGGAGGATGAGTTTCCTGCGCCGACATAGGTGGGGGTTGGGGGAGAAAAAGGGGGGGGGATGTGGAGTAAAAGGGGGGGTTGTGTATATCATCTGCATAGATAGCAAGGAGCGTTCTGAATTACTAGTGCTGCTTGCTCCGTTTGTCGACGCCATACGTGATTATATATGCCATACCCTCCGCCCTTTCCTCTTGTTCTTCTTCTCTCCCTCCCTACAATTCGAAAAAGGCTTGTTCACAAGAAGAAGCTAATACCGAGAGGTCGGGCTACTGGATCTGTACTAGCGATTGCAGAAGCTGCTGCCAGCAACAAATGGATGATGGCACCATCAATGCCGTGGGGTGACCTACGTGGCGACAAGAACAGATGCGTGGCGACGAGAAAAGTTGCGCGGTAACAAGAAAAGCACCCGCATTGACAAGAGAGACCAACTACACGGCAGCCAAAACGGCAATTGAGTCCCCAGGTCCCAACGAAGGTGCGCCTCCATTACTTATCCACTCACAATATAACGCCGGAATCAGTGGACTTCTCTTGGTGGCGCCAGCGGAAGATATCAGTCAAGTGTAAACATAGTCAAAATGTCACTAGAAACAGAAAGTGTAGGAAACGAATGTGATTTAATAAAAGTGGTATCGTGAATGAAATCCCCCATCCCTCCTCCTCCAACCCTCTACCCCCAATATATATCCTCTCTAGTCCCAACCACCTATCTACTCCTTAGTCTCCACAATAACCTTATCCGTAGACTCTGTCGGGGACGGCTGCAGCTGGTCTGCAGCAGCCTTCTCCCTCCTCTCCTTCCTTGCCGCATCGTTGGCCTTCATCTCCTCAAGACGGTCGTTGTGGCTGTTATTATCAAACTTGTATAACGGCTCAAGCACAACATCACGGCGCATAATGTACTTGTTGAAAAACCACGGCAGGGCCTTGGTGATCTGGTAGTGCATGTGTGTGCGTGTTGGGACGGCGAAGATGTAGTCCAGTTCCTCGAGTGTGCGTTGCTTCGTCTCGGGGACCCAGAGGAAGATCATGACGAAAGCGACGATGTTGAGACCGGCGTAAAAGCAGAATGCGCCCTGAGAGATTAAGTTAGGTTGAAAATTTACGATGTACGGGGGAGTGGTTGAGAGAGGCTTACAGTGGTGGTCATGGCCTGGACCATGGTGGGCCAAGTGATACCTAGGACAGCAGCCCAGAAGAAACAGGTAGCAACGGCCCAGCCCATACCGACTTCGCGGTGGGAGAGAGGGAACACCTCAGCACTGTAGGCGAAGGGGACGGGTCCCTCGCCGGGGCTGTAGAAGGCGGCGAAGATGTAGATGAACATAGCCACGGTAGCAAGATGGGCGATATTCTCAAGGGGGATGAGACTACACAGTCCCGCAGCGAGCAAACACCAAGCCATGTTGGGGAATGTGAAGAGGAGGAGAGAGCGGCGACCAAAGGTGTCTATAGTCCAGATAGCGGGCCAGGCGAAGACGAAGTTAACGAGACCGAAACCGAAGGATGCGAGGAGGGCGTGGAAGGCATCGGCGCCGTTCTCCTCAAACACTGAAGACGAGTAGAACGCGATGATGTTGATACCGCACATCTGCTGTGCAATCATGACGGTGAAGGACGCGAGGGTCGCGCGGCGGACTCGTGGGATCGTGAAGAGCTGGATGAAGCGGGTGACGTAGTTGCTGTCGCCAATGATCATTTGCTCAATCTCGAGCTGGCTGTGGATGTAGTACAGGTCGCGAGCGGCTTGGAGGGGGTTATTGCGCAGCTTGAGCAGCGAGTCGAAGGCCTTTTGGTAGCGGTTCTTCTTCATAAGCCAACGGGGGGATTCGGGGCAATAGTAGATGAGAATAAGCAAAGGCACGGCTGGGATGAAGGCAGATCCGAGTTGCAGGCGCCATGCGATGGCACCCGTCTTCGCCACAGCGAGGTTAGCGGCAAATCCGACGAAGATACCAAAGGCCGTCCACAGCTGCCATGTCATGACGAGGGCGCCACGGATTGAAGCAGGGCTGTTTTCGGCGGCGTAGATGGGGACAGTAGATGCTTTGGCGCCCATACCAATTCCCATGAGCAGGCGGCAGGCTAGGAGTTCTTGCCAGGTTTGCGTGAATGCAGAGCCGATGACTGGGAAGAGACAGAAGATAGCAGAGAAGAAGATTGCGCCACGGCGACCAAAGTAGTGGTTCAGCGGGTCAGAGAGCCAGCATCCCACGAAGGCGGACGCAATATAAGGAGCAGCATTCACAACACCAACGATGAACGTATCGCGGAGCGCGGTATCGTCAATGCCGAAGACTTTGTGGAAGGCCAAGTTTGCGCCGTTGGAGCCGGTTTGATCCCAACCCTGCACGGCAGCACCGATCGAACATGTGATGATGGTGAAGTAGAGGGCTCTGGGCTGGCGCCATTTGTGGAGGACCTCATTGCGGAGGTCTTCAACTTCCAAGGGGCTGAGGGCGTACTCGCCCTCGATGTCCTCGTAGTTTGTTGGGTCTTGTGCCACAAGAGCGCCCTTGCGGATGAGTTCAGTGTGCTCAGTGAGCCCCTTCTCTTCGGCAAAAGCATCGACTTGGCGGAAAAGGGTCTCCCTAGGAATTGCGGCGAGAGGATTTTGGATTCTAGATTACTCGTCAGTTCTTGCATCAAAGTTAAGTAAAGATGCAAAGGCGTAGCATGAGTGCTGTTGCGCTCGCGTGCTCAATGCGCGAGCCTAATATGAGAATCATTTCGGATAGATAAGTTATAAAAAAATGCTTACCTCGCCTCAAGATTCGCGTTCAGGTTAACATGGTCAGCGTGATGACCCTCCTCAGAGGATGTGCGCTTGTATTCTCTGCAGGGGCGTGTCAGTAAACAGCAGCGCAAGAATTATAAGACACTCATACTCGGAAGTTGGCCCATCAGCTGTGTCCTGAATGGGCTTCGACGTCGCGATTTCGGGCGCCATATTGTCTCTCAGTTCGTCTGCTGGGAGGGCAATGTGAAGGCGGGGTAGGTTGCTTGAGAGGTCCTAGAAAAACTGACAGACGTCTGGGATATATAAATATTTTCTTTCCATACGGTGATGGCAGGCCTCGCCAAGGAAGCTATCGCTGAGACCTCCGCATTGTCTGTACTCCGCACCCCACACCCCGCAGGGAGATGATGGGTGGATGATGGTAAGGTGGTATGGCTAAGGGGTCCCTAGGCCAGCCATGGGGGTACAAACTGTCATACGTAACGAATCAAATAAGCTGGAGATATTGTGTTCCTGGGCACCGAACCACCAAGCGCGCCCCATCGTCATCTGCTGCACGAAAGATAAACAAACCGGAATGCCCCTTCCGGTAAAGAAGGGCAACTCTGTAACGTCGCCAGGCATGTCTCAGAGAACGCCAGCGGTAGCGAGAGGGGCAGTGGAGAGCGGCGAGGCATCGGGCCAATCGCGCATACTGGGGATTGGAGGTGGTGGAGAAAGGGGATTCCCTTGCACTATCACTCATTGCCTAATCTGCTGCTACCTTTCTGGTGCAGTAGTTCGCCCAGACTCCCGTCGCAAGGGTCGAGCGTACATGTAGGTGCTCCATCTCATGTGGCTTTGTGGCAATTGTAGCCATGACAGCCTGTACCAGTGGGTCATTCAACGCTGTTACGGACAACTCGTACCATCAAATAAATATTGGCGTTTTCATTCCTTCGCTGTTTGACTCAAAGTGGTTCGAAAGCTGACACTTGGCGGTTGGTCTGCTATCTTGGCTGGAAACAAGATCAACCCATCGCATTATAAGTGCATAACGGGGGCATAGAGTTGGTTATATGTCGTATTCGGTATGGACTGATAACTTGTGTAGAAACCACAGCGGTAATCAACGGCCGCGCTCTTCGTCCGGGGGCTGGAAGATGGATTGACGTCTGCGGGGGCCGTCAGTTAATGGCAATAGCAACCGGCACTGGCGAGAGCCTCATGCGCCACACAACACCCGTGAACACATCCCGGCGCGTTAATCGCACATACCGCAGCTACTTGAGCAGTACCGTTCAATAGAGTGCTCATCGCTGTAACCGTTCCATCAACATCCCCACATACATAAATGAATCCTTCCGCTTGTCAACCCTTGGCACTTAATTCTCATAGGTCGCGTGTGGGGGGCAACCTAGTGTCAGTGAGTCCAGAGCAGAGTAGCCCCTCTGTCAACTTCGGTCAGCGGAATGCAGGAGTTTAGAGTACATAGTACGTCTACTCACAGTTCACAGCACTGTAAGATCTTTATTCATGAGATGTATAGGATACTCAATATCTATCGCCAACATCAAACACGAGTCAGTAGTAGACTATAATACCGTCTTGTTCTGTATGGATGTCGTCTAAGACATGACTTGGATGTCCCAAAAGGAGCACCACTGACGCGAACGCGACTACTCATCTCATGGAGTAGAACAACTGTACATACCATCAGTAATGATGCGCACCAATTACAAAGTACCTATTGACAACCTTACTTCCTCATCCTAACATCCTCAATATATGATCAATTCACGCACCGACCGTCGGACCACCTTCCGGTTTCGTATAATCAGTATTAAGAGGCCAAGGCCCCTTTTGTACGCCACATAAACCGGTGATGCCGTATGTACATACCGTCGATCGCAATCCATTTTTTCCGGCCACACTTCGGTGGAACTGTTCCAACTGCTATGGAGTTCTTAAAGTCCAAGACTCCAAGAGGCCAAGAAGAGTCCAAAGCGAGACCAAGAGCGCGGAACCTTGACTTCTACTGTGTCTGGGGTCTGGGGATGGCCATGCTAGCGCTGTAAAATGCGCTATTTCCTCCCCCAAGAACCACCAAAATCTGACTGCCAGAGCGGGGAGGAGCCGCCAAGCGCAGACGATGGACGGCGCGTGCGTAGCGCGTTAACAGAAATCAAGGAAGTAAACGCATCAGAAGACTGCGCGTACTGTGCGAAGTAAGAATGCATAGTAGTAGTAGGCCGTCTACCGTTGAGAAATGCCAGCCTGGCACCGCCGTATCCAGTATGTTATTTTGGTGATCGCTGCTTCCTACTCGTCTAAACCTACCTCGTCCAAACCCAAAGCCACCCGGTCAGCATCTTATCTCGATCCTGTAGTTGGAAACAAGGGTAGGGCGAAATCCTTCGCGAATCTTACCGTCGGAGTTTTTTGTTATTTTTTCCTCGATTTTCAGAAATTCTCTTGGCTCGGTATTCCCTCCGAGCTTCCAAGACCCCCTCCCCCATACCCCACTGATCCCCTTTTCCCTTACTTAATCCAATCCCCGCTACTTCATGATCTCGCGTCATACCAGAATGTTTACAGCTACCGAAAACCTTCCATGCATTTTCGACTCTCGCAGTTTACCTCTCGTCTATTTTTACTGTGGGTTTTGGAGATGATGTCGATCGGCCTGATTGCCCCGAATATTCCTGGAGGACGGCTCAAACATTGCCAAAGGCCATTTTCAACTCTTCACCCTGAGTCAAAAAGCAAACATGATTAAACATCAGACACTGTAAGATACCACGTTACAACCGTTGTTGGCATCATCCTTCTCGTTGTGAAGGAAGCGGTCTGACGCATAGAGTTTTACTCCATTGTTAAATTTGCGGTTAACGGCATCATGTCGGGGCTAAGATATCCCTCAAAGCCCAGGGATTCCCTCAAGGCTTAGAATCACCCCTCATTTCCTATTCACTTTCGACTCCGCTCCATTGGGGATTGTTGGAGATTTCTCAACAAACGCGCGTACCATCTCATACCTTAAATGCTAAAGGATCCACCATCCCAGGGTGGGTTAGGTGTGTCAATGGTGGAGCATCACTAAGATTTACATAAGAGCCCCAGTCGCACTGCGCTGCCCAGCTCCTCTTTGAGAGAAACTCTACATTCTGGGCGCTGACCCCAGATTGCAGAATAAAGTGCCCAGATCTAGCACTGTGTTTGATTAATAATAGGGGGAGGGTTTTGATGCCAGGCGCCAACTTCGTTGGATAGTATCGCATACCAGGCGTGTGAGTCTACTAAGCGCTTTGACTGGGCTGGTTTTTCGGGTGGGGAGGAATCACGTCCCCCGTGAAAATATCATAGTATATGCTCTTTAAAATAGCCATGTTTGGCGCTTAATATTCCCCAAGTACCACTCATTCTGGGTATGTCTCGATTAAATACTCAAGCAGCACCCATTATACGTAAGGATCGGTTAGTTAATTCGAGTGAGGCATACTCATACACGTCGTATCGTTGCATAATTATATTCTCGCCGTGAAGAAAAAGGGGAGGCTGCGTTTCTGTAGAACCTCCAATATTCCTAAATTTTTCCCTTAATTTATTTACTTCAAGTAAAAACCCTCATGAGCTCTTTCATAGGGAGGTATTGGAAGCCGTGCCTCCAGAGTATAAGTTATATATATACGGTGTGGCTCATGGTGCCCATTTTCTAAGACAGTCTGTTTAAGCTGAACTTGACCGATTATTAATCGATAAATGGAACAAATCTAACAATCGCGCTCCCCACATTAGACGAATCAGAATTGTCCGTCCATAATTTGATCCATATCAAAGTCCTGTCCGAAATCGTACACGGGCTCAAAATCTGTGAATACCCTATGCATAAAGGCGTTGACGGTTGCGGGATTTGTGAAATCAACTTGATCCGTCGGGTTATCTTCGCCGAACAGCGACGTATAGAGCTGTACACCAGAGTCCTGCCCATTCTGGCTGATATCCAGTCCGTGTGGCTGACTAAACACCATTTCTGGACCCTGTTCGTAGTTCAGGAGAGACTGGTTACCAGGAGATTGTTCTGGTTGATTTTCGTGTCGATCCGTATGGCCAGGAGCACCAATGTTGTTAGCAGAAGATCCAGCACCCCTTCTTCCCTGTCCAGCGCGAGATACGGGCTCCGTACCCCGTGCTCTTGATTCTATAATCCAGCGCACAGTGGTTCCCGAGAGTTCGTCTAAAACATCCCTACTTCGTTTCGCTTCCAACCAGTGCTCGCCAGTGGCGCTGAGGACATTCGACCCAGCTTTCAAATCGGCCATTAGTACATCTAATTTGATCTGTGCAGTTACTTCTGGTACGGTCCAAATGCAGTGAAGCATTGTTATCGTACTCAAGAATAACGAATGAACAGTGACCCAGCTGTAAACTAAGAGATCGCGTTTATAAAGCTGGTCATATATTCGAATGCTAGCAACTGCACTTTCGTAGCATGACCGGAGTGAATCGACCGACGGGTTTGGTATGGCTGGGCTTGGGCGCATGAGAAGCATCATAATGCCGTGATACTTGATCTGGCATAGATGGGTCATGTAGATCTGATCGCCTGTGAATTGGGGTATTTGATCAAACCATGCCTTTAAGCGCACGGTAATATCGGTTTGCCACTGTTGTATATTTGGAATATTGGGGTAGCTATATGGCGGTGCCTCGGCGGAGATGCTATGCAGTACGTACTTCATCTCAGAATTAAGTTGCGACAGCTTAAAAAGATGAATGGCGCTGCTCATATGGGTCGGCTGCTCGGTTTCTAAACGTAGCTGCATACCAGTTGCTGTCAATTTGACATCTTCCACGTCCGCTGGTAGCTTTGAAGCATTAGAGAAAGTAGACCGAGGCAGGCACGTAACTTACTCGTAACTCGCAGGCTTCGTCTCTCAGCCCAATCGGCCTCCCCATCATTGTCGCAACAGACCTATCAAGGCTATATATGACCCAAAAGGTTCTTGTCCTCAGCTCCTGGTCAATAACTGATAGTGTCCTTCCAGATCTAACATCTCGTTGCAGCCCAAGGTCGAGTAACGCTGCAATACACTGATAATTTAGATACCAGATGTTCAGACCCATAGAAGGGCTATTCAAAGTGTAAATAAGTAGCAAAAGAAGGCTTTGTAACCCTTTCAGAGAATTCTCGATGCAGAGCTTGTCAAAATACTTCATCGCACTAACACAGAATCCTTCGCCCGATAAGGGGAGCTTTAGACGTCTAGAAAGAACTGTCGCTCCAATAGCCATTACCATATAAACTTGGAATGCCGCATTTGGCAAGGGCTTCGGCTCTGTATAGACATGCTCGATGAGCTTCATATGCGATGGCTGGTGAAGAAAAGGATACTGTGGATGGATCGCCTCAAAGTATGCTTTTGAAATCATTATCGTGTACTCTATGTCTTCTGGCAATGCAGAAGGAGGGACGGATAATGCTCCTCGAGGAAAGAGACGTGCTAGGCGACTTTCTGTGCTCTGCTCTTGCTCTCGTGGTGGAAAGCTCTGTTTACCTTGCCTCGCACATGAGAGCAATAGCTTCGCAAAGAAGTACCCGCTCGAAGGTCCGATGTACTTGGGGTCCGTTCCAGCGGATAAAGAAACCAGGCCAATTTCATGCGCAAGCCCCCGCTGTTGCTCATTTGGTTGGCGGGGGGCTTCGCTGGACTGCTCTACACCCTGACTTTCCCTAGACAATTCCGGGTGTGGAAGGACACTATCATCGACGTGTGTCTGCCCCAGATTCTGGGACGTGGGCTGTGACAGGCTACTCTCTCCGTTTTCTCCTTCATCTGCTAGATCATCCTGGCCTGACTCGTTCAGAGCCGTGGGACCTTGCGACAAATCAATATAGGGACAATTCGTCAAAATTGTAGACTCCAGCCACCGGATGCGACGTTTAAGGCTTGAAATGTACCTAATTCATATGTTAGGTCTGAACTAGGGAACAAGTGATAAGAATAAACGTTACGCGCGGGGTGAATCAATGCCATCCAGCTTTCCGCCGTCCATACATTCTGCTCCTGCCTTTGAGCAAGACCCACATGACGGGATGACTCCGTCACACTATTCGAACCCGCGTTAGCTGATATTTCATGGCTGAAACTGTAGAATGTACCCGGATTTTGCGGCGCTGGCAACGGAGACAAGCAACTCGAATGCGGAGCGTCCGACGGGTTCGACTGGGCCGGCTTGGAGTGTTCCGCACGTGACTAGACGGACTCTCCGCGAACGAATCGGGAGAAGGACTCATGGGTCATCTGAGGCTATTTGGCGCTCTGCATCAAAGACGGGTCCATACGCAGATTGAGAAATATGGCAAATAGAGATATAGTGGGATGCGTAAAGTATGCAAAGACCAAAGGTCGGAGGCTCCGTTGAGGAGAATTTCTATTCCCGGTGTGGCGGTTCTATCCGCACATCACGTGCTTCACCCTTGGAAACAACGAAATGAATAAGAGGGTAGTTGAATAACCTCCTCAGGGTTAGTTTTTAGTTTCTCTTGCTACTAAGATTTCGATTCTATTTTATTAAATCACCTGTTCTTAGATATACAGCTTCTAAACCCGTCCAACCGTCACCCTCAATTGTTCAAAATGACTATTATTCATATTGGTAAGCTGAAGCTGGTTTCTCATTTCCTTTCATTTACGTTTGAGCCACAGCGTCCTAACCGTCTCTTTAAAGTTCTCTTCAAATTTCGCCCTGATGTCTCTGCGGCACACAAGTCACTATTTGTCTCAGAGCTCAAGACACTCAAATCACTTCCCTGCGTCCAAGATGGGCGACTGATAGTTGGTGGGCCATCAATCACGGACCCGATCGAAAGAAGCAAAGGTTTTGAATTTGCCCTCCTTAGCTACCATCGCGATCGAGAGGCGTTAGCGGAGTACCAAGCAAGCAAAGAACATCATAGGTGAGCCATTATCTATTTCATTTGAAAAAGGGAAAGGCTAACCAAAAGTAGAGTAACTAGTACTTATATGTTTCCATTTAAGGAGGATTTATTTAGATTTGATTTTGAGGTTGACAGCGAGGACGAATATATGTGTCAAGGAATTGGGAATAGGCTCGTGAAGGGGTTCGTGGCACCCCCAGAAGACGCGGTAAAAATATGACAGATCTGAGTTCTTTGGTTTGAATGAATGTTTTCAAATAAATTAATAATTGATGTGCTTCTTTGTTGATATATCCCAACGCTTCAATGTGGTGGCGGTTAAATCCTAACCTACTCAGTCAGGGAGGCGCCCCAGCTGTTAAAACTGGACCGAGGTCGGCTTCATGGTATGTAGAACGTCCTATGAGATAGTGACTCCATATGGATTGCGTATTTGTATGTGATATGATAGTATTTATATGGCTAACGGTAGAAAGCGAATTAAGTGTCGCTAGCTTTTTGTTATGTCTTTTTATAGACTGCGGGGTACGCCTATGGCTTGTTGTGGCTTTGTAGATACCTTGTAGGGGGAAGGAACCGAGGGAGGAACCGAGTAAACCGCCGTTTACACTACTGGCTCGCTCCTGCCTCAACATCCTAACACAGAGTCTTTCCTTAAAACTTTGAATGAGTGGCAGATGGAGAATATAGAGATAGGCGTTTAATGAATGCTGCTTTAATTGGAAGATAACCTTAGAGAGCCAGTTTCGACTTGCACTATATCCTTTCGCATGGTTTATTTGCTCTAATGCTTTTATAAACAGGTCAAAGCAGGGTTTCTGCTACCTTATAGATCACTCTTCAAAGCCTCGAGGGCCGCCTTAAGCCCGACCACCTTCTCTCTAATTCCCAACTTTTCTAGCGACACGACCTCATTTTCCGGCTTGCAAGCAGACCAATTGGGGTAAGACTCGCTCCATCGGAATTGAGATGCTAGCTCAGAACCATATATTCCCCAGATAGACTCAGCAACAACATCGCTAACCTCACTGTAAACACCATTCTTCCCGGTAACTGCTGACCATTCCTTTATCACTTCCTCGAATGACAGATAATCGGTCACAAGTGGAACATACTTGCCTTTAGTCAACTCTGGATTAGAAACAATTGCCTCGACTGCTATGCCAACATTTACAGAAGTCTGGCCAGCAATTGGCAGTTTGGCACTTCCGATGCTAGGCTGCAGCCAGATTGATTTTCTAGAAACAGGCTGTCGTGAAAGAATCATTAGTTATCAATCCAGCTTAGGCTGCGGTGGTAAAGGTATAAGAAGCAACAAGGTAAAGAATGAAGAGAACATACATCGAACAGTGGCTTTGAACCGGTCAAGTTAGAAGCGTACCAGCCGACCCACAAGTATGTAGTCTTGCTTGCTAGTTCTGGCAGAGTCTCCCTGATGTAATCCTCCACTGCAGCTTTGTAGTCAAAATGAGGAACTTTGAGTTGCCCTCCAGAGACCTTGCCAGCCGGCGGAAGGGTGCTAAACACGTAGTGCTTCAAGGTTGGGATTTTGGCGGCAGCGTTGGCGATGTTGGTCTGTTGCTTCTGTTCTTGCAGACCCGCTCCGTCACGGCCGAGTTGGAATAAAGATTCCCTAATGCAGCATTAGTATGCTAGATGCGAGAGATGGTATCAATACATAACCAGTAGTTAGTCAAGGAAAAGACTGCAGATGCGCCCTGTTGAAGATACTTAGTCGGGAGCCAAGGTATAGGTCTGTCTCGGTTGGGGGGCACACTAACTGCAAATGCTTTTACGAGCGAGGATTCGTCGTTAGCATCAGCTGCCACAACTTCGACACCCTGAAAACATCAATTATTGACATCCTAATACACGAGTTTCTGGAAGCTCTCTACACACCTTTGCGGCGAGTTTCTTTGCTGGTTCGCTTTCCAAATTGCGAGTGACGCCTCGTACCTTCCAATTGCCATTCTGAAGTAAAGAATTAACAACGGAGTTTCCCTGCTGGCCTGTGGCTCCCAAAACAACAATGGTGTCCATTCTAGCGGTGGTAGTCTGGATGTTGCTTGATGCTTGTTGTGTAAAGCAGGAAGAGTTGGTGTTTGACGCTGGAGTTGGAGAAGAGGTTGGATTTGTTATTGTAATAGTTGTAGTTGTAGTTGAGGAACTAATGGATGATGATCTGAAGTCTGAAGTGATTGTTGCATTATATAGACTACACACGCCTCGTCTACTCTAGAAGTGACGTAACCTACCCTGTGCCCAGAAGCAAAAAGCACAGCGGCTATGTGCTACCGGGCTACGCTGTTTTCTCGCAGTCTGTGTTGGGTCCGACGCCCGAGATTGGCAAAACGACCCAAAGAATCAAGAAAGAGGATTAGAGATGCCTTAAGCACCAACACTCATGGTAGTTGATTAAAATTGCTCGTTAAACGATATCAACAATTTGAATCACATGATTCATTTCAAGGAATAAGTGCAATCAATGTGGCAAACCTTTGAAATGTTGAGTCTTTGTTTTCACGGGTATTCCGAAAGTCTGTATTGTCAGGTTTGACCTAACGGCTGGCTATGCGGGGACCAAGTCCCATATCGTGGAAACTGAAAAGCAAATGCCAAGAGAAAATTCTGGGCTGACATTTAAACTCGTCCAATCAAAGCGGGCCTCGGAAGGTTCGCAGCCGAAACGTCGCGCCCGAACAAGTGGGCAGGGCATGGCAGGGCAGGCAGGGCGAATATAATTGGACACCTCTGGTATCTCGGTGTCGAGCGAAGTGCGAATGCCGTCGGGAGCCTCCAGACACCGAGACCTCAAGCTCAGTGGCTACAAAGTCGGCAGAAGAGGATGTCTGCAAAAGAAGCTGATAGATATGGTGCCTGCATCAGGCGGAGGATGCCGGAGTTTGAAGAATGCATCTGCAAGTATTTACAACTACCGAGATGGCAGCATTCAAACGTTCCTGCCAGCTTCTTTTCTAAGTGCCTCTCAACATGGTCCATCATCGTGTCGGGTTTCGAGAAGGTGCGCACGCCTGTCGTAACTCTGTCGATCGTCACCAATACAGAATATACACCGAGTTTTCTCTCAGATGAGAGGGAAAGTATTGGGAATAGGCGATTCCTCCTTCAGCACTGTACAGTCTCTTGCAAAACCGGCTTCCCCTTCATCTCTGCCTAATGATAAGGTCCCTCCTTGGGCGTGGGGCAGCTACCTACCTCGAAGCAATGCCCATGCAATCACGGTCATTTATACCAACACTATACCCTTCAGATCTCCAGAAGTCATCATCTCTCCATCCATCATGCCATGCACATAGCACTCCCCTACAAGTTCGTACGTCGAATCGATTATATGATCTCCGTCCTTCCTCACTGAATGCCGAAGAACGAATGGCGTCTCGGCACCTTCGATTACAAATACCAAGTCACCCTCCTGACTCCCTGCAGGAACTGCCCCTATGTACCCATTATCTAGGACACAAAATCTCCGGTGCAGAGTACATTGCTTGAGAGCAGTCGCAAATAGACTGCTAAATAGGTCCATGATCTGCAGCCTGAGATCACCGTCCAAGAGACCAGGAAACCTCTTCACCAGTTTCTTCCGAAACTGGCTCAGATCTTCTCCCCGGAGCCTGGCCAAGAGGATACGCTCTTGAAGGTCATATATGGTTCCGTGGGATCTGTAAGATGGCGGTGCAGGCCTTTCGTTCGGTGTACGATTGCCGATAAGTGTCCGCCAGAACACTTCAGGTAAGTCTTCGCCAGTGGGATACGGATCTTGGGCCCATTGAAGTGTCAGATCCTGAGCTTGCTCTCGCCACATTCTAGTACCTTCAAGACTGGCTCCAACCTTTTCTTCAGAGAAGTCCAATTGCCAAGTGTCTCCAAGGTGAGAAATTTTGCCGGTCAATATGCCTTTGACTTCGATACTGTCTGGAATGGGTCCGAGGCGCACGAATGGTGATGTTGTTTTCCCCGGCAGCATACCCACAAGATTTTGTGACCGAATTGAAACTCCTGTAGCTGCTAGGACAATTTCCTCTCCCTTTGGCGAGTTGTAAAAGTATGGGTCGGATGACGATCCGGCAGCTCGATAAATGAAACCGTATCCAGCTAGGTGGTGGGCAAGACTATAGGCAGGCGGAACATTGCTCCAGTCTGGTGCCCATGAAGGGAGGTTCTTGACGAGTCTTGGGTATCCAATTCCGGCCAGTGGAAGAATGCAGAGCGGGATTCTGAAAGCTGAGGCTTCTCGCGTGAGCAAATTCCGAGCTGTCTCAATAAATACGTCCCGGTCTGATCTAGCGTAGTTTATCGTGGTGGGAAGACTAGGAGATAGTCTTAGTAATCCTCCTAACGACAACCTATCTCGCTCTGCTTCCAAAGAGAGTCCCATCAGAGCAAAGATTTTATCCTTCGGCTCTGTTGACTTATTCCGCGAAAACCGGATAAGAAGATCGTAAAGATTTTCTTTCGTCCCGATAGTTCGCTCCACAATTCTCATATTGTGCATCTGGCGGAGTGGTATCATAGCGGATGGCAATGATGCTTGAACAAACCTGATCTGTGCGGTCGTGAGAGTACTCATCTGTGTAGTCATCCAAGAGGAGCAGATATTGTTTACTACCCCTTGGAAGTCATCGAGAGATACCTCCTCTGAGCCATAAAGGACAATTGCCGAGCTTGCAAATATGACTTCTTGAACCACCCAGACTCTCTCAAACCAAGGATGTTGTAGGAGATTGATCAAGGCGTGCCATTCAGGGGAGATCTCAGTGCTTTCTGGTATGATGAGACTAAGCAGTTGGTTCATGAACCATTTTACTGTGACTACAGGTGTCAATACCTTTCCCAATAGCCACCAAGGCATGTAAGCTTGTGATCTGCCCCATATAGCTACCGCACGGTCAACCCATCTGGGCAATACATTATCCAGAATAGATTGAGGTGCCACACGCTGAACAACGGCTGACAACTTTTGAGCGGTTCCAATAAGTAGAGGCATCATCCAGAATGGGCTGACCTCTCTCTGCACACGTGACAGCCTTCTCACTAGACCCATCGCCAGTGGAGCATCGTCACCATGGCCAAGCCATATCACGACATTGGTGGCATGGTGGTAGATATCACCCATCATAGCGATTTGTGCTTCCTTCTCTCTCTTGTCGGATTGGTTGATGCAAACCGCATCGATCCAGACGTACATCTTCTGCCCAGAACGTTGCACCATATCCAGAATATCGCGCACGTTCGTCGTAACGGCGAAAGAAGCCTCGTTGAGTGACATGGCATGCAAATCGTTCCCATCTCCCCATGTGTAAGAGATGGCATGGTAGGGCGGTGATGCCTCAAGGAGGAAGGATGTCAGCCGACAAGCCAGCGGATCGGAAACATCTCCCGGCAGTACTTCGATCAGGCGGACATGTTTCGTACTTTCGAGCTGATCGTACTCAAACTGTCCGACTTTCGAGCGCTCTCGTGACCTGTCCATTGATCGTGGTGTACTTTACGTTCGAAAGAGCAAGCATTTCGGAATTAAAACGTGGCAGAAGGCTTGGGATAAGGGTAAATGTTCGAAGGCTTCGTGCGAACCTACACCTCGCACTCTTGTAATGCAGGGGGGTTTTGGGCTCCGCTAAACTATATGTGGTTAGTTTGTGTCAGGGTAAAAGTTGCAACAGCTGGAACACAAAGGGGAAGCTGGTTTTGCACGCAACTATATGCGCTACTCTCTCTAGAGCTATTTCTAGCCAAGGAGATTACGTTGCAAGAGAGATTTCTGGAGTTATTACAAAATATGCTGCACGGGATCTAGTTGCGGCGCCACGATCGTGGCTGACACAACGCGCTGACACAAATCGCTGACTCTGGCGGGTTTGGGGAAGGATGGGGAGAGAGCGATAGATGGCGAGTTTTGGAAGAATGTTGGGAGGAAAGCCAGTCTTGGGGTGAGTACATAGGTGGCCTGACCATGGGGGGTAACCTCGGCTGACCTAGAAATGCTCATATAGAGGTAGTAAGTAAGAGTAGTTAGTAGGTGGGTTTTATAGGCCGACAGAAGCGCTATAGCATATGTGGTGTTATAGGCCATAATTCCCATACTTACAAGAGGCGCTAGGAATTAATTATAGTTGAATAAGGGTCATTATGTAAGGTGGTGGTGTAGTAATAGTTAATTTTAGTGTTTTACTTGTTCACTGGCTTAGGTTGTTCATTCGCTCTTGAAATACGTTATGTAGCTACCACGATTATTTATATTTATAATAAAACACCACACATTAAATGTTACAGCGACGCCGCCAACTCATTACAGCTGCTCTTAGGCCCTATTGAATATATAATATTAAATTTTCTCTTTTCGCTGTACGTACATAGAAACTATAGGAAGTGGTTCCAACCCGTATTTTCACATCGTGGCAATCGGACTTGTGCCAGCAAGTTCAGCTTCAACATTCAGTGCTTCGATTTCGGAATCTGCGAGAGGAATTCCATCGCGCAACCTTTCTTCGTGTCTCAGCTGCTCAATCTCCCCAGGGAAATAAATCCTATCGACTCCATGCATTTTATCCGAGCCAACCACCCGTTGATACAGGTAGTCCATACGCTCCCGGAATTCTTCCAAGGGCATGAACAAGTCAGGCTTGATCGCAATGAGAAAATGCCCAACATCTGCTGGTTTCGATGGATCATATGGACCAGTCACATTGCCTGCAAAGGCTGATCCTGAAAGGACACCCGAGAAGACGTCCATCATCACCGCGAGGGCCGACCCCTTGGGGCCTCCCATTGGCAACATAACTCCTTTCAAGGCCTCAGTCGGGTCATCCGTTTGCTTTCCCTCTCCATCTAGAGCCCAGTCTAGAGGAATCTTCTCACCTCGGCGTTTAGCTTTGTAGATTTTGCCCCGTGCTGCTACTGATGGGGCCATATCTAAGATAAATGGTGGTTGCTTTCCACCAGGAGCCCCGCAAGCAATTGGAGATACTCCCATGAGCTTCGACTTTCCTCCCCAAACGGGAAGAGCAGGCGACGAGTTGGTAAATACCAAACTCATCATGCCCTCATCCAGGGCTTGCTGTACGAGCCATGCCGACATGCCGAAGTGGTTGGAGTGTTTGATGGATACCATGCCAATTCCAAATTCTTTTGCCATCTCGATGGCACATGCCATGCCTTGGTGGCCCGCGAGAAAGCCAAAGCCATTGTGTCCATCTACCTGTCCATTTGTTAGCGCAACATACTCGTAAAACAGTTAGGGACGTACCTGGGCAACAACTGGAGTAATTTTGGTCAGGGTTGGTGTAGCTTTTGCGTCCAACACTCCTTCTCGTACTCGAGTCATGTACGATGGGATACGATTTATGCCATGGGTATCCACGCCACGCAAATCAGCTTGCACGAGGCATTTGGCAATAATCGATGCATTTTCTTTCAGAACACCGCTTCCTGTGAGTACACCTTCTACGTATGATTGAGCGCTTGAGCCGCTAACTCGCGTGTAGTTGGGGTCGTTTTGGGTGGGATCCATTGCAGAATCAATTGGGAGGACAAGAACTTGAAGTTGAAGTATGAAATGTAAATGGGTGTCTTGATTTATTTCAGCTATGCCAGTATCGCCTTTATATACTATGGAGTGAGAAAATATTTATCGTGGGTTATTAATTGGGAGCTGCCGTTCGTTGTGGTTGCCGCCCGACGGAAACTCCGCACCCACTCCGCACCGATGTGCGGAGTTTCCGTGGGAACTTCACAGAGGCGAGCTGGAAGCAGGAATTGTACCATAGATACAATCAGCGGTTTTTCTACTGAATGAACGGGAAAAGGGTTGAATTGCAATCATAAATCACACTCTCTAAAGGTCTATAGTATAGAAAATAGATTGGATTAAGAGCATATGCACCTCTAGCACATTTTAGCTTCACTTTGGAGAATCCGCGCACATTTGGTTCCATTAGCGCCAATCTGCGCAAGTGTGATCACATCGAGCTTCGAGATATCTCAACACCCAATTTGTCAATACCTTAAGCTTCATTTTTCAGAACCCGCGCACTTCCAGTAGAACCGGCAATCTGCGCAATTTCACAGTAATCGAGAATCCTAATTTCATTCCTAGTTCTATAAACCACCTACGTACCAAACAGTGTCTGTACGCTATGCTAAACCTTGAGGTCTGTCCTACACAATCCCTCCCTCAGTTCTTATCACCCAGCCACGTCTCAGTAGTAATCATCCTCCCCCAACCTCTCAGCTCAGCTGGAGTAGGACTGATTGATAGCACAACCCCCCTCCCACAGCTTTCACACAAGAGAAGAGCACGACAGCACAGCCAGGACCCGTTGGTGTAACCAAGCTACCGGATCGCGTCGTATCGTCTATGCGCTCTGGACGAGGCGCCGTGGCTTTTTGCTGTGGTACTGTACTGCATTTTACGGGCTTTTACGCCCTCCCGGTTGAAGAGGTGATTCCACCATCCACAACAATCTTCTGCCCGGTTATATACTTCGCCTCGTCGGAAACCAGAAATAATGCTGCGTGGGCGACATCCCAAGCATCTCCCATGCTCCCCATCGGAACCTGCGCGTTCCTCATCTTCATATACTCTTCGTGTCCTCCGTCTGTCGCATACCGGCCCACGAGGCTTTTGGTGTATGGTGTATCCATCAACCCTGGAACCACCGTGTTCAACCTCACTCCCTTCGGCGCGTAAATGACCGCCGTCGCCTTCATGAACTGCATGATTGCCGCTTTCGTCGCTGAGTACCCGACTTGAGGTTTACCAATATACCGCAGACCCGCAATGCTCGCGACGCTGACAACTGCACCCGCTCCCTGCTTCTCCATGATTGGCAAAACATGATGGCAAGTCAAGAATACGCTCCGGAGATTGATCTCGATCTGCGAGTCCCAAACCTCCTCAGACATCGTTGCTGGGCATCCAGGCTCTGAACGGCCAACGTTGTTCACCAGAATATCAATTCGGCCATGCTTTTCCATGCACGCCTTTACCAGTGCTTCCACCGACTTTGAGGACGTCACATCTGTCTCCAGTATATCGCAAACTCCCCCTGCCTCCTCGATAGCCTTCTTCGTCGAGATTGTGGATGCGATGGTACGGTTGCCGCCGAAAATCTTGGCTCCCTGCCTAGCTAGGAGAACCGCTATCGCAGCGCCGATTCCCCATCCCCCAGGCTGAGTTTGGCCTAGGCCTGTAATGAGAACGATCTTTCCTTCAAGGCTCAACATCTCGATTTTGCAAGAGATTAGTAATTTTTGAATAATGCTGTCTCTAAAAACCTTTGTCGGTATTACTTGTCCTCATTTATGTTATAAAATTGCTACGGATTCTCCGTCTACTTGCTTGATGGGGGTTCCGGAACCCCGCTTTTTATTCCCCGCTGCTGTCACGGCATCGCCGCTCGACGAGAAGTACCAATGTCGTGATAAACCCCCATTGCCTCGTCGCCTTGTTTGAATTAAATGCCATGTCTTCCTCCAAGATGGCAGAATCATCTAATAAGACCGTTAAGCATTCGCTCAACGATGACTATGATCTATTGAAACCAATCACCTCCACATCTGGTCTCCGCCAGGGGTTAACATCTTATGGCGATGCTCACTTCTCGCTATTTCTCCGAAAGGTGTTTATTAAGGCACTTGGCTATAGCGAAGATGCTCTTTCAAGGCCAATTATCGGTATAATTAATACATACTCCGCTCTGAACCCATGCCACTCAAATATCCCACAACTCATCGAAGCAGTTAAACGTGGTGTTCATCTTAATGGCGGACTGGCAGTTGAATTCCCCACGATCTCGATCGCCGAGTCCTTTTCTTCGCCCACGAGCATGTTTCTCCGGAATTTGATGAGCATGGACACTGAAGAAATGATCAAAGCCCAACCGCTAGACGCATGTATCATGATCGGAGGTATGTTTGTTCCTTCGTTGTTAAGACTACGGGCCCTGACGGCGATGGCAGGATGTGACAAAACTGTGCCCGCCCAACTAATGGGAGGGATCTCAGCAAACAAACCGGTTCTACCATTGGTGACTGGGCCCATGATGCCAGGAAGCTACAGAGGAAAACGCCTTGGCGCATGTACGGATTGCCGCAGTAATTGGGCCGAGTTTAGAGCTGGCACCCGTGATATTGAAGACATTAGCATGCTCAATGAAGAACTGGCACCCACGGTACGTCGATTTCTCAAATCGTGTAAATAATAGCTGAAGATTTCAGGGTGGAACGTGTGGTGTAATGGGGACAGCAAGCACGATGGCCTGTGTCACCGCGGCGCTGGGCTTCATGCCACTTCGAGGAGCATCAGCTCCTGCGGTATCATCAGCACGCCTTAGGATAGCAGAGGAAACAGGTGCGAATGCAGTTTCGGTTGCCGCAGCTAAACGCACCCCGCAAGAAATGCTATCCAAGGAATCCTTTTTCAATGCTATTACTGTTCTTCAGGCCATTGGAGGATCAACAAACGCTGTGGTTCACCTGATGGCGATCGTGAACCGCCATCCAGAACTCCAAGGCGAAATTACGTTGGAAACGTTTGACGAAATTGGAAGAAAGGTACCTTTACTGATCGATTTAAAACCCAGTGGGGATAATTACATGACCGATTTCCATAATGCGGGTGGTATGCTAGCCTTGCTCTATATGCTACGACCCGTACTACATCTTCAGGCCATGACAATCACCGGCCAGACTCTAGGGGAAGTTCTCGATACCTCGCCCTTTCGATCATTTACGTTTTCCTCTGAGATCATCCGACCATTCTCTAACCCTCTATACCCAAGCTCATCATTGGTAGTTTTACGTGGAAATTTGGCGCCGAAAGGTGCTGTCATGAAAGCCTCGGCATCGAAAGACCGACGTCTTCTGCAACATTCAGGCCCCGCTGTAGTTTTCAAGAACTCCATCGATCTCGCACAACGCATCGACGATCCAGATCTTGTCGTCACTAAAGACTCCGTCTTGGTGCTCCAAGGAATTGGGCCAATTGGCAACCCGGGCATGCCGGAAGCAGGATTGATCCCTATTCCTAGGAAACTAGCCATGGCAGGTGTAACGGACATGTTACGCCTTTCTGACGGGAGAATGTCGGGGACAGCTGGCGGTACGATCGTCTTACATATTTCTCCTGAATCGGCGATACCGACTTCGGTTCTTGGGGTCGTAAGGAACGGCGACATTATTGTCTGTGATGTTGAGAGACGGTACATTGGGCTTGAGGTTGACCCGAACGAAATCCAACAACGAATAGCTGAACGGCAGATACTTGTATCAGCAGAACGTGATACTAGTGCGGGTGAAGTGGCGAAGAAGCGGGATCCTGCAAAACGTGGATATAGGGCTTTATACGAACGTCACGTTAATCAGGCTGAGGATGGAGCCGATTTCGACTTTTTGACCGCCGCTGGCCAAGATATAGCATAGTATAAGGTCTACTAACGTATGTATGTGATATGCAAGTCGGATAGACAAGCGGGTTGGTCAAAAGGTAGGACGACGCCATACTTTAAGTGAATAATAGCAATACCGAAATATATACATTTTATTGAAGCTTTTAAAATATTTATTTGTAGCTATATTTATATTTTTTCAAGAAACTGAGTACGTTACATCCAGGTATCACGCCTCGTGTGCCTACATAATCTATTTATTGCATAACATCCACAGGCTATGGAGCTTTAGCATCGAGTTATTATGGGTTATAAGTGGAAATTTCACAGGAGGGGGTTCAAAGCTGTTAGCGGGATGTTATAAGGATTAGGCCTAAGAAAGTCTAGTCCACTAGTGAAGTTATAGGACTCCAATACGAAGCTTCCGGTGGCAACTTTCACCCATTAGCAAAGGACAAACAAACACGACACCAATGCTTTCAGTGAAGCTAAGGGCAGGAGCAAAATACAGAGGTCCACTTGACTCCGTGATGCCTTCTTCAACACTCTCCCAATCCCACCGTTTTATTTCATACATCTCTTGCACTTGGTATCGTTTGGAGCCAACTTTCCGTCTCTCTAGGACTCCGAAACCTTAAAACCTTCAGGTGGCTGTACTCAGGCTGCTCGAAAAGAGTTGGATAGTCGTTTCGATGGCTTTTATGCATTCGAATCGTCCAGGCAAACAAGTTTTCTTCGGGATCCAGCGTCAAATGATGTCCAATAGATTCCCGATTCCCATTCCAGAGTTCTTTTTGTTTAAAAATCCGACCCATTGTCCGCTTGAAGACTCGCCACAGGGCTAGCCAGAGAGGGTAGTCAAGCCAGATCAACGTGTCGGCTCGTCCCCAGACAATATCGCGGACAGCTTTGTAGTTTCCGTCGAGCACCCAATTATCAGTGGCGCTGATCGATTCGCTGACACGTTCACGCATTTCATCCTTGGGAAGCGGAACCCAATTTGGTTGCCAATTAATGGCATCCAGTTCGACGTTGTGCAGACTGAGTCTGCTTGCTAGCTCCCCAGCTAGAGTTGTCTTTCCTGCGCCTGGTTTGCCGACGATGACGATTCTCTCGAGGGTCATTATTGATATGACTGGTCAGATTCTGAGATAGGGAGAAACTGGTAATTATAATAGTTATGAAGAAATTGTTTGTCTGTGACACGAAATATTAGATTCTTCACAAAGACCGAGACATCCTGTCGGCGAGCCCAATAAGGCTTAGCTAAATAACGCCTTCAATGGCCCGTGCGACTTCGTCCCCAAGCACGACTAGAATTTATTTATAGACCAATATATGAAACAGGATTTTGGGTGCGAAATTTGTGTATAAATATATATAAGAATGGTATAATAGTAAAAGACATGGAGCAAATAGCTATGTACAATCGCTATTCATGTGTACGATAGATAAATGCGCCCATTAAAGCAACGTCTTTTAAATCCGCCTCTATCCAAAATTCGACGGAATCAGCCTGAGTTCCTGCACACACTTGACAAGCCCATGCGGTCGATTTATTGGGTTTGCTTCCAATCTTAATAATATAAGATCAGGGAAGAGGCAGTGCCTTGCAAGATTTGCTTACAATGCGGAGTGTCTACCACAACGATGGTTTAGACTCCAACGCAGATGTAGTAGTCAGCCCACAGGTTAGTGCAGGTAGCATCGACCTGGGTGTTCCAACTGCGGAGCTGGGCGAGGCTGATATTGTATTGTGTCCCGATTTTGTCGCATCCTTCACCAGAGGCAACCTTGTGGAAGGTCTTGCAGTTGGCAACAACGCCAGGCATCTGTGGCGTAGGGCCAGAGTTGGTGGGGGTTGGGGTACCTGGGGCGGTGGTTGTCGCGCCGGGGATGTGCACGCAGACGTAGTAATCGAGCCAGAGGTTGGTGCAGCCTGTTGGGATATGTTAGAACATCAAGCTTTTAAGGCGCTCGTATTCAAAGTAGGGATACGTACCAGCGTTGGTCTCCGAGTTCCACTTCTTGAAATCGCTGTCACTGATGCCGAACTTCGATTCAATGGAGTCGCACTGGTCACCAGAGGCGATCTTGTAAAACTTATCACACTCGGCTACGATGCCAGGCATCTGGGGTGTTGGGCCAGAGTCGGTGGGCGTCGGGGTACCAGGGGAGGTGGTTGTCGCGCCTGGAACGTGGACGCAGACATAGTAGTCAAGCCAGAGGTTGCTGCACGCTGTTGGGACAAAGTTAGAACACCAAGCTTGAAGATAATCACATTCAGAAGTAGGGATACGTACCAGCGTTGGTCTCCGAGTTCCACTTCTTGAAGTCGCTGTCACTGATACCGAATTTGACTTCAATAGTGTCACACTGATCACCAGAGGCGATCTTGTAGAACTGATCACACTCGGCTACGATGCCGGGCATGGTAGGGGAGGGCCCAGATGGTGCCACAGTTGTAGTGGTGGTAGGCGCCTGGGTGGTGCTGGTGGGCGCAGCTGTGGTGCTGGTCGCTTTGGCGGTGCTGGTAGGCGCGCTACCAGTGGGCGAGGTGACGGTGCCGATCACACAGTAGCTCTTGCTGCCGTCAAGAGTAGGACACTGTGCGTCCGGGTTCAATTTCTGAAACTGATCGACAGAGATACCCCAAGATCCACTGAACGTCTCGCAGGTGTCACCGGCATTAGCACCTACGGAGAAGCTACAGCTAACATCTCGGCGCATAGGCACCGCCGCCGCGGCAAGGAGCTCGGGGAGGAGACCGGCGGCAATGAGGTAGTTGAACTGCATCTTGAGAATAGATTGTTCGAAGTGGATTTGGATGAAGAAAACGACACTGATTTACGTCTCGGGGTCAAAACCATCTGCTTTTATAATTAGACCTCCCCCTCACTTTCTGCCGGCTTCATTTTTTTATGTCCCACTTCATCATCCCTTGCCCGTTCGTTCTCGCCATTTGTGCCGAGAATCCTTCAGACGAACTCGTCTTTAGGCTAGACCCTAGCTAATGATAGATGATTACAATACCAAGACCTTGGCGCCTACCATTCCATCAGCTTATGGACCAGCGTCAATCCTTCGATATGCGCGATAAAGGACATGTGGTTTTGTTTATGGGGATATGTGGTTTGCTGCTTAGAGTTGTGGTAACATGGTGCGGATAGCAGGTCCACATAGTCGCCGCTAGCGCGATTCGACTCGGCCCGACCGTTTGAGGGAAAACTAAGCGCTGACAAGCACTTTAAGCAATTGCCATGCACCCTTAAAAGTACCGACAGGGGTTCCCCACGCTAAGATCCCGCTGTCTGAATTGTTTTGGTCTACTTGCTTATGTAGACAGCCAAGGGGCAAACAAGGGGTAAAGTATTGCAACGTTGCCGCAGACAAAATCAATAACACAAAAGTCCATGTCTACGTGAATCCCTCAATCAGCTCTTTCCCTCTGTTCTCCATCACAGCCACGGCTTACTCTCATCGGCGTCTTTGTCAATCATGTATAACTTGTCTCGCGGCATGAGTCTCCTTGGCTCCGGTGTAGCCGTCCTTCTGGCCTGCGCTAGGACTGCCCAGGCTGCCTCGGGCACCCTGGAAGTGGACTTGGTCTTTCCGCAGAACGATACCTACGCACCCGCACACATCATCCCTATCACCTTTGCATTCCAGAATTCCGATCTTGCCGGCTACGTGCAGCCCAGCATCGCGTTCACTATTATCCCCTATGGGAACAACACCAAGGCCATTGCGAATGGCAACTTCGAGATGACATGGACCAACTTCACGGATAGCAACCCTTTCATTCAATACGGCGAAGCTCTGGAGGGTCTCAACTCTGAGGGCACCTGGGCGCTCGATTGGCAGCTGTCTGTTACCAACTGCTCTGGCCCTGACAATGACTTGAAATTCACAACGGATACGAAAATGCACCGGGTTGTGTTCACGACCAAGAATGGCGCGAAGGCACCAGACGTCAGCGCAGCTACTGCCAAAGACACCTGCTCCAATTCCCAAGGCTTTGCATTCCAAATCACGCAGACGCTTGATTCAGGGGGCAAGTTCGACAACGGCAGACCTTGCGCCGTGCTGGCAGAGACCACACCAGCCCCCACTCCTTGTGGTGTCAAGATCGATGCTGCTGCTGCGGCTAATGTTTCTGCGTCCTTTACCGCCAAGGCCTGCGCCATCGAGACTGCGTCCTGGTGCCCAAAGGTGGATGGCGCAAACCAGAACGCGGTGCTATCGAGCGTTGTGGTTGGTGGCATAGCATTCCTGGCAGTGGTGGTTGGTGGGCTGGGGTTTCTCGCCATTTGATGTGGAGTTCCCGAGTTCCCGTCCGTTCCGGATCAAGGAAGCATGCCTGCTGCTTTTGCGCATGTAACTAAATAGGCTTACTAGAACAAGCTCCACAATACAAGTGTTGGCTTGCCCGGTCGATCATGGCTTAAATTACAGTTATGCACCTACAAATGTAGTCCATGTCAGCACTTTCTGGCTATTACGTACCTACATCTATTCCATGTAAGATTTAAGGTACGGTAGGAATTAAGCCCGTGTATCCGTGTGTCCGTGTCTGCCCGTGTTAGTGCCTCTCTGCTTGTGTCTCCTCTACATTCTTCGTCTTAGTAGTGGCAGAAAGCTAGTGTACGTAATGAGTTTATCCACAAAAAATCCCTGAATTGTTTATTGTCTATTGTTTGGTACATAGACCCTTGGCAGGGTTCGCAATCCTGCAGGAACAAAATTAGACTTGCAATTAGACTTACATGGTAGTTGACGGCGGCTACCGGAGCGAAGGAAGCAAGCTTTACTACATTAGTCGAGAAGCAACGCCCAGGCGCAATAACGCCAGGAAGTGCATCTTGGCAAGTTATTCACAGCGATCTAGAATTGGTCCAGTGATCCGAGGTTAAACCGCCATAACAAGGCCATTTCTTGCCTGAGTAGATGACAGGGTTATATTGCTTGCCCGGATATAGTGCAAGGTTATAGGCCTACGCTAGAACGCCATGAATTCCTAGCAATTCCTCCGATGAGCTTCCGCTTTTCCGTTCCAGACACGAACGCCAAGATCTGCGACGATGGATGGAATCCTTTGATGGGCCGTCGCTCCTTCCTGTTTTACATCCTAATTGTCATTAAGCTTTCACGGCCAAGGGCCAGGTCTTAGTGGATATCGAAGTTATCTCCATCGACCTGAAGTGCGATGACCACAACACGGCTGCAACATGTGGACATTGGATGTCAACGTCAAGTTTACTATCAATCGAATCGAGAGTAGCTTTTCTACTCAAAAGGCACAGAAACCTCTCTTTTTCTCCACTATACTACGATGTATAATCAGATCAGTAGCATCTTACGCCCCCACGGGCCCTGGCACTGGATGACTGTATGCTCCATGGTCTACATTCAACATGTCGCCTTCATTATACTAGTCAAGGGGAGTGCATGTACAGCCAACCCTTAATTATCCGGTATACGCCCTAAGCTGGGTTGTCAGCCTTCAAATCCATGTGAGCTATTTTCAATGTTTTCATTAGTTCACTAAACCGAAATGTTCTATTGGCGACGTTGCATGCCTCCGCTTGTGAGGCTGTGAGAGTACGGCCGAGATATGAAGCTCAAGAAGAATACAAAAGCCGGCTGATGCTGCTTGGTTGCCTTTCCTCAACCTCGCCAGTCTTCTTTTCTCATCATACGTGTTTGCGCTCTAGGGTGTGCTCTCAGTATGGTATTCTCTCCTTGGGCCAGGGCCTCCCTTGTGGCCTATGGCCTCTTGATGGCTGCTGATGTTGTCTCGGGTAACCCACGAAGACATGCAGTCAGTCCTACCTACCGCAACAGCAACGTCTGCCCAGAGCGTTGCAGTGATCTTGGGACAGATCCAAGCAAATGGCACGCCTACCACAACCTGGAGCAGTTCAGTGCCTGCGACCAGGCAGTGATCCAAGCCTTTTCCATCTACGACGATGTCGACGATGCCTCCAAAGGCCACGGAATTTACGCCTGCACTTCATACGGTCCTGACTTTGCAAACCTCCCACAGTTTAGAGTTAAGGCAGTCATTGCTGAAACTATTGACGCCACTTACGAAGTTGGCTGGGGGGACGATGGCCATAAACTCGCTGCCGCCGATATCCGCTCCGCCTCGAAGCAGCTCCGCAAGTACATGAAGGGCGGACATGGCTCTGCCGAGTCCGCAGAGATCTTGTACGCTCGATCTGGCCGCGCTGCCGTTGGTCTATACTTGGGTAAAGGCTTGCAGAAGGCGGGCGTCAGCGCAGTCGCTCTCAAGTACCTAGAGGACAACCTAAGTACTCTCAACGCTACATCGCGTGACGTGGCTATCCAGTTCTGCAACCCAGACTACACCAGCGAGCACACCTTCGGATTTTTTGCCACTAGCAGCAGGACCTTCGCCCCTGTCCAGAAGGCTATGCAGTCTTGGGCTAATGGCACTTGCGTGTCGTTTCCCAACTCGCAGACCTTCGAGGGCCAGGCTATGCTAACTGCCAAGCTCCCAACTACTTCCGTATCAAACGACACGGTTGCTGATACCAACTCTACATCGGCCATCACCAGCCGGTCTAACTATGTGAAGCTTAACGCTCGTGCTGAGTGCTCCACCACGCAGGTCCAGGGTGGTGACGACTGTGGTAAATTGGCGGTCAGGTGTGGTATCGCTGCCGCTGATTTCACCAAATACAATAGCGACGCAAGTCTCTGCTCGACTCTGAAGCCGGGACAGCACGTCTGTTGCTCGGCGGGAACCCTTCCTGATTTTGCGCCGAAGCCAAACCCTGATGGTTCCTGTAAGGTGTACTATGTTGCTAAGGATGATAACTGCTCAAACATCGCTGCTGCAAACAGCCTCACCAATGCCGACCTAGAGGACTTCAACAAGAATACTTGGGCTTGGAGTGGATGCGACACCCTCCAATTCAACATGAACATCTGCTTGAGCACGGGCGACCCGCCCATGCCGCCTAGTCAAGAGGGTATCGTCTGTGGTCCGCAAAAGCCTGGCACCAAGCAGCCAACCGATGGCACCAAGCTCGCGGACCTTAACCCCTGCGCTCTGAATGCCTGCTGTGACATTTGGGGACAATGTGGTATTACCGCTGAGTTCTGCACCGACACCGGAACTGGCAACCCAGGAACCGCTAAGCCCGGCACCAACGGCTGCATCTCCAACTGCGGCACAAAGATGGTCAAGGGCAGCGCCCCCACCGAATTCCGCAGGATTGCTTACTACGAGGGTTACAGCTTCGGGCGTGAATGTCTATTCCAGGATGTTCTTCAGATCGATCCCACGCAGTACACTCACCTGCACTTCGCTTTCGGTACCCTCACAGCGAATTATGAGGTCGAAGTTGGTGATATTATGTCTTCATATCAATTTGAAAACTTCAGACGCATTCAGGGCCCAAAACGTATTCTCAGTTTTGGTGGATGGGATTTCTCAACTATGCCGGAGACTTATACTATTTTCCGTGAGGGAGTCACTGCTGCCAACAGGCTGAAGCTGGCCACAAATATTGCCAACTTCATTAAAGAGAAGGATCTTGATGGTGTCGACATTGACTGGGAGTACCCCGGCGCCCCTGACATTCCAGGTATCCCGGCGGCCAGCTTGGATGATGGTGATAACTACCTGGCATTCCTAGTTATCCTAAAGAACCTGCTGCCCGGCAAGTCCGTCTCCATTGCGGCTCCCTCTTCATACTGGTACTTGAAGGCCTACCCACTCAAGAAGATCGCAGCAGTTATCGACTATATTGTTTACATGACGTACGATCTTCATGGCCAGTGGGATGCCCAGAATCCCAACTCTCAGGAGGGTTGCGCCAACGGCAACTGCCTTCGTAGTCAGGTCAACCTGACGGAAACCATGAGCTCACTGATCATGATAACGAAGGCTGAAGTTCCATCGAACAAGGTTGTCGTCGGTATCACTAGCTACGGTCGATCCTTTAACATGGCCCAGGCTGGCTGTCACACCCCCGAGTGTCTCTACACTGGTGACCGCCTGAACTCTGATGCCACAAAGGGCAAATGCACTGCTACTGCTGGCTACATCTCTGATGCTGAGATTAAGGAGATCATAGACGAGGGAAGCCGTGTTGCCAATCACTACGTTGATCCGACAAGTAATAGCAACATTCTCGTTTATGATGACACGCAATGGGTAGCCTACATGGATGATAGCATCCGAACTCAGCGTCATGCGCTCTACACTGGTCTAAACCTAGGCGGTACAACGAATTGGGCCACCGATTTGGAGAAGTACAATGATGTCCCTGGCGATTCTGGGAGCTGGTTAAACTACAAGTTGAGCATTAAGGCCGGCAAGAACCCTTGGCAAGTTGGCGACCGCACTGGCAACTGGACCGAGATAATGTGCGACAGTCAGGCGGCCTCAGACATCCGTGGTTTAACTCCCGAGCAGCGCTGGGACGGGATGGACATGGAGGACGCATGGAAGGATAGCATTGCTGTTTGGAAGGAATACGACAGGGGCAAAACCTCGTTTACTTTTACGCAGTCCATGTCACTCACCCTCAATGGTCCAGAGCGCGCCAGCTGCGGCTCCTTAAAGAGCGACAGCAACTGTATCCAGACATTGCAGTGCAGTCCCTTCCAGAATAAGGGGTCCGGCGCCGCCGCCTATGAGCTTTGGAACTCGTTCGTCATAATCCACGAAATGTATCAGACCTTCAATGATGCATTGTACAAGGCAGCCGCTACTGTTATCACCCCAGCGCTGTCAGACTTTGAGAAGAAGTTCACGCCCGTTCCTCCGGAAGAAGACAACACCTGGCTGCTGCTCCTACTCGATCTTGTCACTGTCGGAATCTCTGCCGTCGCCGCGCCCTTCTTCAACAACTTCATTGCTAAGTTGCCATACTTCATTGCGAAGGAGGCAGCAGCAAACAACATTAAGGATCTGACCCTGCTTGCTATTGGCCAATCTACCACGATTGCCAAGGATCTACTTAGCACCAAGGAGAGCGACTGGACTGAGGATAAACAAGACGAGTTCTCCAACTACCTCGGCCAATCCATTGCTGCGTGGGGTAATACCACTGGAGCAGCGCTTCAACGCCTCTTTAATGGGGAGGATGAGAGCATTGATGCTCTGTATGCCATCATCTCAGACGGAAAACTCATCTCAGGCGGCGGCGCCGAGTCTTCAACCGTTCCGCCCGAGACCAGCGAGGCCGAGCTGGAGAACCACATTGCAAGGGCCTTCTTCGCCTTTGCCATCCCCACTGGCTGGACATTCTCCAAGCATTACGCATTCGTGATCGACTCTGGCTACGACTGCAGCGCCTCTGACCCTATGGGCGACTACCTTGACGCGGACACTATGCACACCACTTATGGTTGTTACCAAAACAAGCTATACTACTTGGCCGCAGCCCAGGGCGACTCTAAGACATGCCATGACAATTGCAATGATGGTCACTGCGATAAAGTTTGCGTCGACTCTAAATTCAAGGCTCCCCCTGGCCTTGAAACCCTAGATGGCAAGAACTTTGGTGGCGTCTCTGTCCAGGATCTGATTCAAGGGTAAGATATCCCGCATTGCTTCGAGTTTTAATGTTTTGAGGAGATAAGTGAGAATCCAACTAACAAGCTATCTAGATCCGTCCGCACCTACCTCCAGAACAGCAACGAGAACGGCGGCGCGTTCGTCGACATCACTAATGGCGGCTCCTTCGACGACCTGATGGCGATCGATCTAACAACACCCGGCTTCATCCGCCTTCCCGTCTGCACCCCCGAGCGTGCCTACAAGTCCTGGGACACCGCCGGCCCTAAGGACGACGACCCATTATACCCCTGCAGCATCGCCAAGGGGCCCGACCACTGCCTGATCTCGTCCTTTGTCGACCAGACCTCGGACGCCTCCCCTCCCGTTGAAGACTGCAAGCAGATCATCAAGAACATCGAGGGCGACGGCGGTGCCACCTGGACAACCGGCATCAGCGGCCAGCGCCAGCTCGTCTCCTATGGTGAATGCAAGTTCGGTGTCCAGAGCAAGAGCGGCGCCGACGGTAACGTGACGTTTAAGGTCGGCTCGCAGGACATCATCGACCTCATCAACGAAGCCATCAAGCGGTTTGGTGGCGGCGGCAAGGTCGGTGCCAAGGGCATAGTGGATTGTGATGGTAACGTGCACGATACTACCATCGAGTGGGGCCTTTACTAAGTCATGGCCATACTTGGATGTGTACTCCTACCATATATATATGCATAGCTACCCACCCACTCATGGATATAGGGTATATAGGTTTTATTTAATTATGTGCCTTTCCTACGAAGTAATCGTGTGTCTCATAGGTGGTTGTGTGGTTGCTAGATGCCATGCACTTGAAAAGAGCGACTACGGGCGAAAGCTTGAGGTAGGGTAATGAATCAACTGACGAATACAACATTATATAGATGAGGTGGTGATAACAGATGAGAGAGCAAATGAGTGACGTATTGGCCGTTAAATAAACTAGCTTAATGGTTCACCGGAACATGGCCACTTCTAGCTTTTGTGAGATGGCACGAGGTAGATGGTATTCGAGGTTGCGCGATCTTCAAATGTATACCCATTTCCAGATATCGTCGCTTATGGCTGTCTGACACATAAGCGAGGTTATCCAAGGAAGTCGATAACATCGAACATCGAACGAGAATGAACACAGAGCCGTGTAGACCAGTAGCTATCAATTAGACCACATGATGGTCGACTTCAAGAAGCTCTTCAATCGCAAGGTCTTACTCAATGCCCGTCTAAATGATAAGCGCGACTGTTCTGACCGAGCTACAGAATCACAAGACCATTCGTCCGAAACGGCCAGAGTATGAAGATAAAAACGTTCAGCCATGTCTGCCCAAAACTCGAAACCGATCGTTGTCTGTGTATGAATCTGGTCAGAATACATCGGGGCTCCTGTGGAAGCTGCCGGTCGAGCTTCGTCGCCGCATCTACGATGAAGTCCTCGGCCATCGCAAAGTCCACCTGCTGTTCGAATTCGCACCACGCAAGTACCGTAGGGACAGAACGAATAAGAAAGAGATCTTAGAGTGGCGGTGGTGGCATTGCATTTGCACCTGGGACCAAACCATGGACAGTTATTCTTCGGGCATATGGTTTGACCGATGCAAAGACGTGGCTGTTAATGGGAATCCAGGCTCTTCGACTGGAATGATGGGAAGACTGAAACTAGATTTCGCGATTCTACTAACATGTCGACAAATGTAAATAATTGACATCCGAGCTGCTCCGGCTTCTATACCTTCGTGTAGGCTACTAACTTAAATACAAGATACTCGGAAGCAATCGACATCCTTTACAGCACCACAATATTTGATTTTGGTACTCGCCAGCTTCTGTGCGATTTCCCATCTCTAGTCCTCCCACAGCGCTTTGCACTCATTAGCGCCATTGAGATGATATGGGAATTTATCGATCTCGGTTTATCGCCCATCGACACCAAACGGACGCAACTGTATCGGGATATGTGGGCCATGCTTGCCGCTATGCCTAACCTCCGGCACCTCAAGATCGCGGTCGCATCTCACGAATGTCCTGATCCCGCACCGCCTGACTTGAAGGAAGTATGGCTAGGGCCTCCAAAGCAGCTAGGAAAATTGGATGTGTTTGTGGTGTTGGTTCCTGATTCGTACGCGAGAAGTTTTGATTTCAGCGTCGATGAAGGGTCGAATTTTACGCTGGATTCATTCCCGGATATAGTTACAATGCATTGTATGTGAATCTCGGCCAACACGTGATCACCATCTTGATGTGGGAGTAAATATGGATTATCAAAGGACGAATGGTTTGTTTTGTATAGGACAAGCCTGGGATTGCAATACATTCCGGGGTTATATAAGTAATGATTGGAGTTTATCATGAAAATCGTCTCACTACAGTCTCAAAAAGCTTATATCGCATATCATTATCATTGAGATGTTATAAAAATAAAAAATTATGAAGCTACATTTATCAAGCCATCTCTAATGCATAGTCTTTGGAGTCGCTAAGTTTTTGCCGCTGAAGATGACGGTTCACTACTCCATGGTTAGGGGGAGATAGTAGGGGGAAGGGACTTATTATGGTCAAACAAGCCGAATTACTAGTACGCAGAGATTGATGTGGCTCTTAATGAAGAGATGGTAGCGTCAAATTATCGCACCAAAGAATTACTTTGAATTGGGCCCATTGTAGAAGGTCAATAAATGTTTTCACTAATCCTTTTATATCTCTATCTAAAGGCTAGTACGTATAATACCAATTTTCAAGGCCATTAATCCTCCTTGTTCCAGCACGAGCCTGTTTATTGCAATGACGGAACCAGAGCATCAACACTGCTATGATTGTGATACTAGCCAATGACAGGCCAAGCGTAGTATAAACACCAGTCTAGTAAATGAAGTCAGCTCTATTATTTAATATTTGAGCGACATGGATGTTACACAACTTACTTTATAGCCAGGAGAGTCTTGGGAGCGGAATGCAACAGATGCGATGATACCACCTAGTCCGCCACCCATCATGCAAGTACCAGCCGCAACAGCTCGTTTACTATGGGAGGTGATATTGTTTGCTTGATAGGTGATAACTCCAGGGACAGTGCTATTATGTTAGTTAAGTCTCAATCAGTTGGGCGGAAAAACTTATCAGTATTGAAGAAAGCCAATGCCTAGATATGCCCCAAAGAGCCGAGCACCCGTACTTTCTGCAAAGGCCGTGATGAGCATACCCGTGAACGTCATAGCCTGGTGAAAAGCAATAACAGGACCACGGATTTGAAACCTATCAGCAAGCCAAGACGAGGTATAAGTCAGGATAGCTGCGAGAATATATGGCGGGGCACTCATGAGCTGAGACTTTGAGGTCGAGTATCCAAGGCCCTCCTTGAAGATGATTGGAAGAAAGTAAGAGTATGCATAACCAGGCAGAGTCGACGACATCAGCATGAAAGAAAAGGCGTAAAGCTTGGGGTCAGCAAGATGATGGATAACTAGTCGCAGGGTAATCTTGTCTTGCTCGCCATCCCCACGATCATCGTTGATCCGTTCAATGGCATATTGTCGTTCCTTTAGTGTAAGGAACTTTGCTTTTTCTGGGAAGTCGGCTATTAAAAACCAGCCTATGACGCAAATAACAACAGTTATTGCTCCCTCGATGATGAAAATCCCTTGTACCTTTTTAGCTGACATTTTTTAAAGTGTAGATTTCTCTGCTTACATTGCCATCCATTTAAACCGTGCTTTCCCTTTAAAAGCGTCAAGACGTAGGCAAAGACAGCAGCGAACCCCGAAACAATAACCGAAAGAATCCAGAATGCGCCGAGTCTAACCACAGTTTAGCATAGTAATATAGAAGGATGCCTGTGTTACTTGCCTCTTTCCAACTTCGTACCGTTTATACCAACAAGAAATGAGGAAGGTGCAGCCTAAACCGGAAGATAAGTCTCAAGTGTACCAATCCTAACCAAGTATCTAACTTACCTGGCAGAAATCCAGCTTCTGTGGCGCCTAGAAGAGCACGACAAATTGCCATAGTCTCGAACGATTTTGTAAAGCCCATCCCAATCAAGATACTACCAAAGGCGACGCCAAGAAAAGCTAACCAGTTGGCGGGCCCAGCTTTTGAGAGCATGAGATTCTGTTTTGATACGGTAAGCCAATAGTAGAGTATAATCGGTAATTACATACACTTGGAATTTCAAAGATGATATACATGACGAAGAAAACCATGATAATGATAGTATATCGGTTGCCGATGAGATTGAGATCACTATTCATGCCAGCAACGGCTGCCAGACCGAGATTCGTTCGATCCATCAGCGATATGGCATACATTGCTCCCAAAATAGGAAGGAGGCGGAAATCGATCTTGCGCCTACAAGGTCATTAGCATCTAATGGTCCCCTGAAGATACCGGAACAAGTGCCTACAGAATCTTCCTTTGCTCGGTTTCTGTGAAATCCGTACGCCCAACAGTAGATCCTTCCAGGTCGTCACCTTCGGATTTCACATAACTCGCAGCAGATTCTTCCTCTATCACTATCACATCCTCGATCTTGGGCAATGGGGTTGGCTGGGTGGAGAGCATGATTGTGGAACGTAGTTGGTATCGGAATCAAATGCTGGAAGGTAGTCACAGATATACCCATAGGATGACTAGGTGGAGCTAGAATGCTAAACTGCTAACTATATATATTCCCATTCCATATGTAGGACGACATAGCGCGGGGAAATAGTCCAGTCCTGGGCCTAGATTCATGACTTCTTGCCAGTGCGCTTAACCCCGCAAAGATGGAATAGGGGCCGTGCGTAATTTCTTGCCGCTGGATTTCGGTTTCTCGGTTGAAAACTAAGAAGCAAATGCGGGGGCGGCAGAAAAATGCGGGGGAAATTGCGGTCACAGCCGTGTTCGGGGCGGGAGGGTTGTAGGAGCCTCAGTACATTGATCTTACCATCTCGTAAACAAACGGAGGTATGGCTTCCAGAGAGTTAGGGCGCGCTAGCGGGGACCTAACGAACCCCGAATTGTATGGTAGTATGAAAAATGCGGGGTTTCTCGGTTAGCGATTAACGTACTCGAAAGTACCAGTGGTTCGCTGCTATTAACACTATTCTTCTGACTCCCTTCCGGTTCTGTAACTTCCACTCCACATACGTTCACTGTCCAAGTTGAGCAAAAACAACTGCCTGCACTTTCTATGCCAACTATAACCACGGACTCTTTTGGTTTGTCTATGGAGAACCCGGCAACTCAGCGCAAAAAGCAGAAAGATGCTTCTCCGCGTCGGCTCCGAGCTATCAAGGCATGCATTCGATGCAACAATCGCAAAGTCCGATGCGACATGCTCAACAAACCCTTCAGGACTGCGAACAACGCTCCCTCGCGATGCACCAATTGTCGTCTAGATGACGAGCCTTGCATCGTTCGACCGGCGAAACGACGAAGAGGTGCATACCGATATGATGCACAAGTCAACCTCGGCATAGTCGATGGCGAGAAGGCACGTTTCGATATGTCTAACTCTATGGCTATAAATCCAATACAAGATACCACAGCGGCATCAGGCTTGTCACCTACTATGGAATATGTGCCAGAAAGAATGCCATGTCCAAAATTAAACCTACCGAGCTATTATAGCGAAACGGCACTCTCAACAATGAGAAGAAATTTCGAATCAGGTGAAGCGATGTACTCCATTGATGGTAGGTCTATGTTCCTTAACGTAGGTCTTGCTGGGCTATTTTTTAGGTTACCATTGTCAAAGATGAATTTTCCTAGTCTTAACTGATGATGGTTAGATTTTTTACAGCAACCTGAAAATGAGATAATATGGAGTTGGTCAGAGGGAGGAGGCCGAAGCCCTGGCCTTGATGGCCACCTTATATTCTCATACTTCAACTTCCTGCAATTTGACGAGTTATCTGCGGTATCTCCCGAGGATGCAAAAACACTTGAAGTTAACGGCTGTTTACACATTCCAATCATCTCGACACTCGACATCATTGTGCGAGAATATTTTCTTCATGTACATCCTAGTCTACCAATTTTGGACGAAGGCAAGTTTTGGAAAGTATATAGGAACAAAGATAGAAGGCAAAACTCTCCGCGCATATCCTTGTTTCTGTTCCAGGCTATGCTTTTCGTCAGCTGCAGCGTAAGTGACTTGGTTATCTTCTATGCCCCTCGACAACTATTCGAGGAGATATTGCTAACATAATGTATAGTATGTCACTTTAGATACCCTTCAGATGTGTGGTTATAAAACCACCCACGAAGCTCAAAAAACACTATACTCTCGAGCGAAGGTAAGTGTGGAATTTTGACTTAATTTTATAAATGTAAGTTACTAAGTGCTCTTTAGATGCTATTCGACTTTGAAGCCGAGCACGATGCATCAACCATCGCGCAAGGAAGTTTACTTCTGTCATATTACAGTACCAATTCTGAACGACACCTTAATACATTTTGGCTCAACATTGCAATACAATCTGCAAGGGCAGATCATGCTCATTACTATGATATTGATAAGAGTTTAACAAAATACGACAGGCAAATGAAGAAACGACTCTGGTGGTGTTGCGTTATAAGGGATCGAATTTTGCCCCTAGGAGTGCGACGACCGTTGCAAATTACGCATAACCATCTTGACTCTGCCGGCCAAGAATTGACTGAGGAGGACTTGGAGGAGGATATAGGCGAATCAGAAGTCTACGATACCGAGACACAGCAGCTTCTTGCAAAAATCTTCCTTGCTCAGTGCAGGCTAGCCATTGAACTAACTGATGTCATTACAATGGTTTATCCAGCAGACGGTGCAAATCCGGTCATCACAGCATGTGAAGACGATTTTAACAGAGTCTCAACCGAAACTAAAGGATACGAGACGAAATTGACCAATTGGTATAACACTCTCAATCAGTGGATTCCCACAGTTCTTGGAAAATCACACGCGTCAATTACGTTGTATACATCTCTGCTATATATATATTACCAGTACGTTCAGCCATCCCGCCCAGTTTAACCCATTGTTGTATCTAACTAAATGTAGCTCAGCTAGACTTGCCTTGTGCCACCACAAGATCTTTGCTCTTGAAACTTGGACGTCATTACTAGGTAGGGGCCAAGACACTTATGTGCGACTGTTAGACCTTTTCAGGGGTGAACTTTGCTCTTCTGCAGCTGCTGTAACGTGCATAGTTCAGGATCTCCTTCAGCTCAATTTGGGTCAGTATATGCCGATTAGCGCGTACGTACATCTTTGACAATTACCTTACAATGGCATGCTAAAAACATACAGTGTTGCCTACACTGCTCTGCCTCTTGTCATATCAGCGCTAGACGTGAAAATGTCGCCAAGTTCTAGCCAGTCAAGAGCGCATTATCTCGAGACGTACCGCAAATCTATAGAGTTGTACTCGAAGAGATACAATGGCATAGACACGGTTTTTTCCATGATGGAACGGATTCTGGAAGAGGCAGAGTCAAATTCGCGAAACCTCTGCCTTTCAACGTCACATTTCTCCCACCAAGATGCAAGTCCTTTGTCAGATACCTCCGACTGGTTCCAGATATTTGTAAAGCACCCCAAACTTCACCTCAGAGTGGCCTTCTCGTTCGACCTCTCCTTCTCGAATGGCAAATTCCCAGAAGACTCCGATTTCCCTAAACAACTACGCGCTGACCAGCTTGAGGAATACTCCCACTCGCACAAAAACTTCATGCCCACGGAGAATGAACTCACAGCAGACGCATTGGCACCTTTATGCCTACAAATTTACACTCCAACATTTGATGATACCATTTTAAACAGTCTCCAAATGACGGCTATATATCCGAATTTAGACTTCATGGATCTGTTCAGCGCCACCACACCAGAGCGTATCGTAGATATTTCAACAGACTTAGATGTCAGAGTCGAGGATGATTCAATTGCCTTTTTGCTACCCGAGAAGAATACCGAAGAGAGTTGTGAGGGCGATTCAACATGGGAAAAGGTTATATGGGATTTATTTGATCATCCAATTCCAGCATAGCGAAATACTTCATTTGAGCCAATTATTTCATCCATCATCTTCTCTATCTATGTTTTATGAACATTATGAACTTACTAATCGCAGTATTCGTACCGTGGCTTCAAACTCATATGTGGGTGTATTCCCTTGGGCACGAATGCTTACCACCAGCCACTCCTTGCCAAAACTTAACAATCTGAGAGACCTGGTTAAGATGCACCATTCGTAGTCTACGGTTAACCCAGCAGCAACTAGAAAGCCATGTAGGAACAAACTATGAATTGCATTCGGTAGCATATATGTAGGCTTGTTGGTCTGGATTCTCGATCAATAAGTCTCTTCTTCGGTTGATATGTCTGTTTTTAAGGCTTGCTATTAACATCCTAGCTGGTCTACTTCAACTTATCGCCCCATCAACCCATTCATCCGCCTCCCATCAATGCGGTAGCCTCATGCCATAGCATTTTCGAATCCTCCCAATGATTAGTCGTGTAGCCGGGCATGCTCCTAAAGGTTGTGCGTTGCTATTGGTCGGAATGGCACTGGTGATCAAACATATATCAAATGCTCAGATGCGGTATTGGTAATGACTAGTTAAGTGGCTTTGAACATAAACAGACCTGCCTCAACATCAACAAACCTCGACCTGGTGAACATCGTCGCAAGCTAGCGTGCAGTTTACCTACAGTAGTGAGTGCAACGAGCAGTGCAAATACGAACCCACAGTGGTAAGCGCCATATCGTCTTCGGCTAAGTAGAGTATGGTACATCTATCATGTATCATTTTTTGGCCGAGAAGACACAATTTTCAGCCGAATACCCCATCGTTTGTTAAATTTAAGCCGTAGAACATACATGTATACCAACATGTACTAGTACGTATTTCGTACAAATAGATATCTCGGCCTGACGGTTGAGAATCTATTGTGCCGTGATACCCCATTCTATTTCTCCTACATATGAAGAGTCTAGAGTAACAATGCGATACGTAAAAGCTCCTCTGGATCCATCGTAGTTTCTTCAGTTAACTTCAACAGAGTTCCACCAAGAATTTCACTTATTTTAGACGGTTTTGGGTATTAAGTCACAGGTCACTTAGTTTGGTTTTCTAGTTCATACTTTTGATTCACAATGATTATCAAGTCGCCGTACGTCGCAACCATTCCAGAGACAGACGTTCTGTCATTTTTATTTGGTATGTGTTGTTACGCATTTCTACAAGGCAGTGTTATAACCCGCTTCTCTAACAATTCTAATTTCTATAGATGATCCGGGCTCTCAACCGGATATCCCACTCTTCATAGATTCACTATATCCAACACAACGTGTGACAAGTAATGAGGCGAAAACATTAACAAGAAAGTTTGGCAAGGGCTTGCAAAAGATCGCGGGAGTAAATGCGGGAGATGTCGTAATGGTCTGCGCTGGAAACTCGGTAATTTACACATGTTGCTCTTGCTTTAGGCTCATTTGAGCGTTGCGCTGATTACGAGTAGATCTTGTTTCCTATTGCATTTCTTGGGACTCTTTGTGCAGGTGGTATATTTACTGGCGTGAATCCAGCGTCCACGGTAGGCGGTAAGTAGAGCTATTCTTGCCAGGTTCGTATTTCAACTGATTAGATCGAATATAGAAATTGCGTACCAAATGCGACTCTCAGAAGCCAAGATCATCATTACAGATGCAAAGAGACTACCGTCGGTGCTAAACGCTGCCAATGACGTTGGTCTCCCATCAACTGCCATTTATTTATTCGACCACGGAAAAGACCCTATCGCAAAGCAACCTAATATGACTTTCGCAGACCTGACGAAGCACGGAGAACTTGACTGGCATGACATTTATAGGGATGATGCACCGAATAGGTTAGGAAGCTCCTCAAGAACTTACACGCTGATTTTTAATCAAAACCCTAGAACTGCCGTTTTAAACTTTAGCAGCGGGACAACTGGTATGCCAAAGGGCTGCATGGTGTCTCACCGGAACTTAGTCGCAAATTGTGTACAGGTTATGGTTGCAGATGATGCTGCAAATGCACGAAATGGGAAAGTTGACAATGCCGGGGAAGTTCATTGTGCATATGTTCCGCTCTACCACGCAAGTAAGTCGAAACTTTCTCTTTTTAAACTTTCTCATATTGAGGCATATTTAATCCCTTTTTCTGACCATTTATAGTGGGACTAGTGTCCTTCTGCATTGTAAATGTTAAGAGGCGTTGCAGCACCGTAGTCATATCAGAATTTTCCTTAAAAGCATTGCTCGACGTTATCGGCTGCTTTCGAGTTACGTATCTACTTCTAGTACCGCCAGTCGCAGTTCAGCTTATCAAAAGTGCCGAATTATCCAACTCGGATCTCTCTAGTATCAAGTTGGTCTTGTGTGGTGCTGCACCTCTTGGTAAAGAAACCTCGGAACAGTTAGAGACTATTTTTTACCCGAATATCGTTCGTGCGCGTCAAGGTTGGGGAATGAGCGAGGCAACCTGCACAGTAACTCTGTTTGCGCGGGACGAGTACGATCCTACATGCGCAGGTGTTGGATACCTTGCTGCTAATATGGAAGCCAAAATTGTTGGAGATGACGGTAAGGAGCTAGGATACGGAGAAAAAGGTGAAGCACTTCTTCGAGGCCCGAATATTTTTCAGGGTTATTGGAAGAATAGCGCTGCTTCAAAGGAGGCATGGACCGAGGATGGCTGGCTCAAGACCGGTGATTATGTTGTCGTTCAGAAAAATGGGATGTTCGCTGTGGTGGATCGCAAAAAGGTCTTTGCTCGATCTCTATGCACCACTCTTTACGTCGCTAACTTTTTCGCAGGAATTAATCAAGGTCAAAGGTTACCAAGTTGCCCCCTCGGAGCTCGAATCGCAATTGCTTGAAAGCGATGATGTTAAAGACTGTGCTGTGATACGGGTTATTCGGTAAGCTCAACCATTAATCCGTACTCTGTGACCTGGGAGCTTGCTCTAACAGTTGATAATTTAGGGAGGGTCGAGAATATCCTCAGGGACACATTGTCCCATCCAGAGGAGGAGTGACGGTGCAAACAATTATGGATTTCATGGCAAAGAAGCTCTCGCCACACAAGCAGCTGGCGGGAGGTATTGTTTTCACTAGTGCGATTCCCAAATCCCCGTCAGGAAAGATCCTGAGGCGACTCATAAAAGATCCATTTGAGAAATCCGCAATTAGACAGCATAAACTTTAGATTTGTGACACAGATACACCAGTGTGTATATACTGTTGGAATAGTGCCCTGAGCCCAGGAACCTCCATGGGATTTAACGGGCATCGTACAAATAGAGGGCTTACTCCAACTGTAGAATAGACAGTCGAATTGATCTGTTAACCCTGGACATCTATCTCATACCAACAAACCAGAGTTGATGAGAAGTACAGAGATACATCGAGTACATAATCGGGCTACCTGGGACGGGACGCGTTTCCAGATGTGCTAACTTAGTTTGGTATAGCTTTAATTTCCCCGCTCAGTAGCCCCACTAGCTTCCCCACACTCTCACACTCGGTGCTGCGCTAGCCGTGGGAATACATATCTCCCTGTCGTCTGCTTCCAGAACTCCATCTTTAGCATTGACTCGCCACCGACATTGTAACAACAATGTCTCCACTTTAACCCACCCAACTTGCACTTTTAACAGTCCCTGCCCTCCACAGCGGACCACGTTGGACAAGCTTCCCTGATCGCATCAACTAGCATCAACTGTGCAAGACTCCGAAGGAGAACGGGACGAGGATGGACCCCGAACAACCACGCGCTTCTATATCTAGCATGGGGGTAGGGGTTACGCGCGATATAGAATCCCCACTCTCTACACGAAAGCGAGCTTCTAAGGCCTGTCTTGCTTGTCGCGCACGCAAAATACGTTGCGATGTAGCCTCGCACAGCACACCATGTACGAATTGTCGCATAAGTCGCGGAGAGTGCATTGTGCGTGGAAGGCCGGCTAAGTAGTGAGTTAATGCTCTATTGTTCTCAGATGCGTGGTGTTCCCCAGGCGAAAAGGAGATACGTTAAGCTAATGTTTGGAACATTGAATTAAGTCGCACTTCGAAAGGAAACAAACAGAATACATCTACGGATATTCCACCAGTTCGATCGCAGGTTCCCCCATCATCTCCACCAAGAAACCTATCGGCATCGGCTGGGTTGGAATTACAACGGAACAGTTATACTCTAATTTCAGACGACGGGTTGGACCACAATGCATTATGTCAAAGGCGCCAATCAAGTATAGGTGGGCATATTGGCCAATATGCGAATTGGCGACATCTTGACCAAGTCAACCCCCAGAGCCTCACCCCAGTGACAGAGAGACCGATTGAAAATAATCCCGCAGAACGGGACAAAACCTCGCATGAGAACCCATGGACAGAACGTCAAAGAACTAACAAGATAGCCTCTCTCATTGGTACGTTAAACGTTACTACTAGACTATGGAAGCTAATACTAATGGCAATATCATGACACAGGTTCCGACGATGACATCTCACAAGTGAACGCCAGTCATACCAATTCCCATGCCGATTTAGGAGCTGATGTCTCAAGAATTAGCGGGTCGCAAACACGATTGAATTCCAACCCGTCACACTCAGAGTACCACTTTATAGAGTTCGACGACTTCTCGGAGCTATCTGTTGAAGACATCAGGTTTTTGAAGGCTCAGGGGTGCTTCCAAATTCCAGCCATGCCAGCCTTGGATCGTTTTGTACAGCAGTATTTTCTTCATGTCCACCCGCTCCTTCCTATGATAGATGAAGCTAATTTCTGGAATGTCTTTAATAACAACTCTGATGGCCATGGCCAACCATTCAAAATATCAATTTTTACTTTCCAGGCGATGCTGTTTTCATGTTGCAGTGTAAGAAACCTACATATAAGAGTTTGTCTGGCGCTAATACCATCCTGTAGTTTGTTCCTCTGGATACTCTCCATGACGTAGGGTTTCGGAATGTACGGCACGCTCGGGCAACCTTGTATCGGCGTGCAAAAGTAAGAACCTCGCAAGCCTGCATGTTTAAGTAAGGACAACACTGATATATTTGCAGGCCCTTTTTGATTTTGACGGCAAGAGGGATCTTATATCCACCTCTCAAGGCGCTCTACTTCTGTCCCAGGCGCCAGATAACCACAATCGAAGGATCAATACGTTTTGGCTAGGAGTAGCTATTCAGTTTGCCAAAGATGCAAACGCTCCTCAGTACGACTTGGATCAGGCCATCACAGAAAAGCAGAGAAATGTAAAAAAGCGACTGTGGTGGTGCTGCATCCTTCGTGACAGAATACTCCCACTTGGGGTTCGTCGCCCGTTATTTATTACCAATGCTCATTTCGATTTTGGCAACAGTCCATTAACCGCCAATGACCTCGACGAGGAAATTAGTTATTCAAATGTGTACGATTCCGAAACAAAGCGTTCGCTTGCTGAATTGCTTGAGGTTCTTTGCAATCTCGCGGTATGCTTGACTGATATTATCATGATATTGTACCCCATTAATGGAAACCCAACAACTTCATTGAATGAATTGGGACTCACACGTCTACGCGTCCACATAGAACGGGGAAAAGCGGATCTTTCTCAATGGTTTGATAATGCCTCGGTGCATTTTCCAACGCCAGCTGGCTTAGGAGACACGCATGGGTCTGTGATTCTACACACAAACGTCGTGTATATTTACTATTAGTAAGTAAAAGTTCGGGTGTTCCTGTTGAATATTACAGAAATCTGTGAGCACTAAACGATACTACACAGTTCTGCCAGGATGGCACTTTGCCATCATGAGATTCTGCTACTGGAGATGGATTCCAAGTCCGATACTAGCTATCCTAGGCAGCTTCACAAAACCAAAAGGGAGCTTCAAGAAGCGGTAACTTTCCTAGCGGATATCACAAAGGAGCTACTTCAACTTAAGCTAGTCAGATATCTACCTGTCTCTGTGTGAGTCTCCTAATATTCCCAAGAATATGAAAATGATATTATCTAACAAACATCCGCTCTAAGTGTTCCAGCTGCATCACTACTACTGGTTTTACATATGCTCGATGTCAAGCTATCATCAACCAAGTCGCAACGCTCTATGAGGCAGCGCCGTCTACAGGTTTTTTTAGAGGTTATGAATGTATTGCAGTCTATATATGACAGCACAGATCGAGTTTCTGACGCTATTGAACAACTTATCGCATATTTTGGACCCGATGATTTGTTGGAGAATACTAGAGCCCCAACACTTGCTGGGAGTTGGGAGACGCAATACTCCAGCCCAGCAACGTTCTCTTCAAACTCTGCCTCGGCTGAAACGTCTTCATCTACGATCAATGATTGGAGCGATGTCCTGCTTCGGCGGCGAAGTTGCTATCTTCGAATAGTGATGACACTCGACATAACATTTTCCAAGGGAGAATTTCCAAAGGAAACCGACTTCCCCGACCCTCTCCAAACTAGCCAACTGGCAGCATATCTTCCGTTGTATAGAGCGTGATGTTACTACGGGAGATAGAGTCTTGAGACATATCCGGTGCGTGTTTGAACAGCTGCTCTGGCTCAAGTAATTACGCATATACTTCGTCGGCTGAATCTGGCTATCCACCGTGAGTAGCTTCTAGTATCACCTCAGATATTCAGTCAGGAGGTAACGGAGTAGACTTAATGAGTGGTATTTATCGACTAGGCATATTCTAAATCTACAATAAAGCCTTAGTTGGGCTTTCATCACGCACCTCGTATTGATCCATGAGGTTTGACGTGATCGATTTCTGATCCTGTATCTTTCGTTGGAGCGACAGTCCTTTTTTCGCCTCATTTTTCCCCAGCTGTTGCGAATGGACCTCGTCCGGACCATCTACGATTCTCAGTGTCCGCGCTTGCGCCCACATTGCCGCTAATGGCGTGTCCTGCGACACACCAGACGCGCCAAGGCTTTGGATTGCTTTGTCAAGTGTCTCGAGGGCGACTCTCGGTGCTAAGATCTTTGCCTGAGAAATCTCTTTAGTTGCAGCTTTCGCATCGCCACCGTCAATTTTAACGGCAGCATTAAGGACTATAAGACGGGCAGCATCAATATTCAAACGAGCCTCAGCAATCCATTGCAGGACTACGCCATGCTCGTTGAGCTTCTTGCCGAATGCCAACTTCCCTTCATCACTTGCGCGTGCAATCATGTATTCGAGGGACCTTTCAGCCTAGTAGTTAGATTGTCAGCTGCTGTATATTGGGAACATTAAATGCGTACAAGACAGGAAGTCTGCGTAAAATATTGTTTGGAAGAATGGGTGACATAAACCCCAACCACTTACAACGCCAATAGCTCGCATGGCGTGGTGGATTCTGCCAGGGCCAAGACGGCCCTGAATGATCTCAAACCCACGTCCCTCACCGACAATCATGTTTGATGCTGGCACTCGAACATTCTCAAAAACAAAGTGACCGTGACCATGAGGGGCATCGTCATAGCCGAATACGGACATCATCCGCTTTAGTTTGATACCGGGGGCGTTAGCCGGGACCAAAATAACTGACTGTTGCTTATATGGATCAGGGTCATTAGGGGAAGACTTTCCCATGACGAGATAAACCACCGTTTTAGTGTGGCCAGCACCACTGCTCCACCATTTCTGAGCGAACGTTAGATGCACGTTCTGTGGGTGGGTGCAGGCTAACATACAGATCCATTCAGCACCCAGTAATCTCCGTCCTTCGTCATTGTGAGCTGAATATTTCTGGCATCAGACGAGGCAGTATCCGGCTCTGTCATTAAAAAGGCTGACCGAATGTCTCCTGTCAATAACGGGGCAAGCCATTTCCTCTTTTGACCTTCAGTTCCGTACTTCGCGAGAACCTCCATGTTTCCAGTATCTGGTGGATTACAATTGCATGCCTGCTTCAGTCAATTTTTTGACATATGCAGTGATTGACAGCAATTAACAGTAGAAAATAACTTGCTTACCTCGCTAGCGATTGTAGACTTGCCTAATTGTTCGGCCATGATTCCATACTCCAAGTTGGTATAGCCCGCGCCATTTTCATAATGATTCTTGGGTAGGAAAATATTCCACAAACCGAGGGCCTTGGCTTTATTTTTAAGGTCTTCAACAATGGAAGGTTGTATTTTCCAGCGGTCAACTCCTTCACCCAGTTGGGCTTCAAATACTGCATCTGCCGGTATGCCTGCAATATTCGATTAGCATTACATAGCCCCCATAAGATCAAACAGGGTGAAGCCATACATTCTTTCTCGACGAAAATTGCAAGCTGTCGACACCAGTTAATAATTTGTCGTAGTTCTTGGACGAAGCAAGGGATTGGGTACTTTATCAAGCGTTTTCTTTGCTCTCTCGCTCACAAATGGGAGGACAAGGGGCGGGATTACTGCAGACATATTGGAATTTGTTAGGCAATAGAAGAAGAATTGAAATATAATAATTTGGTACGTTAGCAAAAGATTACACAATTAATAGTCGCAGAGAATTATATCTGTTATAAGCGAAGGAGGAGTCAAATAGTAAGTGTCGCCTTTGCGGGGTTGGATGTATTATTCAACCGAGATTTATTCATATTTCAACCGTAAGCCGGGCAGTTTACCCAGTCAAGGGCATCAGCCGAAGTACCGAAATACCGAAATATCGAGCCATATTCATATTTACATGCCCAGTGTAATGGAGATTTTATATGCCTGTCTTTCGGCGAAAATAATTAAATTATTTGACATTTACACCTGCTAGATCACTCCTGTGTAATCCATACAAAAATGTCTACTGGCAAGTACGACGACATAGTCGTTGAGGTGACTGGCAAGATTGGAATTATCAAGGTTTAACTATCCAGTTCCCTTATTACATGAAATCTCACTAAACATCTACAGCTGAACCGGCCTAAGTCCCTAAACTCCTTTGGCGGCAAGCTAGTAGAAGAAACAATTTCGGCATTTCGGGAACTGGATGAACACCCTGACACTGTGTTTACGGTCCTGACCGGAGAAGGGCGATTTTTCAGTGCGGGAGCTGATATTAGAGGTATGTACTTGCATAAATAACGAAAGCTATGCCCTAACAATATATAAATAGCCACAGAGCTGTCCTCGAACAAGCAGTATTCAAACATAGCTGAGAAAAAGCTCTCCTTCCTAGGCGGATGCGTAGGCGCATTAGAATTACTGCGATCGGTCATCGACCACAAGAAAGTCTTCGTTTTGGGTCTCAATGGCCCCGCTGTTGGTGGTGGTGCTGCCTGGTTCGCTGGAGTAGCAGATATTGTGCTGGCTTCCACGTCAACATACATGCAAGTACCTTTCAGTGCTTTAGGGCTTGTACCTGAATATGGCTCTGCGTTGTCTTTTGCTCAAAGTATGGGTGTACACCGTGCAAACGATTTTCTGATGTTTGGTCGCAAATTGACTATAACTGAATTGGAGCAATGGGGGTTAGTTAATCGGGTTCTCCCTGTAGAGGGATACCAAGGTTCTTTAAAAGGGTTTTTAGAGGGCCAGTTAGAAGTCAATGATGGCAAAAGTATGATGGAGATGAAGAGGTTGCAGAATGCGCATTTGAGGGACACGAGGATATTGGCGGTATATAATGCAATGGATGCCTTGGCAGAGAGATGCGTTGCTGATGCACCGCAGAAGAGGTTTGCAGAAAAGAAGGAACTTTTAGAAGGTAAGATTGCCTAATAATGTTCCAGTATACTCCATCTCATTTATCTTTTACTAATGTTACAAGCAGCAAAATCTAAAGGTCGAGGCTCTAAGATATAACCCAAGACTTTAATATGTTATCGGGCATGAATTGGAAGTATTCTTATTTGTAAATGGAGTTTTATTGATGAAGTGTCTTGGTCCCGCAAACTACGGGGATGGTGTGGAGGTCTCAGATAGAAGGAGGAAACTTCAACGAGTAAATGCCAATTTAGAAAAGTGGCTGATATGTGGACAGCCCGGAAGGCGGACTATCAATGTTAAGAAAATGGAACCACCTGAAAGAACTCTTAATACGACAAGTCGTTATTTTTTACTTAGTGAAATATATTTATTGGCGAGTAATTTAAGGCTTATACGAGGACTGTTGTTGTCAACTTGGGAGCTCCATCTGCCACATCTGTAGTGCTCTCTCGCGCACCTAGGACAGGATGCAAATTATGTCGAGGTCGCGAAACATTACTCAGTTTCTATTTATCAGACTTCACTGTTAAGGTATATGCATCTTCGGAGGGAATAGTTTCAGTCATTCCCCGCATTACCTAGCTTGTGCCACTGGCAGTTGGTAACTGTTTGCTGCAAATAGTTCTTTTAGGATGGAACTACCTAACCCCACGCACAGCATTATCCGAAGATCGGTAGGATATCCTGCACTTTTGTGGCGACAATGGCATTCTAATTAATTAGCATGAACAGTAGTTGCATCACCTTTGACTCCGCTGGCACAAGCAGAACGGAAATACCGCCTTATATTGTTTCATTCTCATGGAGCCAAGCAAGTTTATTCGAAAAAACTAATTGCTGGTTCTACTGATACTATACACACGAGTAACTATCCGCATTGTTTATATCACCTTTCCCATCATATGTCAAAAGAAGCGGGTATCTGCAGAGATTGCGTGTCAACGTGGTCCCGTTGCTGTCCACGCCTGTAGCGCCCAAAGTAACTGGCGCTTTTCCAGATTCTACCCACTCAACCAGGGCATGAAGCGGGTCGAGAGGTGCAGGACCAATACCGCCGCCACAATGCGCCACTCCAGGAGCAAGAAATAGCCGGTAAAACTCGTCAACTTTCTTTTGCCCTCCCATTCTCTGTTCAAGTCGTTCACGATACCGCACTGTTCCCTCATGCGTGATGAGCGGGTCTGCCAACCCGTGCCAAGTGAGTAACTTTCCTCCTCTTTTGTAGAATACAGTGAGATCAGGCTCATTCGTTCCCAGAATGCCGCTGTATTTCGCAATGGACGCCGAGAATGCATTATCAAACTCTTTAAAAGTCATGTGAGCTGTGTCGTAGTCTGGATCTTGCATCACAAAATACCTGATCCAAGCTTCAGCAGAGCTGAAAGGAACAGGGATGGTCGTTCCGTTGGTTGTACTGGTGTTGGCAAGCCCATTGAAGGATGCACCAGGTGGAATACCATACCACTGCTTATTTCCTGAAAGAGAGGTCGCACCCTGTAAGATCTTAGAAACTGTATGTGCATGCTCCTGGGTGATTGTCAAGTTCCCGCTGTCGCAAGTAATGATATGGCCAATCAGTCCCTGGGTATCGAGATTGCATTTTTTGGTATTGGAAATAAGTCCATCCTTGACTCCATCAAGGGGATCGCAGGTCAAGATAATGTTGGCCTGATATGCCTCGAAAACGCACTTTGGTGGCGCAACCAAATTTGCCATCACTACCGAGGGCCAAAAATCCGCTACTGATAACTGTGGCGTGTTAAGTGCAGGTGCAGATGCTAAAATTCCATCGAAATCGCCTGGGTATTTCTGAGCCGCAAAATAGCCTTGCCTCCCACCCGTCGAGCATCCATTCCAATAAGAGTACTTCGGACTAGTGCCATAGAATTGTTTAGTGACGGCTTTCCCTACAATAGCCAGGTCATGTTGAGAGCGGTACGCAAAGTTCTTCACTAGCTCGGCTCTCGGTGTTCCATCACTCCCCAGAACCCAGAGACCCGAGTTTGCATCGATGGTCCCGCCAAGGGTCAAGCCCCCATCTGTTCCTGCCGTAGCGTAACCTGCAGCAACTGCAGGCGCAAGTTCTGGTTCGAACAGGCCCGCAGCCAACCCCCCCCCGCCTGTGGCTTGAAAACGGCCATTCCAGCCCTTAAAAGGCAGCCAGACAGTGACGAGAACAGAGTCGTTTGCCCTACGGTGATCAAGAATGATAGTGACATTGCAGAAATCAACTCCAGAGACGGGCGTGTTTGACGATGGAATGGCAGGATATGAGTAATTATAGACAGGGCTGCTATTTATCGAGATGATAGAAATGTCTGGCAGAGACCGAATTATCAAGTTTGAATATCTCTGAGCGGGAGAAGGTCTCAAACTGCCTGTTGAAGATGCAGATCCAGATGTAGCAGCGATAAGTAAAACCGCCAGGCTGCGAGCTAATTTCATTGTGAATAACATAAAGTAAAACAAGGCTCTATCATTCAATTCAAAGCCGTGGTAAAAGCTTATGTTTTATAGTCAGGCCCACGCTGTCATGGTGATTAGATGCCGCTCTAAGGGCCCCACTTTCCCTGACCGTAAAATGCAGAGGTTATCCAATTCCAGGGCGATCGAGCTCTAAGTTGGCCAGATCCACTCTGAAGGTCACTACTGTCAAATATCCCGCTTCCTTAATTCATTCTAGGGGATGATTTGCAGCGTGCCTTTCCCAGTACCCGACAGATTCGACCGAGCTACGGATTCGGCCGAGCTACGGATTCAGCCGGGTCACAGATTAAGCCGGGTCACAGGTTCGACCGAACAGTCATATCTCAATGTCCATTTTGCTATCAATGCACAGCCACGGTTACGGCGGCAATAAACCCCTCTCGCAATAGGGCAGTCTAGAATAGGCCGTTGAGGAAAGCCGTAGCTATGTTAGTTTTGCATTACATTATAGCCCCATATTTCATAATGACTTTTCTCCTGCTCACGTTTCCGGCCCCACGAATCGAGCGCCTACCCTTCTTTCTAGCCCCGCCGCCGTCTGCGCTCCTCTTGTGGGTAGTCGGAAGCCACTCTTTATTTCCGTGGATTCTCCCTCCAACCCCGAAGAGGAGATCAGCGAGCTCGCTTTTGCTCCCCTATCTGTTTATAATTCGATCTGAACCCAGGCATCCCAGATTCCACTGCAATGGTAGAGCCGCTTTTGGCACCTGGCAGTACATTTTCCGTTCTTGTGTTAGGAGATACAACAGCGCTCAGCGTAAAATCAGAACCAGCAATAGCCCACTTCACACCGATCATGCCATATGGGCTTAAAAAGCGTGTACTAGCAGAAGCCAGATCCTAGCCTAGTAGCTTAGTATTGGGGCAATGCAAAATTTCCTCCATCCAGGTTCTAGCATTGACAAACCACTGATATTGATATGCATCCAGTCAGCTACAGCACTAAGAGCTTAATGGTTGAAACTTGTCATCTCGCCCGGATTGATTAATCCGTCTAGAAGCATACTATCCTAATGCCCCCACATCGTTGTTGCGCCCACCCTTACTTGATATAGCCAACTTGGTACTTTGTGATGGAACAGAAATTCAGATATGCTTCATGGGCTCGGTGCTCTGTGATGTACAACGGAGCTGTTTGGATGGATACGCTTAGCAAAAGGGTCAGGCGGAAGATCACAGGCTGCTTTGGAGAAGAGATGTCTCATTGTTGGCTAGGAGTAATCAAGGAACAAAACCATTATTGTCAGTCCAAAAGTCCCCAATTTCAACGACTGCAGGTTCTGACCAGCTCGACCCTTCGCCATAATGGCCAAAGACACGCACTTGGACTATGGCGGCAAACTACGGGGATGCCGTTGCCGTCGGTTTTGTGGTCATAGTATTTGAAGTACTGCCAGTTGTACCAGCTGTACCACTGGTTACAGAGCTCCCTGGCATCTCAATACAGATATAGTAGTTTGGTGTCAGACCGGAGCAATCACTACTAAGTGCCGGCTATATGGGAGTCAGTATTTCTGTCTTTGAAAATTAATTTGAATCTTGAAGTCCACTTGCGTTGTAACTTTCCAGCTGAGCAACTGTGATATTGTTTTTGGTTGCAATTGTTTCACAGGTATCCAAACTTTTATCGAGTTTTAGTAAAGGTTCCAACTGTTTAAAATAAGAAAGCGCATGGAGATGGGAAAAGCTTACCTGCCAACAAACCAATAATCTGCGCAAGCTTTTGGAATTCCAGACTGTTCCGGTTGTGGGCCAACCCCATTTGTAGGCAGTGGTGTAGAGCTGTAACTGGTAGTCCTTGTTGTTGGCGTTGACGGAATAGCAACGCAATAATAGTTGCCTATTTTCAAACCCAAGCAGTCTGATTTGACAGCTGGATTCCACTTCAGGAACTCTTCGGCGCTAAATGTGCCAAACATTTTTACAATCAGGTCGCAATCCTCTCCGTTATCTGCCCGATACCATGAAACACAGTCGGGTGTGATTCCTGTCTGTGTGGCTGCTGGTGCAGTTGTCGCCACAGATGGCAGCGGAAGTGTGCCATTCATAACACAGTAATAATCTCCTGGAATTATCCCGGAGCAATCCGATCCAAGTGCAGGCTACCCTGTTAGTTGGCATAGGTATTGCAATGGTTGAGACTTACATTGTACTCTTTAAGCTCATCCAATGACACATAGCCTTCTTCCTTTATAATCGACTCACAAGTATCATTAGTGGTAGCTTGATAGAAAGCCATGCAACTAGGTGGGATGCCGCTCTGAGTTGGTGAAGGAACAAATGTGCTATTGGGTGTTGGGTGAACAGTTGAAGTATATGGTGGATACCATTGCGAAGTTGCAGTAGTGTTGTGTGTAGCACTTGTTTGAGATTGGATTCCTGCGTATGATCAGCTATTATTCTGGATAGCTCTAAATATGCAGAATCTTACCAACGCAAACGTAGTAGTTAGCAAAAAGATTTGTGCATTTAGCACCAAGGGCCGGGTTCCATGACTTGCTTTGTAGCCATGTTAGCTTCTGTTGAAATATGTGCTACAACCAGCAGATTGATGATTACATACAAGTCATCCAGTGACATTGAGGTCGAATATCTTGCTTGTATACTAGCGCATGTGTCGCCAGGATACACTAATTTCCATTTATTGCCTACACCAGTCAGCTTTGCCTACATTAACCATAGGGACCTCTCACAATATGGCACTTGCCCAGCCTGAGTTTGGGTTGGCGGCCAAGATGTGGCTGTCGATCTTGTGACCTGTACATAAGAGCTCGATGGCTGCGGAATTATGGAGTAGCTTGAAGAAATAGTAGTAGAGCTATGAGGTTTCGTAGACGTCGAGGTAGGGCAAGCGCCTGTTGATGTCCCTACGCAATAGCTGTTTCCAAGCCAGAAATTGGTCGCACAGTCAGACGATACGGCCGGCTTTTACAAGTTAGCACCGAGTTGAGGATGGATTTGTAGCACCAACTTACGTTCATTTTCAGGAAGTCCGCGAGTTTTATCCCAAATACAGTTGCGATTGTCCCGCAGTCATCGCCCTCAACTACATCATACCACTTGTTGCAATTACAGATAGTCCCAGTTTGCGTAGGCTTATCCGGTGTCGTGTGAACAGTAGTGTGAGGAGCATCGCTTTTAGTGCTCTTGGTGCTGCTAACACCTACCGTGCCAGTGCCAACACAGTATGCTTCTCCAAGCCAAAAATTTGTGGCACAGTCCGTAGAAACTGCAGGCTGCAGAGTTATCAGTACAAGATTCGTAATGTCCAACACCCAAAACCTACATTCCAAGCAAGAAATTGGCTTTTCGTTATTTTGAAAGCAGCTGCTACAGTCTCGCAATCGTCGCCCTCAACTACATCGTAGAACTTGTTGCAGTTTGCGGCGATTCCCGTCATTGTTGGCTTATCTGGAGTTGTGTGGTATGTTGTATGTGGCGCGTCTGCTCTTCGGGCCACCTCATCGGCGTTCAAGTCGACGATACCAGCCTGAACAATCGACGCGGCCAGGGCGACTGTAACAAAAAGCAACCGCATTATTGTCATAGAAAGCTCCTTTGCGGATCAGAAGTAGAAATGTTGTTTCGGTTGATGGATAGTTCCGACGATTTGGCGGCATAAGATAATGGGCAGCTCTCTCATACACGAAAGCAATGGGATGTCCATGAAACCTTCAGCAAACTGATGGTAACATGGCCTAGGGCTTGGAGCCGAGGAAGGGAATACGGAAAGAGGCCAGGACAACAGCAACGGAGATAAGATGAACCCTTGGACCGGAGGAGTTCAGCCCAGCCTGCAGAAGCTTACGTCACAGCACATTCACAAGATAGACCCCAACTTTTTAGTTGGGGTGAGCAGTTTAGTTCCACAAGACCCCTCAAATCAAATCCCCATGCAATTAAGAACGCCTTACGAGCAAGAACCCTCGACAAAAAAACCCCTCTTTTGAACGTAGGATCGTAAGCCTTCACTGCACTGCTCGTAATCCGTAGATCACCAAGTTGCCATGAGTTGCCGTTATGGCCCCCGTAGTATTCATTATCAATTAGCCTTGCGCTGTTAACCTTGTTAACGCCATTTGATCGGCGGCCCCACATCATACCCCTGGACCCCAAGACCGAGACCCTGTCTGATCGGCAATGCACTGTCAGATTTTATGGGGACGCTAAACAATCCTAGTTCACATGACTAACCCTGTCGCATGGGAAAGACTAAAAACCACCATATTGAGTGAAATGGGGCGCTTCAGCCTTGAGTTTCCCATTGGGTCAGCTGCAATGTCTGAGTAGCAAAGTGAGACGGCTGTCGAAGATCCGATGCTTAGAAGGAAGGTGATTCAAAATATTAGCTTGCCACGTCTTACGTGAGCTCTGCTCCAATTTGGAGGTGTGTGACGTGCCGATCGATGCGGGATGCCTTTTTTTGTTCAATTGTCCGAGCTCATGCATAGTTGGGATACACATACACGCAGCAATGGCATGGCCGCTTAGGTATGAGGAAGCTCAATGTCCAAGATATAGGAATTATTGGCACCTCGGATCGGGACACGCGGTAGTAACGTTACATGTTAACATTGTATATTGTTCATCATTACGTTGTAGACTAGATAGCGTCTAAATTCAAGTTCCCAAATCCGTATTGTTATCCGAATTCGGATCAAAAAGATCCGGATCAAACGTCGGAAATTTGGGACGGTTAAGATCTGCTCCAAGTTCCTCTATCGTAGTTCCATCGTCCAAATCTATAGCCCACGCCATTGTCCTAAAAACCGTTATCAGCTGTAGATACAACTTCATCTGGGAAAATAAAATTCTCACCCTCCAAGGCAATGACTGTTGGCGTATTGGATTCTGATGAGTAATTAGCTTTGCCGAGTCAAAAAGATGCATACATTACGAGACTTACTTCGTCTTCATGGTTTCACCATCATCATAGGAAACCCATTGGTCGTCATCCCAAGTGATGATCTTAACAGCTGCAGCTGAATCAAGTGTGACCGTTGCGCCATCAGCCACTACCTGTCTGATCTCAGTAGCTGAAAGAATTCCTTTCGTGTTGGTGCATGGCCCTGCTTTTCCACCCTCCTTAAACGGGCAGCCAGCCGAAAGACAGGATGAGCTTTTCATTGTGAAACCTTTCTCATGTTAGCATAAACAGTGGTCGATGTTACTGTTGTAAGCTTACTACGGCCATAGAATCCAAGTCCAAGAACCACTCGGAGAGTTGTCAGCACTGCCATAATATCCAGGGATCATGAGGAAAGTTACCTCTTGCGGGATCAATATGGTTCCTCCAGAGTAGTTGCATGGCGAGATCAATTTCTGTTAGATTTGTATGCGCCTGCGCAATAGCTCCAATCGAATTGTCCGCAGAGTCCCAAGTTCCGTGGATATCGTAAGTCATGATGTTAAAAAAGTCGATAATAGGATCGATTTCGACAATATCGAAGCCGCGCATATACCAGTATGAAGATGGCTAAATAAGTTCAGAATATACTTTATGGCCTGCTATGGGGTTACTTTGGTTTACTTACAATCGTAATCGATAGCCCAGGACGTTCTGGCATGCCACTCTGATCCAATGCGTGCCGGAGGTTCTGGAGAAATTTAGGAAAGTTCTCTTTGTCTTCGGTTTTTCCTCCTCTATCGTCTGCTACCGGATATTCCCTAAATCGACATCAGTAATTATTCTCTAGTTTTTAATTGAATCTGATCAAAAACTTGCCAGTCGATGTCAACACCATCAAAATTATTGGCTCTCATGAAGGTGACTAGAGAATTGAAGAAATTTTCTTGTGCATCTTTTGATGCTGCAAGGTCCGAAAACGTAGTGCGTGATGGCCCTGGATCATTCATGGCCCATCCTCCAATCGAAATCCAGACTTTAAGCCCGGGCTGCAAAGCTTTGAGAGCTGTTACTCTTGTATAAAGTGCTGCGACATCAGCCCCCATAGCACTGAGAGTGAAGGTATCCGGATCTATTAACACGAATGCAAAATTGATATGCGTATAGTATCCCAGAGGTATTTTTTCGGGGGTCATGGCTGAATATAATAGTCAGTACAACACGTCTCTTCCGATTAATTAAGAAGCTTACTTTGGCAGTTTCTTTCCAAATTCCAACCTTCATAGTATCCAATCGTGCGGGCGTCGGAGCTAGAACCGCTGCATGAAGGAGAAGTTGGGACGTTGCCCTGACAGAAATCGGGGGTAGTGCCTATGTCTATTCAGCCTTTACATACTAATATTTCACTGTTATTGCACTTACCACAGAAGCCATACTCGCTGCAGCAGACGTTGAGAGGGCATTTTTCAGCTGTAGACCACTTTGAGCCCCAGCCCGGATCACATTCAGATTTTTCGTCGCATGTTGACGTGCAGTTGCCCTGACCACAGAATGTAGGTCCTTTATATCAATCAGCGAAAACCTTCGTTAAGTCCGAATATGGTAATCATACCAAGCCCACAGTTTCCCGTTCTATAGAAAAGTTAGCAGTCTAATCATGTACTCTCGATTTAGATAGAGCATACCCATCGGGTTCCAGTCTACAACAACCACTCTCACATTTTGTGTCTTTCGTGCAATGATATTCCTCACAAACAATAGGGGCAGCAAAAAGTAGCCCTGCCAGGAGAAATCTGAATAACTTCATGGCTGAAGTCTTTCTCTTGCAACAAAAATAATTACAGAGAGTTGAACGAGATAGAAGGTTGGCAGAAGATGAAGTGCACGGGTTCTATTGACGCCCTAAGGTTTACCCCACTATCCCCACCCAACTTTAGAGCACGCCTATTGTAATAACTCCATAGAGAGGAATAGTTCGGGTCCTAAATTCTAACATTCCAAGCCTCGATGGCTAGTGCAGGAGGATTCGTTGAATGTGACGGATGTCACGACTTGGCAACAATCGTACTTCACATTTTCAGTGGTGGATTTTCCACCCCAGATCTGCCTTGTTCGGTCATTCCGGTATAAATTGCTCATAATGAGACTATCTTCTCAAAATGGAAGGACGTGGCACAGTCACCAGTGGTCTTCTCATTCTATGAACCTCCAATGGCAAGGAACGTCGACCAGAAGCACCCCAGCCTTGTCAAGTGAGGCCCACTTAGCGTAATCCCACGCCGAATTCTATGCGCCTTAATTAACATGTAAGCTTACGGCAGCACAGTACTCTAAACGTGCTGTAGATAGTCCTCAGATCGTCGGGACAAGGACAGGGGTGTGCAGTGCAGGGGTGGTACGAAGGATTATGGCCAAGTCCACAGCCCAAGGCAGCCCAGGCAACGCGAAGGATCACGACCAAGGCAGGGAGCAAAGCTAAATCAAATGCCGACTACCGATTGATAACTATTATGGGCGTTTTTTGGACATCACAGTTGATGAAATTACACATTCTGTTCTGTAAAGCAATCTGTGGTGTGTCTTCTCTCCGGTTCGTTTATGCTTTGTCAACTTTTCTTTTTATTCGCAACGACATCATTTTCGCTTTTCGCTGCCCATCTTCAAATTTAAAGAAATCATATGTTAGTTGTGCTACTCGTTCTCAAATTTTCATGCTAATACACGTATCAATCATTGCAGAAAGATGCAGTTGTCTAAAATCATCCATGGCTGCCTTTACGCTGCCGTGGCTTTCTCGACTGTAGTCATTGCCTGTCCTGACTACGATGAACTGCCGTTTTACAAAGCCCTCAACGAAAGCAATCTGAGTCAAGATGAGCTGATGAAGAGATGGTACACTGTGATCGCTAGCGATGGACCGAGCTTCAATCCCACTACATGGCCGGACAGCACTCTGCCATATTGCTTCGAGGACGACAATTCAAGGACTCAACTGGCACATATCATCGAAAGTGCTTGGAATGTGTGGCAAGCATCGTTAGTGATTAATAGCCAGCCTTTCATATAAATTCTAGCAACTAATGTTAACAGTGGTGTCAATTATCGTATCGACATGGGAGAGTATAATGATTGTCCTGATCCGGTCAATGGTGCAGTTCCAAGAGGTGCAAAATATATGCTCGTCAGAGCGCAAAATAACGGGAAAATGGTGACCACTGTTGGGACTCAGATATATAGTAGTGGTATGGGAGCACTTATGAGATTTGATCCTAGTCCCGCAATTGGAATGCGAGATCCTGTCGCCAACATGGTGCACGAGATAGGGTGAGCTGCTATGCTCAAATCTGTCCATCGTGATCGTGACTGACAGACAAATAGGCACGCCTGGGGTTTCTTCCACGAGCAACAACGACCCAGCTTCTGGAAATACGGAGAATACGCAGAGGCAAAAGGGGACAAAAATCAAATCAAGTTCGTATGCGAAAATATGAGCGACTACGATATTGTTGATGGGCGATTAGACGGTACCATAGATGATGCTTGTCACAGCTATGGTAAAGCCAAAGATTTGGGATTTTCGGCGTTGGAGTTTATGCCTATGCCCTTGCCATTCAGTGCTCAGCTCGATGACGGAGACTACGACTGGAAGTCTGTCATGCTTTATGCATCTCCAATTGGAGGTGCGGTGAGGAACGGTGCTCCCGCGAATGTCTATACAAGGGCTTCAGACGGAAAGGTCATTGCCTACAACAAGACTCCGAGTCAGAGGGACGTGAGTAGATTCAATGCGATGTATTCGGAAAAGGCACCATATCCGAACCCGTGTTTGATCAATCAGGGTTGCAGTCCGAAAAAGGCCGTGTTCATGAATGCGAAGGCCAAGTGTAAGAATGTAGGCAAGGACTAGACGACAAGAATAGGGAGTTGGCACAATTCTATCTTCTACTCATAATAATGCTTCCATCAAAACGCCGGAAGTTTAGTGAAGTGACTAGACATATTCGTACCTGGCCCAGCAGCATGCTTAATGTGATTCCGGTGCAATATTTGTCTCTGTTTCACAGTCTTCACACTACGAGATACGTACAAGTGGCATTACGGTAGCTGCGATCGTGTCTCCATGGAATATTATCCGACCAAGCCCACACATATTTTCTACGTGGTGGGGCTTGCAAGGACAAGTAGAATCTAAGTCTTGATTGACCCACAAACACGCCATGTAGTTTCCATGCCGCTGTGTAGGCCTAGGATATCGACATGGGGGATACGGACGGAATGCCGGAAGGATCTGAAATTGCATTATCTCGAGTTTAGTGTTGCAACGTTGTATGCAATATGCATTTTTGAAGCTGAGCAACTTGATGATCAGGAAGGTTTGGGGGCGGTACTATGTAAGCCGACTATGTAAGCCAACTACCCCTACTACTAGCAGCGCCGTATATTACCTTTTTAAGGTCAACTAGGCTAACATTAGCGTAAATCCCCCATAACGCCACAAAGGAACCCTGAATGTAAGCTTACTTTGGGAACGCACGATGGTTACTACGCCCACATCCAGGTGCCAGAACGGCGCATGCTCCGTGACAAGGATGCAGATGGCACAGCACTGGGCCGCCCACTGTAACTATCGGAATACCAAGAATAGCTAACTGCCCGCTGCGGGCGCCAACGGCCCCCAATGACGGACCTAATTTCCCCACTAAAATCCCCACTGCGCCACGGCTCCACAGTCCCATCACATCCCTGGGTACCCACCCCGCTGCTTCCAGGGTGTGCTTTAGTGCTGTACGACCTGAGCTGCTCGGTGATAAAGTAAGATCAAGAAATCAAGCTCAGCTTTTTCCCCATGACCTGTTGACATTACTAGTGCTGATGTAAGTTTGCAGATCATTTTATCACTATCGCCCATCACACACTATCTTCCTTCAGCTACTTTGCTACATCCGAAGATGTGTCATTAGCGATGGGGATATTCTTCTGGGGATTCCTATTGGCCACCAAGTCTCATATTGATGGAACTAGAGAGAGCCTGTAGTCTTTTCACTCTACTACCTTTTTCGCTCTCTGTTTCTTTTCACTGCTCATTCTCTCTTTCTTATTTGCGCCGATGAGCACAGTTAGCAGCGGCTTGTACTATAGCTGCTTGCCACCATGCTACCTATACTCGAGGCGACGTTGAGTCTTGCTCTGGCTTCTATCGTATCAGCTGGCATCAGCTCGATTGGCATCTCCAGAGATCTTGATGAGCCTGATGATTACTCATGGATTAAGAAGTTTGCCGCTGTGGGAGACAGCTTCACAGCTGGCATTGGTTCTGGGGATCTATACGACGAGACCGACAACTCCTATGATTGTTCGCGATATTCGTATACCTATCCTGTGATTATGGACCATTTCTTTGGACCCAGTATTGACAAGTTCACATATACTGCGTGCTCGGGGGCTATCTCAATGGGAATATTCGATCAAATCAATGCTTTGGATGATGACCAAGATGTTGTCATCTTAACTGCTGGTGGAAATGATCTTTGCCTTGTGAGTCAAACTTTAGAGCTTGGGGAGACAGAAGTTCTGACCAAAATCCAGTCGAAAATAATAGACAAATGTATAGCTGGTGCAGCAACATCAGATGATGCATGTGACGCTGCCATAAAGCATGCCCAAGACGCACTTGGGTCAGGGGGTTATTTCAAGGATAACATCAAGGGCGTCCTCACGGCAATAGAGTAAGAATTTGCTATTGCTCTCTCTGTACTCACTCCCCAATTTAGACTAACAACTTACAGTTCTAAAATGGCCAAAAATGGGATTGTGGTCCAAGTCCTGTATGCCCAATACTTCAACGATAAGACAGATGCTTGCACAAGCGAAGATTGGCAGATCATCGATCTGGATGCTGGAGCTGGTGTATCTCTGAGCAAAAAAAGACGTACACAGTTCAACTCGCTAGTAGTTGACACTAATAAGGCAATAAAGGAGGTTGTAGAAGAGGTCGCGGCCGACGCAAAAACAATGACCCTCGTAACTGCTGATTGGGATGTCTGGGCACCGCTCACTGGTGGACAATTCTGTAGGTTTTCTATATTTAAAGAGATCTACGTACCTGGATTTCTACTTTTGGAACCTCAGATATTGAACACAGAATTATAAGGCTAATATAATTCCAGGTGAGCCAGATGCAAGTCCAGTAAGTCCAATTGTTTCGGTTGCAATGGCAAAGGAACTAATATTTTATAGGATCCTGAAGACGACAGCAACAATAATGTCATGTTCTTCAAGCTATTCACCGGCAAAACCCCCCCTTTGGAGAGCCGCAGCCTTAATACTATCCGATACGACAATGACACGTCGTCCATCCCCGAGCCGTACCTTTCTGAAATGAGCAAGCGCGACCCTGTCGACCCCGGCTGTGGGAGCTCATCCCTCTCTCTCCCTGACTGGATCGGGAAAATATTCCACCCCAATGGCCTTGGTCACGAAGTCATTGCCGCATTCGCCCTCGATGCCATTGCAGATGCTCGTGCTAAAATACTTGGGCAGGGGCCTGTATGCCCCATTGTTGATAAGACAACATGCTACTCAAGCCAGGGAAGCAAAGCTTACGCAAGTGCCGAATCCCTCAACAACCAAATCGATGATTTCTGCAGTTATGTAAAGGACAATGTACCAGAAAATGAGTCAGGCTGGACACGCAGCAAAAAGTACTATGAAGGTACCTTAGATGAGTACACGATGATTGTATCACTCTCTGACAACGCCGCCTCATTTGACGAAAGTGAATGCAAGGATGCTATAGGTACGATTATCAATGGCTGTGATGTGCCTAGCGGAGGAGACAACCCAATGAATTGGAAGGGTGGTGGTAAGAGAGTCGAGGGCGAATATACTTATACAATCAACATTTATCGGACGAATCGACCATGGCCCCCGCCAGATAAGTCAACACAAGCTTGCGAAGGGTGGTACAAGTTTCTATTTCAGTCCTATGATATGTACGGTGCTGGATGGGCAACATACGACTACGGGCAAAAGTCATTAATGAAAGAAATAAATCCGTGCTGTGGTTCTGGTAAGATATCTTCTGGGCAGTTTATTCGAGAGTAGTTGATGCTGACATTTTCTCAGGAAGTTTAACTGGCTGGACATTTGACTACTTTGACGAACCGGATGAGAATGGATATGAGGTAAGTACAAACACCATTGTGACTCAAACATAAGCTGATAAATGGGGAAGTGGCACGCCTTCTTTCATACTGCGATTGGAACTCGTCGTCGGTGCTTTGACAACAACAACGTCCAGTGTGCCGCTGGAGGCCCATGTGATGGTGGCGGCTGTCGAGGCAATGGATGATAAAGAGGAAACTCTCTACATTAATCAATTAGCTCATCCCATGGTTGTTTCATATTTTTTAAACTTTGAGGCAGCAACTTTGAAATATATATTACGAAAAGGCGGTGTTTGCATAAATAGTTCAAAGTGATAATTATAATCACATGCTAGACCTTAACAAAACTACACACGTGACTTGTGCATGAATCCAATTAATGCAAAAGCCTAGCCCACCAATAGCAGAACAGCAATATAACAGCACACGTGACTTCTAAATTACCGAGGCATGAACAACTGACGTCGGCTCCCCAGTTTATTATCGCGGCCTCTAGACGTTCCTCGGGTCCTCCTCAAGTCGTCGCCCTTCATATCCCGATATTTTATTTCAGTTCACCCTTAACTATTCCTTACGTTCCTTCAATAGTCGACAATAACCTGCTGCCAAATTTCACTTGTATAATACAATACCCCACACCTCACCCATCATAAACAAAACAAGCTTATCACTTGCTACACGTCCACCGACGAACCCCACCTCCTGAACTCATCGAAGCCATCATCACAATGGCAGCTCAGCAATCCGACAATGTAGCCCACGCCCTCTCCGGCGCAGGCGGTGGCCTCCTCTCCATGGCCCTCACGTACGCCCCCATTACCCTCCCACCACCATCACCAACTAACCCTCTCTTTCCAGGTACCCCCTCATAACCCTCTCCACACGCGCCCAAGTCGAATCCACCCGAAAGCGCACCACATTCCTCGAAAGCACGCGCGCCCTCCTCGCCCGCGACGGCCCCTCCGGCCTCTACGCCGGCCTCGACTCCGCCCTCGTCGGCATCACCCTCACCAACTTCGTGTACTACTACTACTACGAGTGGTCGCGCGCGGCCTTCCTCAAGGCCCGCGCCACCCCGCGCCTCTCGACCCTCGAGTCCATGCTTGCGGGCGCCCTCGCCGGCTCCGCAACCGTCATGCTCACAAACCCCATCTGGGTGATCAACACGCGCATGACGACGCGCAAGCGAGCCAACTCTGTCGGCGCGCTCCCCGGCGCCCCAGAGGCCAAGGCGCCGTCCACCATCGGCACGCTGTTGGCGCTGCTGAAGGAGGAGGGGCCGCTGGCGCTTTTCTCGGGTGTTCTGCCCGCGCTGGTGCTGGTCATCAACCCCATCCTGCAGTATACGCTGTTTGAGCAGCTGCGGAATGTGGTGGAGCGGAGGCGCAAGGTTACGCCGTTCATCGCGTTCCTGTTGGGCGCGTTGGGCAAGCTCGTCGCTACCAGTGTGACATACCCATATATCACGCTCAAGTCGCGTATGCACGTTGCTGGACGTGGGGGAGACAAGGAGGGGATGGGACAGGCCATGAGCCGTATTATCAGGGAGGAGGGATGGGCCGGTCTGTACCGCGGTATGTATCCTCTGTCTGGCGCATAAACCTAAAGGAGGGAGACTGACTGATGACTACAGGAATCGGACCAAAGGTTACGCAGAGCGTGTTGACTGCTGCGTTCCTTTTCGCCTTCAAGGACGCGTTATATGCGCAGACCGTTCTTCTCCGCCAAAAGGCAGCTCTCAAGGCCATTGCCAAATAGAGGAGCAATAATGACCGGCTAGAACACCACTAGCAGCGGAGTGTAAGAGATAGCCACCATAGGGCGTAGTGGAGGATAGACTGGTTAAAGAGCACGCCAGGGAAACGTATTGACGCGTTTCCAAGTACCAATACTCAACGAAGGAGGCGTCGTAGTACTGCCACGCCATGTTGCACACCAGATGTAACAATTCTTCTGTAAATATTTCATTTTTCATCACATCAGTAAGCAGAGTACAAACACGGCATATATAGACTGGCAAAACCCAAGCCATTAAATTAAATCAAGAATTAAAGAAGATAAAATTTCCATTAGAAGATGATGGTGCTATCTCAGTATGATACAACTATCGACATGATATGTAGAGTGCGCAGGGGCAGCACATGAACAACAGAGACGAAGCCCTGGAAAACGTAAGGAACCAACGCGAAAAGTAGCTTCAATATGTGCACACATCCATCACTGCTCAAGCAGTTCCCCCACTCGCAAGGAAATCCGCAGCCTGTAATCGTTAGCATCACTCTTTATATCAATAGACACTCTAGCGACTTACCCTATCCAGATTATAGTCATATTTCTCGAGCGCCGCCAATGCATCCTTGCGCGAATAGCCCATCATGGTCAGGTTCTTCAAAAGGGGATCATCGTGCTCTCCATTTTCGGTCAGAGCCCTTCCAATCACCGGCCTCTCCTCCTTAGCCGTTGCCTTAGCTACACCATTCTCAACCGCTGTGCCAGGTTTGATTTCGTCACCAACAGCTGCCACGGCTGGGTTCGGCGCTCCGTCAAGGCCGGAGAATATGGCGTCCCAGTCTTGGTTGGCGCTAGTCGGTGCGGGCGCGGCAGCAGGCTGCGAAGTTGACGCCGATGGGGAGTGCGCAAAGTCACCAAATCCGTTTGCAGATCCGAACGCGCTGCCGTGGCCGGTGGTCTTGGAGGCAGCGGGGCTGTCAAACATGGGGTTGAACTCGTCCATTGCGGAGCGGTCGTGGACGGAGAGGTTCGCAAAGTCGTCGTCTAAGTCACCTTCTTTGGCATCTTCAAGGTCATCGAAATCATCGAAGTCGTCGAAGGCAGTCTTAGGGGGACGAGGGGGTTGCGCAGCGGTCGTTCCTGAGGGAGCAGCGACTACGTCCGCAGCAGGTGGAAGGTCCTGGCGAGATGGGAGCAGGCCGGAGTACTCGGCAGCTTCGGCATGGGCGATATCCTTGGGGGATACAGTCTTGTCATAAGTAGGCGGAGAAGACTGGGCAGTGACAGCAGGCGGCTGGCTACCGACACTCATTGCAGAAGAGGATTTTGAGACACTGGGGCGTCTTTCATCAGGTACCTTTAAAGAAGCAGCCTGGTCAGAAGTTTCCGATCTGAACTGGCTGGCAGATACTGGGATGAAGTCATCGTCGAATCCGCCCTCACTAGCAGACGAGTCGTCATCGTCGCCAATTTCCTCTAGTGGTGGGAATTCCTGGTGGAACCGGCTGGTAGGAGGCTCGACGCTCTTCTCGGAGCCTTGCGAGACGGCGCTACTACCTCCACCGAAGCTAGCGAATGCGGAGTCGAAGTCATCCTTGGATGAGACCTGGCCTTTGCCTGAGGGGAACAGCTCGCTGGAATCACCAAAAGCGGTGCCAGCTGCTGGTTGAGTATCTGGGAATGCGCCGGGCATGGATTCCTTGCGGCTGCCCATGGACAAGGACTCGCTTGCGGGGGATGCAGTGATATTACGATCAAACGTGGCTGATCCTGGTCGATTCTCTTGGAGATCTGCTACAGAGGATCCTGTCGGCGTTGACGCAACATTCTTTGGTGTTTCAGAGCCATCTCCAAATCTGCTCCCTGGCACAGAGACTTGGCGAGATGAGCTGATAGACTCATTGTCTGGCTGCGAGAAAGGCAAGAAGCTCGAACTGATTTGTCTTGACTGGGGGGGATCGGGAGTAAGGCCTTCTCGAGCTGGCATCTCTGCTGATAGTGGGGCAGACTTATCCTGGGCGTCGACAGCTTGCTTAAATGTAGTCGGCGGCATTGGGGAAGCAGCCGGCGATGCATTCATAGGCGCCTCGTATGTTGGTCCAAAGATGTTCTCAAATGAATTTCCTGGCTGCTGAGCTACAGGTGGAGAAGGGAAGGGAGAAAAGGCGATATCAGAGCTGCTTCCTTGCCGCCTGAAGAATGGGTTGCTTGTGCTCATCGTCGACAGAGCTGGGCTTGCGGCCGCTGGGGCAGGGCTTTGTGCTTTCGAGGTGGCTGCCGAGCTCTCAGAGAGCGCCCTTGTATCTTGCTCGATGCTCTGGTTCAGCTCCCCAGCCTCGGTCTTCAGTTTATCGCGTTCCCCTTCATTAGTCAGCAGCTGCTTTTTGTTGATTGCAACCAGACCCTTTTGCTGACGGGCTTCGGACCTTAACTTCTCGAGCTGAGGCTTCAATTGAGAGATCTCTGTGTTTAAAGCCTTGATACGTTCTTTCAGGCTAGCATTCTCTTGCTGGTCGGCTTGTAAGGCAACTGAGACCTGTTGATGTTGATTTTGAAGGTCTTGGTGAGAACCCTCAACCATGGCAATATCTTGTTGTAGCTTCCTAGTCTCATTCCTGGAGGCAGTAAGGCGCTCCTCCAAAGCTCTAACATCCTTGGCCTCCTTCTCATAGAGAGTGCGAAGCTGAGAAAGTCTAGTCTCAAATTCCTTCTTCTGAGAGGTTGCCTGCGTAAGCTCATTCTGCGAAGTTGAGCGCTGGCCCTGGACTTCCTGCATCTGTTTTGACAGCGTACCAACTTGGTTCGACAAGTTAGCAAGTTCACTAGTCTCACTAGTCAGCTTCTTGCTAATCTCCGGATCGTTATCCCCCAAGAGGTCGTCCATGGTTCCAGATCGTGCCAGCGGCGTGGACGCATTGGATCCGCCAGTAGCATTGTACGATATCGACTGGCCAAAGGACGACGATGGCACAAATGGCTTGAAGCCGGTATTCTGGGTTGGAATATGCTGAGGGCTGCCAGCAACAGGGCTGCTTGGTGTCATCGGGCTTCTGCTGGTTGCAAATGGGTCTCCGAAATTAGATCCACCAGTGGACAGAGCCTGTTGTGCAGGAGCTGGTGGTGGAGTAGCGGAAGCCATCGCGTCAAGTCCGAACAAGTCGTCCGCGGCAGACTTAGGAATGGTTGGTGCAGCAGTTTCAAAAGCAGGCGCGGTCGGTTGTTGGGGTTGTCGGATTTGCGATCTCATGCTCGGGGGAATTAGCTCTGCCGGTAAGGTGGCAGGTAAAGCATCTCTCCCGTCACGCTTGCCTCTCTGTTGACGGATGAGATACATAGCTACGGCAAATTCGTCTCTTGACAGATGGCCTTGCGAGTTGATATCAGCCAAATCCCAAATCTGTGCCAATGCCTCCTCAGGCAACTTAGAGTTGCTGAAGAATGGCACGGCTTCATCGCCAGTGATGAAACCGCGATTCGTCTTGTCAATGGTGGCGTATATGCTATCAAAGCGATTCTTGTCGGCGGGAGAGATAGCCCAAGTACCTGGTGAAGGAGGGACTTGACCAAACGCAGGCTTACTCAGAGGGCTGGCCGTTCTTCCCAGATTGTGACCTGTGAATTGCCTCGGAATCGGAGGTACCGCAGGCGGTCCACCGGTGACACCAGATAGTTGTCTTAAAGGTGGACGCCTCGCGGCAGCCTCTATAAGCCCAGCTGGGAGAACATTCGGTAGTGTGCGCATAGCCCCTGACTTGGACGATGCCAACAGATGCATAGCGATGATGAACTCAGTAACCGTGAGAGCTCCGCGATGCTCAGTATCCGCAAGGTACCAAATTCTCCCAAGAACTTCATTCGGAAGCCCTGCGCGTTCGAATATTTGTTTAGCCTGCTCGCCACCTAATATGCCCTCCTGGGCGCCAGACTTCTCGAATAAAGCAGCATACTGCTGGACCTTGTCTGGAGTCAACGGAGGGACTCGTATGGGGTTTCCACTCGTCTGCGGTTGTATCGGTCCAGGCGGTGGCCCTTGGGGAGGTGGCGGTACAGCGCCGCTCGGCACGCCGCCATCGAATTTAGGGATCGGTCCTGGTCGGAATGCAAGCTCTGCTGTCGGGTCTCTTCCTGCTTGTGCATGACCGATCAATCTCAGCACGATACTGAAGCCAGTAGGAGTAAGCAGTCCTCTATTTTCTTTGTCGGCGATGTTCCATATCTGTGTAAACAGTAGTCAGATTAGCCGTCCAACAGGTGACATTGCCATCCCTCAATGGAACGACGGGATCACTCGGATCATGAACTTACCACGCCCAACACCTGTGGATCAAGCCTCGTCTTCTCAAAGAAAGTCACGGCAACCTCGCCAGTAACAACGCCAATGTTCTCAGAGTCCGCCTCGCGGAACAGCTGCCCAAACACTCGTACCTCCTCCGGTGTCAGATTCAAGTTCGGCGCACCTATCTATCATCAGCCTGCATCCAGTCGAACACACATATCGCCTTCATAATGTCGATATCAAGTTGTGATGAAAGGACTTCAGGATTGCGTCCCTGAGGGAGCATTCAAGGGTCTTACCAGAGTCGACATTGGTGTCCGCCATCGCGCTCGCCAGAGGAACTGATCCACCAGCGCAACAGGGCCTCTAAGTGTTGATTTTCTTAAATGAGAAGCTGTAACTGCTCTTGCCAATGCTAGCTCGCGTTGGAGTTGATTCCGGAGGGCTAAAAAACAAAGAGGGGGGTTTGGATTGTTGATGGGGGGAGCTGCAACCACGTCGCCAACGGTGGTTGCGGTAGATTGTCAAGCGGCAACCGCGGCAATTGCCGCCGCGTCATTCAATCACCCAATCTGGGGTAATTTGGTATCGCCCAATTTAAATTACATTGCGGTCAAATACGAGACTGTCTCACATGATCTAGATTTCTACATTTTAGCTGCATTTGGGAAATTTTCACCATGTGCGACGTCCAGGCTGTCGGTTTTTCTAATTTACGGAATTGTTCTTTAACCATTCTGCTACACTACATCTACACGGTATCACGTCACCATGGGTACAAAGCGGGAGCTACATTTATTGCATTCGAAAGCAATTGAGTATCATTCATTCTGTTGAGAAAAGGAAGGCGCTTCGCTATTTAGCAAAGACCGCCGAGCAAACATTCTAGACACCAAACTGACCATGAATAAAAAGCCATAGAACGCTCCCTAAAGAACATCATCCAGCTCCATTCCACAGCCAAAGTGTACTCCATAGATTATAACCTGCACAAAACAATTATTCTTGCCAGAGAGCATCTAGTACTCGGCCTCGATCTCCTCACCCTCGAGGGAGTCGGCAGCAACCTCCTCGTAATCGCGCTCGAGAGCAGCCAGATCCTCACGGGCCTCAGAGAACTCACCCTCCTCCATACCCTCACCGACGTACCAGTGGACGAAGGCACGCTTGGAGTACATGAGATCGAACTTGTGGGAGAGAGCGGACCAGGCCTCGGCGATGGCGGTGGTGTTGGACAACATGCAGACGGCACGGTTGACCTTGGCGAGGTCACCGTTGGGGACCATCTGGGGTGGCTGGTAGCAGATACCAAGCTTGAAACCAGTTGGGCACCAGTCGACGAACTGGATGGTGCGCTTGGTCTTGAGGGTGGCAACAGCGCTGTGGGCGTCCTTGGGGACAACGTCACCACGGTACAGGAGGCAGGTGGCCATGTACTTTCCGTTGCGGGGGTCGCACTTGACCATCTGGTTGTGGGGCTCGAAGCACGACATGGAGATCTCCTGGACGGAGTTGGCCTCGTGGGATGCCTTGGCTGCGGAGACAACTGGGGCGTAGGCGACGAGAGGGAAATGGATACGGGGGTATGGCACCAAGTTGGTCTGGAACTCGTTGAGATCGACGTTGAGGGAGCCGTCGAAGCGGAGGGAGGCGGTGATGGAGGAGACGACCTGGGCGATCAGGCGGTTCAGGTTCTCGTAGTTGGGTCTCTCGAGTCCAAGGTTACGTCTGCAGATGTCGTAGATGGCCTCGTTATCGACCATGAAGGAGCAGTCAGAGTGCTCGAGGGTGGTGTGGGTGGTGAGGATGGAGTTGTATGGCTCGACGACCGAGGTGGCGGTTTGTGGGGCTGGGTAGACGCAGAACTCGAGCTTGCACTTCTTGCCGTAGTCGACGGACAGACGCTCCATGAGGAGGGCTCCGAAACCAGATCCGGTTCCACCACCGAAGGAGTGGAAGACGAGGAAACCCTGGAGACCAGAGCAGTTGTCGGCAACGCGGCGGACGGTGTCGAGGACCTGGTCGATCAGCTCCTTTCCGACGGTGTAGTGACCACGGGCGTAGTTGTTGGACGCATCCTCCTTGCCGGTAATCATGTGCTCCGGGTGGAAAAGGCTGCGGTAGGTACCGGTGCGGACCTCATCGACCACGTTGGGCTCGAGATCGCAGTAGATGGTGCGGGGAACGTACTTGCCCTGACCTATGAAGGTATGGTGTCAGTTCACAGTTCGTTACCGATGAAGCTGTCGTGGATCGAAGGTGAATATTTACCAGTCTCGGAGAAGAAGGTGCTGAACCCCTGATCAGGCTCGGCGGCCTTGCGCTCTTCGGTCAAGTATCCATCTGGCTGTAAAGGTATCACGCGTCAGTAGGTGAGTCAAGTAAAGTAAAGGAGTGTTCTGTTTCCGGAATCTCGGAAGTTCAGGGGATCGGTAACGTACCTGGATACCGTGCTCAAGGCAGTAAAGCTACACAATTAGGCGTCAGTATTCAATGTCCATCGTACCACATCTCGAGCTTTGAGCTCAGGGTGAAGCTCACCTCCCAGCACGAGTTAGCAATCTGGCAACCAGCTTGGCCGACTGAGAAAAATGTTGTCAGCAAGGATATATTTTGAGGCCTGATGTTGACCCTATCAGGAGCGGTGAACGTCGCGTCAGGGGCTAAACGAACCGTTGATGCTGATGATTTCTCTCATTTTGAATGAGTTTACGAGCGTAGCAAGTATGTGTTGTAGATGCGATGGAGTGAAGGAATTCGAGGGTTAAACTCTCGAAAAGATGGCAGCGGTGCTGGTCTGTTGAGGTATGGGAAGAGCAGAAGCGTTGGTGGGGAAGAAGGCACCGTGCAGGAGGAGGAGTTGTTGTCGCTTCAGCACTTTGTGGGTTTGTTTATTAATTGGGATAGCGCGCAAAACAGGCAGGGGTCCCACGGCTAGCGCGTCTTGCTTTCAGGGAACCGCGCGACTTTTGGTGAGGAGCTATCAGATTTCGGGAACGTCAGAGCTTCATTTCACAGGGTCCATGGGAATACAGCTATACAAATCTATGTCGTATATGTCAAGATGAAGCTCTACAGTATTGTTTCTGTGATTTTGGCAGTTTGTACGCAGGCGGCCGTTGCAAACGTGGAAAAGACGATATTCATAGCTCCTAGTGCCCTTACGATTCCTCTAGACCACCCCACCTTCGAGAATCTACACCTCCAGACTCTATCTCCAGAGAACTCGACAATTCGAACGCAGCTGCACTCTGAGTTCCCTTCCGATACTTACCCTCGTGGTCCAGCATCATGGTTCATCCTCAGCGACTTGACGGAGGGGCAGAGGTACGAGGTTCGCATCTGCTGGCCAGCCACCGTACGTAACCAGCTCCGCTCTCCCCATTACACCACTACATTAGCTAACAGCAACACTCCAGAAACCGACTTCCTTCCATCTCGAAACATACGAAGTAGCTGATGTCTTCAAAAACCCGAGCCTCATCATGTCTCTGGCAGAGTACTCTGAGACGCAGCAGGGCAAGCCGGAGTCAGTTGGGGATTCGCTGAAGTCCGCCATGCGACCAACGCACGGTGCGACCGATCAGTCATTATTGCTCTTGAGCATCTCTACTGCGGCAGACTATTATACCACGGATGCCTATCTGATGAAGAACCCGTCGCCGGTATTCGTCGACATCATCCTGGACCCGTTCATACTCAATGTGTTCCCGCGATCGCTTGTTCCGACAGCAGGATACATCACGATTGTTGCCATTGGAAGCTTCTTCGTGGCGCGGTTTATGAGCAGGTTTCTGGCGAGGGTTGCGAAGACGGGTGGTCAGAAAAAGGATCAATAAGCTATTTAATTGCACTGTCTACGAATATACCGAGGCTGAGAAGAGGGGAGGGAATAGCATAAGGCGGAAGAGCCATCAAGGGATACGTCGGGTCGCTCATTTTCCGAGGGATAGTCAAGGGCAGTCGATACCAGGTCATAATACCGGTTGAATAATTCAGGCCATTCCACACTCAATACCATTCGAGGGGGGATATCTCTACATCTTCAGCAGCAACCGAGAACATTACGCCCGGCCCCAATACCAACCAACCATCTCCCAAACCACCACGCACAGCTCCAGAATAGCTCTCATTCTCACCCAGCATCAATCACTCCTTCCACCCACACTACCAACCTCCATCAGGCTATTGTGCCCAGCCTATAACTGAGAGGGGAAAGACGGCATTATGCTGACCCGACGTAAGGGGTTTCACCACGTCTCAACCCCACCACGGAACCACGACTCCTGATCGACTTATACCCAAGGATTTTCAAATATAGCGGATTATTTTGTTATCACAGATTCTCTAGTTAACAAAAATTGTATATCAACGAGAATGTAATTGTTAAAACAGTATCCAGATATACAATTCTCATTCCCAAATATCCTCTCTCGGAAATCGCTCAAAGTCCCCCCCATGCTATGAAACCCCCTCCCCTCCCTCCATGTATAAAAAAGTAACAACAAAAAGCGCCCCAGGTATATGAATCCTACAAAATTCTTATATAACCACCCATAAAATCCCCCCCTCACGCCGTTTCGCGCCGTTGTTCGTACATGCATCCATCTCTCTGTGTCTCTCGCCCGTTTCGTGTAGTTATGCACAATCGGTGATATCGTCGTCGCTAGCCACTCCTCGTTCGCCTCTGTTGCTCTGTGTCTGCCGCCCTCGCGGGTATCAAAAAAAGTCACCACCTCCCCCTCCCTCTCTCCCCCTCCCATCCCACCCCCCCCCCCCTCCTTCCCCCCCCCCCCCCCACACCCCCCCCACCCCCCTCCTCCCCACCCACCACCCCCCCCCCCCCCCCCCCCCCCCCCAATCAAAACTCAACCCCCCCACCCCCCCTCCACCTCTCCCTCCCCCTCCTCCCCATCAATATGAGCTACGCCGTCCCAACACCCCTCATCTCAACCTTCCCACCCGCACCAGCCCTCCTAAACCCGCCCTTAAAGATCTCCATCCCCACCGTCGCCGTAGACACAACCCATAACACGAAGCCGAAAGATGCGGCGCCTACATCGGCGCGCGCGGCGTTGCAGACGCTCCCACGGCAGAAGAGGAGTTTGGAGAGGAAGACGGCGAGGGCGATGAAGCCGGAGAGGTGGAAGATTGTTGTTAGGGATTCGAGGGCGAAGGAGGCGTAGGGGTGGGAGCCTGTGGGGAACACCAGTTGTTAGTCTTTGGTCTCTGCCTTTTGAGTGGTCTGGGGTTGATCGGGGCGAAGGGGGGGAGGGAGGAGGGGAGGGCAAATGGAGGGGAAAGAAAAAGGACATACCTCTAGGCCACCTCCTCGGCACAATCTCCAGATAGAAAATACTCAACAAACTCCACACCCCCGTGAAGATGAGGAAGTTAAACTGCGACGGCGATGCTGTGAGCGTATCCGCATCGTACCAATGCGCCACTATCTCCTCGTTAGCCTCCTGTCCGTTTCCTCTCCCAATCCTCAATCTAATCTCTCATCACACCACCGTCCACGCGCCGCTGCTGGATTGTGATTGCGGTAGTGGTTTGCGCCAAACTAGCAACCGCCCGCGCCAAACTCGGGGTCGCGCGCAAAAGGCATAAGGGGGGGCATACCATAAGAAGACAGAATCAGCACCATGCTCGCTGTCACGACCTGCAAGACGCGCAGCGGGAAAAGGAATGCGTAGCCCATCGTCTCGTCGTTGCCTTTATCTCACAGCGGCGTTGTTTGTCGTGGTCGTCGTTGGGAGAGAGTGGTGGTGGTGGTGACAGTGGATTTTTTTTGAGCGGTTGGCGGGTAGGATCAATGGAATGGGCAAGGAGGCGGGTGGAGAGAGGCGCCGCGGGTATTGTGGGTACCTGGGGAGGTTACCAGGGGGTGGGCGTGGGTGCGGTTGGCGATTGGAGCGGGTTTGGGAGTGGTGGTGGAGTTGGTGGGTGAGTGTGGGATTGGTGGGTTGTAAGGTAGGAGGAGTGGATGTGAGTAGAGTAGAGGCTGGAGAGTTGAGTAGGTGAGTGAGTGTATGGGCGCTTGTTGGTGATTGTGGTGGTGAAGAAAGTCGCAGACTCTCAATTCATTTGTTTTTTGGTGTTTGTGTTAGTGAGTGATGATGCTAAATGCGGTTGCGGAGACGTGCTGTCTACAGCGGAGATGAGGGTCTGAGTCGTGAGACGGGATACATCGATCTCGGTGTTATCGATTTTAACAGTTCCGTCCAGCGTGAGTCCAGAAGCAGAAGGAGGGGTGAGATGGGATGGGGAGAGGGTGGTTGTTATGTGTGTTTATTATGGTAATATTATGTTGCTATTAATGGGAATATTTTTTTAATAGATTGCTGTATTATTATTATTATCTTGCTTTGATCTGGTTGTCGCAGCTTGCAACGGTGTTGAAACTGGATGTCGCTAGAGGTCTGGATTCGAGATCTTTTTTACAGGCACGGGGATTGGTTGGTGGTGTCTTGGATGCTGAAGACGGTGTGGTTGGTGGTTGGCAGGGGCGGCGGGTAAGTTAGTTAGTACTGGTGTGGTCAGTGTCAGGGGCCGGTTTGATCCAGGGCGAAACCGACGAAATCATGCTGTTGGGTGTTGGCACAGGGAGGGGGATTGATCGTGGTACGCACAATCGTGGATTATCTGTTAGTCCTCATTTTTCTATTATGGGAATCTATTCTGGTATTCTACTTGAGATTCTCTGATCTCTGATAGTCGTAAGAAAACACCTCTCTCTCACTCTGAAATAACACATGTCCCCTCCCACCACCACTTCACCACCAACAACCCCCCGGAGATGACTTCTCACCTCTTGGCAACTTGGCTGTAATCCCACCTTCCCAATCTCAAAAAATCCTCCTCCTCCAACTCTCCTCCAACCCATGTGTCCACAACCAAATTTCACTCTCCAAACTAACTCCCTAACTATCTTACTTTAGCATAAAATCGTCGTCCTCTCTGGAACACCTTGGCGCCACACTTCCTCGCCGCCGCCGTACACACCGTACAGCATGTCACCCCCTCTCATTCCGGCGACCCTGTCTCAAGTCCCCCGCGCATGAAGGCCGCGAAACCGGCACGCCACCAGCCGCCACCACTATTCGCCGGTGTGTCCAGTCCAGTCCAACCCACGCTGTGCTGGATTGATACACACACCACGGCGACACGTACGGCGATGTACGATTGGTGGCGTGGCGGTTTGACAGCTCAGAGGCGTGACTAGAGAATGGTGATGGCGATAGTGGGATTAGTAACACTTGGTGTTCTGGAGCATATCCTAAGCTGCTTGGCGCTGTGGTGGTTGTGTGAGGATGGGGGCCTTCGAGCTGTGTTCTGGCGCGATTACGACTCCCAAACATAGCCCGCCAGCGGGTGAGTCTGAGTGATATCCTGCGCTTTATTTATACCACTGCGTGAACATCTCTCCATGACACGACGGCGTGGGATTTTTCAGTACTATCTAGAGATATTCCCCCCCCATATATTGAGGCATTTAAACTTCTTCAATATAAATTGCCTGGCTAGATTCCCCGCGCACGCATGAGATGTCATCGCGATTACCATACACCTTTCACCTCCGCCGCCCATACAAACCTAAACCTAAACCTCCCTCCCAACCCATCATTCCGAAAAAGGAAAGAATTTAGAAGTTTAATAAACTAAGGGGCAATATATTGGGTAAGTGGCAGACGAAGGTGCAGCGTGGGGGGAGGGGAGATCTGCACCAGGCAGTTTGGGTGTGGGAAACACGTGATGATAACTGCCCCTCCAAAAATTGAGTTTGGGTCACGTGGAGGTGGGGTGGGAATTTGTGAGATTTATACCTCTGGTGAGTGAGTGTTGAGAAGAGTGTTTGTGGAAATAGAAACCCTTTTTATACAGTATATATCTATACAAACTCAAAATCACCTCAATATCATCCAAATACCGCAATCCTCTTAGTTCCCCCCCATCCCCCCCCTCCAACCACCCCTCCATCCCAAAACACCCCAAGATCATCCATCACGTCACCACCAGCCACCACCAATCGAGCAAATATGAGGAAAATAACCCTTCCCTCCCAAAAAAAAAGCAAACCCCGGGCGGCACAGAGAGAGAGCACAGAGTGGGATAGAGTAAAAAAAAAAAGAGGCGCCCACCCGTTCCCCTGATATGGCGACACTAGAAGCTAGACCCCCTCTCCTCGCCTTTCCGTTGGGTGGTCTGGAGGGTGGTGACCCTTATTGCGTGATCGAGGGGACGCAGCCGCGTTGGGAGGGAGCTATAGTTACCCCGCCGACATCGCGCCTTTAGCCCTTTTGTCTTTAATCATAAACCCCCCCCTTCCCTGCCCTGCCTACCAGCCCTACAAAAAACTTGCGAAGAATACGATATATACCTCGAGTATATTACATCTTTTATACCTTTTAAGCTTTGAATCTTTATTAGACAGCAATCATGGCAGAGGGACTCAGCAAGAACTTTGAGACGTTGCAGTTACATGCGGGGTAAGTCCCCTTATCGATGGGTGATGGGCGATCAATGAACCGCCCTCTCCTTGCGAAAATGCAGGAACAGAATTGAAGATGCTGACTTGAATCCCTTTTAGCCAGGAGCCAGACCCAACGACGAATGCGCGCGCGGTGCCAATTTACGCGACTACGGTAAGGAGATAGATACCTGGGATCCGGGGGGACGAGGACGGGGAACCTGTGAGGGAGTGATAAAGTGCTGACGGATGGGGTCGTACAGAGCTTTACCTTCAATGACTCCGCCCACGGCGCGAGGCTGTTTGGCCTGAAGGAGTTTGGAAACATTTACAGCCGTATCGGTAACGTAAGTCGCAGTCCTACCTCTTAGCTGTTGCTGTTGCTGGTTCTGGCTTCTAGCATCTGGCTTTTTTATACCCTTTGCGACCCCACGCTAACCCCCCCCCCCCAGCCAACCGTCGACGTCTTCGAGAAGCGCATCGCCGCCCTCGAAGGCGGCGTCGCAGCCGTCGCCTCCTCCTCCGGCGCCGCCGCGCAATTCATGGCCTTCGCCACCCTCGCCAAAGCCGGTGACAACATCGTGTCCACCTCCGCCCTCTACGGCGGAACCTACAACCAGCTCAAGGTCCTCCTCCCCCGCCTCGGCATAACCACTAAATTCGTGACCGGCAACGACCCCGCCGACTTCGCCGCCGCCATCGACGACAAGACGAAGGCTGTTTTCATCGAGAGCATTGGGAACCCGAAGTACAGTGTTCCTGATTTCGAGGCCCTGGCTACGGTGGCGCATGATGCGGGGATTCCGTTGGTGGTTGATAACACCTTTGGTGCTGGGGGTTACTTCTGTCGCCCCATCGACCACGGTGCCGACATCGTCGTACACAGCGCCACGAAATGGATTGGTGGCCACGGAACCACCATCGGTGGCGTGATCGTCGATTCCGGAAAATTCGACTGGGGCAAGGCCGCAGCCAAGTTCCCCGACATGGTGGAGCCGGCGCCAGGATTCCACGGCCTCAAGTTCTGGGAGACGTTTGGACCGATCACCTTCGCGATTCGCGCGCGCGTCGATGTCCTCCGTGATGTTGGAGCTTGCCTCAACCCCTTCGCGGCCTTCCAGCTCATTCAGGGCGTTGAGACGCTATCTCTCCGCGCTGAGCGCCACGGACAGAACGCCCTCGCGCTCGCGAGATGGCTGGAGAAGAACGCGCATGTGTCCTGGGTCTCGTACCCCGGACTCGAGAGCCACCCCACCCACGAGAACGCGAAGAAGTACCTCACTCGCGGTTTCGGCGGCGTGCTAAGCTTCGGTGTTAAGGGCGGTGGTGCCGCGGGTAGCCAGGTGGTGGATGGATTCAAGTTGATTTCCAACTTGGCGAATGTGGGAGACTCGAAGACGCTGGCGATTCATCCGTGGTCGACTACGCATGAGCAGCTGAGCGATGAGGAGAAGGTCGCGTCGGGGGCGACGGAGGATTTGATCCGCATCTCGGTCGGGACGGAGCATATTGATGATATTATTGGGGATTTTGAACAGTCATTTGCGGCTACTGCGGCGGCGAAGACGGAGGGGGGGAAGGAGGAGAATAAGGATGTTGCGGCGGAGGGGGCGGAGAAGGCGGAGGTTGTTGTTGCTGTTTGAGCCGTCTGATGAAATAGATGCGCATCATGGCGTGTAGCGAATGAATGATTTATGGTCCATGATTGAGGTTTGAGTGCATGTGTATAAATTGTCGCCTCAACTGTGTCCAACCAGGTAACTGGTAATTTGAGAAAGAGTATGCGCCGTCATCGCGAGAATTAGTCGCGAGTCGTGATTTCCTACCGTGATGTACGTGCTACTCCCTCAACACCACGCTCCTCACCACCATCCTATCCATCACCAACACGTAAACTAGTATTCCAGCTAAAGATCCATTTCGCCATCGCATCACATCCCATCCCATCCCATACATATATCCCTTACATCCCCCCCCCCCCCCCCCCCCCCGACCCCCCCCCCCCCCCGACCAGCCTGACAAAGCAACACCACGTGCACGCGCACACCAAATAAACGTGTCGCTCAGCTGCCGTGCAACACCACAACACACCACACACCCAGCCCAGCCGCACACCCCCTTACATCCCAGTACGCACGCACAGTCCAGTCCAGCACAGCACAGTTGGTTCTCGAGTACGTACGTACAGTACAGTACTAGTACAGCACTTCTCGCCAAGGCCCGGCACCTCCGAACCCCGAAAAAACTCCACGTTGGGGAAACGCGGGGCAAAGGTGGTGCGGAGGAGTATCACGGCACGAAATAAGAGGCCATGGGCTTGGGTGTGGGGCGTGGGAGAGGGGGATGGGATGGGATGGGGAGGAGGCGGGTGAGATTTATGGTGGATGGGAGGGGAGTGGAGGGGATGGAAGTATGCTTGATGGTGTGTTGGTGTATGAGGTTGTATTTGATTGATCCTTATTATATGAACGGGCTGACTGTACTGTACTGTACTATAAGTTATACTTTTCAGCCCTTAATATACAATTATACTATTTATCGCGTGGGTAATCATAGTATTACAGTCTCACACACACCCCTAGGATACTAGGATTTACTACCACACATACAATCTCTAACACCCTCGCTTTCACATGAACGCCACGAGCTAACTAACACAATCCCCCATCGCGTCCCTATACTTTGTACCGCACCCGTACAAATCCGTGGGTGGTGGGGTTCATTAATAGGTGGAGAAAACAGCCTTCTAATCCAATTAGCGCCGCCTAAATCCTCAGCAAATCGGCCGAGCCTCGGTCCCTGGGATAAAGTTGGTAGGTGCGGCCGCACGCCCCCAAATGCAGCGTGCGGAGGTGGAGGAAGAAAGGGTTTCTTAGGATCAGATGCCAACGGAGAGAGGTCTACTCTTTCCATATACCATCTCATCTCCTCTCCTATCTTGCACATATCCCCCTCCCTCCTCCTTTTTCGAATACGCTCTCTCGATTCCCTCCTTTTGTGTTTCTTCTTCTTTGTCGAACCCTGTCTCACTTTTTTCTGGCATTGCGAGTTCCTGCGATACAACTTAGCCTTTGTAAGTTCCCGCCATCCCCGGAATTGGAGAAAGAGAAAGAACGAAAGGAAGAAAGAAGCCATGAAGAAGGGCGACACGACCCTCAAACCTTTCTTCCAAAAACCAACAAACAAACAAACAAAACACTCCCCAGCTAACCACTCTCCCTATCCTCACAGACTCCCCAACCAAACCACCACAATGCCGTCCGCCTTCACCCTCACCAAAGACCAGGATGCCAACTACAAGCAGCTGGCCTCCCCCCCACCAGGCCTGAAGCCCTACTCCGTCGCCATCCCCGGCACCGCCGTCGAAGGCCGCAGCGCCGTGTACCGGCACTGGCGCTTCCAAAACGGCCCCCTCTTCTCGACCATCGACCCGTCGCTCCACACCGCGCACGACGTCTTCGAGGCCTCGGCCAAGAAGTACGGCAGCCGCAACTGTCTGGGGCAGCGCGGCTACGACGCCGCAAAGAAGACGTGGGGCAAGTATACGTGGGAGACGTACGCGCAGGTTGCCGAGAGGCGTCGCAACTTCGGCGCTGGGGTTGTCGAGCTGCACAAGGGAGTTGGGATTACGGGGGACAGGTATGGTGTTGGGCTGTGGTGCCAAAACAGGCCGGAGTGGCAGATTGCGGATCTGGGGTGCATGTCGCAGTCCCTCTTCACCGTGTCGATCTACGATACCCTCGGACCGGAGACGACGGAGTATATCATCAACCATGCCGGTCTGGCCTGCGTGGTTACCAGCTTGCCGCATATCCCGCTGCTGCTGAAGCTCGCGCCGAGAGTGCCGTCCATGAAGCTGATTATCTGCCTGGACCCGCTCACTGGTTCGGAGAAGCCGGGTAACTCCATGGGCGAGCTGCTCAACACCCTCGGGAAGGAGGTCGGTGTTGCTATCCACTACATCCGCGATGTCGAGGAGCTTGGTGCCAAGTCATCTATCCCGATGAACCCACCCAAGCCTGACGATATCATCACCATCAACTACACCTCCGGCACGACCGGCAACCCTAAGGGTGTCGTCCTCACCCAGGCTAACGCCCTGGCCGCCGTCTCGACCGGCAGGTTCGTGTCTCACGGCACTCCCAAGGACGTCGTCATGTCCTACCTCCCGCTCGCGCACATCTACGAGCGCGTCACCGAGGGCGGTGCCCTGCTCTGCGGCTCTTCTATCGGGTACTTCCGCGGCGACATCCTCGGCCTGGTTGACGACATGAAAGTGCTCAAGCCCACTGGCTTCGTGTCCGTGCCTCGCCTGTACAACCGCTTCGGTGGTGCTATCCGCTCTCAGGCTCTCGAGGCTGAGGGTCTCAAGGGCGTCATGGGCCGCCACGTCGTTAATACTAAGCTGGCGAATCTGCGCAAGCCCGAGGGCGAGGCTACCGTCTTCCACGCCGTCTACGATCGCCTGTACACCCCCAAGCTGCGCTCGGCTTTCGGTCTGCAGAACTCCAACCGCATGGTCTCTGGTTCCGCGCCTATCGACCCCCAGCTCCACACGCTCCTGCGCGCGGCGTTCGGAAACCCAATCAAGCAGGGTTACGGCATGACGGAGACATACGCCATCGGCTCGTGCCAGGATGACTCCGACACCTCGACCGGCAACTCCGGCGGTGTCCTCCCCTCCGTGGAAGTCTGCCTCTCCTCCGTCCCCGACATGGAGTACCTCGTGACTGACAAGCCCAACCCCCGCGGCGAGCTCCTCGTCAAGACCACCGCCCTCTTCCGCGAGTACTACCGCGACCCCGCCGAGACGGCCAAGGCCATGACCTCGGACGGCTGGTTCAAGACCGGCGACATCGCCGAGATCGACAGCCGCGGCCGCATCAAGATCGTCGACCGCGTCAAGAACCTCCTCAAGCTCGCACAGGGCGAGTACGTCTCCCCCGAGCGCCTCGAGAACGTGTATCTCGCCAACACGAACCTGGCCAACATCGCGTTCGTGCATGGTGATAGCACCGAGGCGTTCTTGGTGTCGGTGTTCAGCGTGGATCCGGTGGCGTTTGCGCCGTTCGCGGGAGCAATCTTGAAGAAGACTATTGATCCGCTTGATGCGGATGCGGTCAGGGAGGCGTGTAAGGATCAGAGGGTTAATAAGGCGTTCTTGGCCGAGCTGGAGAAGATTGGGAAGAAGGCGAAGTTTAATAACTGGGAGAGGGTTAGGAAGGTGCATTTGGCGCTTGAGCCGTTCTCGATTGATAATGAGACTTTGACGCCTACGTGAGTTTTATCCCCCCACCCCCACCCTTCACAACCTTTGTTATCACCACCTCCGTGAGAACTGGGACAGTTTGCTGACTTTTTTTCGATACAGTCTTAAGATGAAGAGACCGAAGGCTGTCAAGATGTTCAGGGATGAGCTGGACAGGATGTACGCCGAGGCCCTGGAGGAGGAGAAGTCCAAGAGCAAGCCGAGATTGTAGAGCTGCAGCTCATGTGGAGGTTCTTCAGAAGGAGGGGTTGTAAATTGGAAGGGTGCTGGTACATACTATTGCTTGTAGGCGCGCGTGCTGGCGATCTTGATGCATAGAGACGAGCTGTACATTGATGCCATTTTGTTAGATTAGAACGTTATTCTGCTATATATTGTACAGAAGATGAGGTATATACCTGGACTTTTGGGTTTTGTCAGAGTGAAGTGAGGTCCTGTGTAATCGTCGGGGGGGGGATTTGAGGGGTTTGTGTTGCAGATTACATGTGAGACCAAAGTGTCGTGCCCGCACACCAAGTTGTCTCAGTGCAGTAGTTTATGGCTGTATTATATTTCAAGGGGTCACATTCATTCATTCTAAGTCACGGATATGGGATTTATAGTCAACTCCAAGAATTGACCTGGTTCTATCCTCTTATTGCTTATAAAGGGATATGAACGTTGGCTTTCTTCACCACCACTCCTTGCTTCCACTTATCACGGCTCACCCCTGGTAGCCTTCCGCTCAGCCTTGCCCATCTACAACGGAACATCATTGAACCGACATCTCTTTATACCATCCACCACCGCGACCGCGACCGTCAAGGCCGCGCCCCATTCACACACAGCCTCAAACAAAGCACACACTTTCAAAGGCGATGAGCCTGCTGCCTTGCTGCCCTTCTTTGCAAACAAACTCACATACCACTCCTCACTTCCACTGCACATCCATGCCATGAACCGCCTCAAGATCCGCCTTCAAGCAGCAGCTCGTCACAGCGCGATCTAGTTGCCCAAGAAGGTACGACGAGGAAATTCACGCGACACCCCACTTCCTCTCCCCTCCTCCCACACTGATTACACTCCTCTCCCCATACTAAACTCGAGAAAGATTCAGGGAGACAAAGTGAACAAGCGCTAACTTCTCCTCCCCCCCCCCCACAGACCCAAAATGGTGCAAGCCCACGCCTCCTTCGTCGACCTCACCCTCGACAGCGACGACGAATTACCCGCCGCAACTTCAACCCAGATACGGGCCCCCAATGCCGCCGGCCCAGATTTCACAGGGACGACTACTTTACCCTACCATTCACCATCACCACGGAAACTGCAGAATGGCTTCACGAATCACCAATCACATAATGGCTTACTGCTCCCGGGGGGGTTGCCCTCACCAATCGATATTCCGGGCGCCCTACCGCCGCCGAAATTACATACTCCTGTGGTTGCGAGGAGGAAAACACATTTGAGAGAGCTGAGCTTGTCGCCGAATGCGTCGAGGTCGGTGGAGGGCTCGGTGAAGAGGAGGAGGCTTGCTGGGGATGGGATGGGGGCGTCATCGAGTCCGAGTAGGGACCGGGCGGAAACGCGCATACTGCCGCCGCCGCGGGTATCACAGGTGGAATCACATACGGGGAGGAGAAGGAGCAAACCGCCGCCTACATCTGCTGGGAGAGAGGGCCAGGTGAATGTGTATGATATGTTTCAGACTCAGTCGAAGCCGGTGGTGATTTCTTATTCGGATTCTGAGCCGCAATTGCCGGGGGTTCAGAGTGCAGGGCGGTCACAACAAGGTTTCAATACACAGGTGCGGCCAGTTTCGAACGCAGGCCCAGGGACATCCAATCCTGGCCCTGCGCCGAAGGGGGCGGAGGATGTGCTTCATCGGGTTATCTTCCCGGAAATTCAATCATGCCTCGAGAGATTGGGAGCGGGCCTCGATGAGGCTGTCAAGAAGAAAATTAGGCACCAGGTTGCGAAGAATCTTTGCGACGATCAATTCCTAGCACCTCTGGCTTCGAATAAAGGGGTGCTATCTGCAACTAGGCGGAAGAGGCTCGTTGATAAGTGCGCTTTGCTGGTGGAAATTCATGTTCACAAATTGGGAAAGGGTCAGAAAAGCAAGCTGCAGTCACCTGCAGCAGCTCGCAGGCAAACAGCTCGTCGGCAGACAAAGCAAGCCGCACCGCCTGAGCCGATCTTTATTTCGGACAGCTCGAGCGAGTCCGAGAAGGATGATTTCAAGGATGCTGTTGAAAGGCTTGGGGCGGGGGAAATTACTCGGCAGAAGCGCGATTCCTCGTCCCCAAGCACGTCTTATACTGTTGAGTCTCCCGCGAAGGAAGCTGCATCAGACCCAGCGCCCCAACAGAACCACCAGAAGATGGCTTATCGGCAGGGGACTCTTAGTTTTGTTTCACGCACACCTGCTATCCAAAAGCCTGCAAACGCGCGCTCTCCTGGAAAGCAAACAGCGGGCAATCGCATCCAGAAGCAAAACAAACCCCGGGCGCTTCGGTCGGCCGCGCAGGAAGCTGTGGCGAAGCAGTCTTTCCTTCGGGAAGTTGAAACCTTGCGATTGGCTGCCAATGCAATCACAAGGCCGTATATCAGTCTGTCGGCGCGCAAAGACATCGCAAGGGGTCTTTCGGAACAACGATTGACTCCACAGGAGAAGCATATACTTCATGGTCATATTGTTCATGTGGACTTTACGGGCGAAGAGGTGCAGTTTGTGCGCAATGTTATGGATGTGTGGCATAGAAATCATGTCGAATCAAAGCCTAAGGGGCAGCGGCTTGGGATAATCAATGGGAGTGTGAAGGTCTATCCGAGCCTGCTCCAAATGATAGTGAAGTCTCAACAGGAGTCTTTGGGAACTGATGAGGGTTCACGGCTTATTAAGCAACGCACCGAGGAGAGCCTGAAGAACTTCATCGATGATTTTGGCAAGGATATTTGGCAAGGCTATATGTCCAATGGGTCTAGGTTCTCAACTGGAACAACTTCTGTGCTGCGCGTCGCACCGAAATCCAGAGAATTGGGCACGGCCACGGGCAAAAGAAGCAATAACCATACCTCGATATCATCTATCCTGCGTGAGCGAGAGCTGTCTCGTGGGACCTTCGGACGGGCCAGTATATCGACCAAAGCCCGCATCCTCACATCTATGGATGATGCGATTGTGCGGGAGATTGAGTTTACTGGTTGTTCTGGGGATATTGCCACGATCACCTGGCTGCCTGGTGACAAGTTTGTATGCGGTGCGATTACGCATTCTGATGAATCGAATCAACAATACAACAAGCCGGGAAATTTGGCTCTGGGGTCAGTACAGAAGAGCTCTCTGAGGTCGGTCTCTGGGCATCGGATCATACGGCCCATTGTTGAGAAGGGCAGCAATGCCTTGGAGTCCATGCGGGAGACGCAGGACCCTTATTTGTACTGTTCGGTGACAGCTACAGCGTTCCATGAAGGCTCTCAAAAGGCGCTAACAGGGAGCTTTGACAAAACCGTGAAAGTCTGGGATATCAACGCCGATGGATCTGGAATGACACTCTGTGGAACATGGCATCATGGCGGCGTTATAAACTTTGTCGTCACCTCACCACATCACAGCAAAATCGCGACCGCCGCCGACGTCTTCAGAGATGCCATCCGAGTTTACGACTTGAACGAAGACGATGTATCCAATTCCCCATTCGTGTCGTATTCTGGATCCCGCGCCGATGTGCAGTCAGCTGAGCAGCTCCGAAGCCGGCAATCCTGGGTATACTACCCGTCAACGCTGCAGTGGGGCAAGGCTCCGTGCGTGGCCCATCTCCTTCTTACCGGATACTCGCCGCGCTCGTTCGATGTGCACGACGAAGTGCCGAAAATCATCGAGGACACTGGAGAGCTCTGCCTCTGGGATACCAACAAGGGGACGCGCGTGCTAATCACCTCAGCGCGCACACAGAACGTGTTTGAGGTCGTGTGGCACCCGACGCTTGCTGTTTTCGTGGCTGCGACGTCGGCGACGGGGGAGTATGAGGATGGGGTGCGGACGCAGCTGCGGATCTTTTGCCAGACGGAGAATGGCACCTTCAGCCATACTAAGACGTTTGATTGTCGCGCGGTGGATATCAATGAGATCACCTTGATGTCGAACAGCCCATTGCACTGCTACCTCACTGCGAGCTGCACGGATGGGAATACATATGTCTGGGATAGCGCCCAGGAGGAGAAGCCCATCCATGTCCTTGGCCATGGTAAATCTATCGACGATCAATCCCAGGATGACGCCGAGACCAAGGACAACGACCACGAGCGGACAGACAGCGGTGTGAAATTCGCCGCGTGGGGACGGACGTGTGACCGTTTCTACACAGGCTCCTCAGACGGCGTGGTCAAAGCATGGAATGTGCGTGCTCCTCCGGCCGAAGTGCATGTTGCGGATGTCATCACGCTATCCGGCGGCATCTCAGCGGGTGTTTTCTCAAGCGACCATTCTCGTCTCCTCGTCGGTGATGCGACGGGGAAGCTGAATGTTTTGAGATGCGGAGACTTGGATGAGGACGAGGAGTTCCCCCCGAGGCGCCGACAGCAGCCGATTATACCGCATTATGAGGCGTCGAGGTCTGCAGATTATGGGGGCGGGGATCTTGTGGAGCCGAGCCCGGAGCCGACGGCGAGGGAGATGGCGCAGCGGTTTGTGGATGCTGGACAGGTTGTTATTCATCCTGATCCGTATGTTGGCGCGGTGCAGGGGGGAAATTATGTGAGCACTGGATTGTTTTGCCGCCAGCTTCACCGGGGTGGAGATCCGCATGCGGAGCCTCTGGGGGAGGTTGTGGTGCAGCAGGAGAAGAGGTATCAGAGGAAGCAGCTCGTCTTGTCCACCACGCGAGATGTTGAACCTTGTCCTGAGGCAGAGCATCAGAAGAATTACATGCTGGACCTGCACCTGGGGCAGCTGAGTCTTCAAACGGCGCTGGAACTCAAAGCATCAAGGGTGGATTTTGCTTTTGAGGATGAGAATGACTTTGACTATGAGCCTGATCTTGGTGTCGTGGAAGGGGCAGATCAAGATGAGGATGATGCTGTAGACATGGTGGATGTCTTTCCACGTGGCGGGGATTGTGTATTCCTCAGTAAGTTGCTGTCCTGTTTTTCATCTATTTTTGCGTGTTTTTGCGTGTTTTTTATGACAGTTGCAGGGGTATGTATACATTGCAGCTTCTTGACTTTAGACAGAGGATAGTCTTGTTCATGGTCTTGCGATCTGTAATTACTTCCTGTTTGACGGTATATGCTATGGTCTTGTTTACAGGCTGTTGTATATATAATCTCAATGAAGTAATTACAGATCCCATGCATGGTCTTGTAGTAGTCTATGTTTGCTTCATATTGCATACTATATGGTCTTATAACAGAGGGGCTTCCATTTCTATCATTCTATGAAAATGGGGAATTACGCATCTATTTAAGAGAAATTTGCTAACATTACATTTTTAATGTAGGTACAAATGAAATGGACGGATTCCAGCATCTTAAAAACTTCATTCAAAATGAGTTGCAGGCATATAAAGCCCTACAACAGGTAGAAGAGGCTATGGATGATGGAAATTAAGTGTATAAAGTAATAGGGCAGCTAACGGAACTTATAATGGCCTTTGTAAAAATAAACAATAATATAAAGGTGGTTAGAGGATATGAGGGGGAAGAGAGGCAAAGGACAGGGATAAAAACTATAATTTTCTTGGTTTTTATAAATGAGAAACTAGAAAATAAAAGAAAGCTCCTTTTATATCTAGCTGTTTCTCATTTATAAAAATTAAAAAACTAGAAAATTAAAAAGAGGCCTCCCTTTAAATAAAGCTGTTTATTTCCCTATTTTTAAAAGATAAGAAACTTCAAAAAAAGGAAAGCCCCCATTAAATATAGCTACTTACCCATTTAGATTCTCTATATTCCCTATTAAACCACTAGAATTTTTGCTGTGGATGGAAGTTTCTAATGTCTTCAGAGTAACACATTTGTCTTGAAGCAGCTTTAAACTTCACAAGCCATCTATCCTGAGCAGGATTCCTCCTGGTCGCCCATCCGCATGCTCTGCGACGGGAAGTTGATGCATATGTGAGACAGTAGACCTGCGTTTGTAGACCCGATGCAGTTTAAGAAGGATTGCAGGAGGACAACCTGTTTCTGTGTGGTATCAACCAGGGAAAAATTATTCGATCCATAGAGCACTGCGCTAGCCTCATCGAGCACCTGGCGATTGGTGTACAGCAATGCTCGCCATCGAACTCGTATTTCTGGTCCAAATGTCTCTACCATGCTAGAGTCGCCGTCTTGGAGCAGATAGAGTGGATGGGCCACAAGGAGAACTCTTCTGAAAATATCATCGCGAACATTGCAAGGCAGGCTGAGTAGACTCATTGTGGTTGAGTTTGTTTGCTCTGAAAGTGCACTTCCTGATCTCAGATGTGGGTGGGGTTGAGAATGGGAGTGATGTACAACGGACGCCTCGACAGCCACTTCTTATCTGAATATTGCAAGCGGTAGCTATGGTAGGCACTTTATTCAAGTAAATGTAGAGACAGCTAGCTTAATCTACAAGCTGTGTTAGACCCCCTTCGCGTAGGACACTCAAAAGTTTCAGACCTCTAGAAATGTAGCAAGTAGAGAAAGCATCAAAGTACCAACGATAGACTGCCAGCTTCCTCCTACATATTCTTTGAAGAGAAGACAAACAGAAGGAAGGAAGGGGTCGCGAATGTTGGACCTGATGTTAGTGCGGTCAAAATTGTGGGGCATAAGGGAACCAATTAAGGTTTTGATCCATAGTGGGGTATTTCCTTCGGGAGCTACCCTACTAGGGGTACTAGTGTAGATCAGCCCGCCTTGGTTTCTGTAGTCCGTATTTATATTCTATCTATATATGTGTGTATATAGGGGCATGCAAGTCTCCTCTAGCTACACTTCATTAAACCAAGCACCTGCCTTGAAATTGAAATTATCCTTTTGAGGGCTAGCGTCGTCTTTTGCGTAGAGGTTGTCCTTCAACTACCACGAAGGATGATGCATCACAAATCCAACCTGATGTTCATCCAAGCGGTCTCGAAAAGAACTCCTCTGTCAATCATTCAACTCTTAGTGTTGATAATAACCTAGTTATTGTTTCCTCAGACCTTTGGAGTGCACCATGCCGCGAGGTAGTGGATAGTCTTGGGAAGGGAACATACATTGCTATCCTGACAAAACATTAAGCAATATTAATGATTTCCCTTTGGGACATCGAGAATACTGTTGGTGACATCCCATCCACCATTCCAATCCGTTCCCAGGCACCTGGCTCCCGTAACGAGCGGCCCAGGTAGAGGACAAGGCATCGCCTCTTTGTCTTACCAATTAATAAGCAGTGGCAGGTACCAGTCCAAGATGCTTTTGGAGGAGATTCTCCATATGGAACTCGTACAACAGTCGAGACCAGCTGCCCACCGATCTCACCGCTCCACGGCTTCAAGGCGACATCGGGCTTGAGTGTAGAATCTTTTAGACCTTCGCTATTTGAGATTTTTACCTTATAATCGTAGGTATATTCTTCCTGTTCGACCGAGTTTCCTTCAACATGCTCTTCACGCTTAACAGTAACACCGAGCTCGACGGGAACGAGGTAGCCAGCCACTGTGATTGAACCCGAAGCAGCATTGACCTTTCTATATTCTAGGTCATAGCTAATGGGGTCGATTTGGGAGATGATGTCCAAAGGTCTAGCATGGATGTAGGAAATTGGGCCATCGACGCTTGCCCAGCTCCAGGTTGGAGCGTAATGGCCAGGGTTCATGCGGCAGTCATGCCTTCCCCAGTGTCCAGACGGCTGCGGTTCCCAAGCTAGACCCTTTATGAGTGTATTTTTCCACAGACCCCAAAGAGGCGTCCAGTTTGTCTTCGTTTCAATGCGCTTCATGACAGACTCCATGGCTGGTAGCCGATCCGAAGGACGAGTGATGTCTCTTTTCGTGAATTCCTCCACTAACAATGTCCATGAGCTGTGTGATATAGTTTCTAATTGCGCTGACCATGAGTGGCCTGAGATCCCCTGGTCAAAACCTTCCCAGACGGAATGACACCGGCATTCGAATTTTAGGGCAGAAGGAGTAAAGAATATCGTTCTTTCAGCGAGGAGGCGTTCCTGCCAGATCCATGCCCGAGTGGACACCTTGCCATAGTCACCGCCTGTGTCCTCCTTTTCTAAAGGATGCGATCGCCTCCGACATTGAAGCTTCAAGGCCCCAATTCCATTAACAGTCAAGCTGACGCTGGAAGTAGCCCATTTCTTGTCTCGTTCCACCATGATGCGGTCCTGTTCGGAACTAGCAGAAGCGGCTGCTATGGTCACAGTGGCATTTCCGTAAATCTCTCCCATTTTTGGGGCCTGCGTTTTGAAATCAGCATCGCTTCCTTGAATGATGCACAACCGATCAATCCAGATGTATTGAATTCCAAGCGCACGAGCACACGCAATGATGTCTTGGAAAAGAGGCGGTAGGTCATCTAACTGTATACCAGCTTTCCTAGTCTCATAAGTGGATGCATCTGTCAGATAAGTGTCAGAGCTCACAGGCCCCCAGCAATAACTGAGTGCAAGATATATGGCACGGACGCCTTTGGGTTCTATAAGCTGAATACGACTTGGATTGTTGGCTTCGATCCAGACGACGCGATCTGGAAGTAAAGGCAAGCCTTTGCGGGCCCAGCAACTTTGATTGTTGAGACAGTGGGACAATTGACTTTGTATGAAGGTAAGGCATCTTTTATCACCAACATGTCGGGGTATCTCTTCTGCAAAGCCCACGAAGGGGACAAGTCCCGCCAAGACAGCATCTAGCCATTTCCATTAGCAATCTCTTGTCTAACTTTGGTCCTACTATAATTGAACGACGTACCGCCAACAATTGACTGATCGGGTGCGAGTCGAGGCCGATAAATTTCAACATCTATGGCAGGTTTCGAAGCTTTCGAAGCGTCCGAACCAGAGCCAACAGTGATAACAAAATCCAAATCAAAGCCCTGTGGTAACTCGATCTGGAACAAACCATCTGCAGCTTCCCTCTCGATAGGAAGGCTTGAAATCGTGCCAAACTCTAGCCGCACGACCACGGGCAGGCCAAGCGCAAGGAAGATATGAATGTATGACCCTTCGGTCTCCCACCCCGGGGATACAGCACCGAGTGCTGATTGAACCATCGTGCAATAAATGCAGCCACCTTTCGCAGCATCAAGCAAGTATTTCGACTTTTCGATGGTTATTTTCCCGAATGGGTTTCCGCTGGAAATTTTATACTCTTTGTCGGCCCAGAGTTTGTGCTGGTCCGCACTGCTTTTTTTGAAGGCTAGGAACGGGTCGAGGTTCACGCACACGGTGCACACCTTGTCAGGTGGCTGTATGTTGATGAGGTCTTGGGCTTTCCCAACGGATGAGGTTATTGCTGGCGAGGCTAGAAGCTCGCGCAACTGCTCAAATGGAACAGTGGCTGAAATCTTCATCGATCCTGATGGTGGAGGTTGTTGAGACATTTTGGTTTTCTACACTGCGGGGTTTCTGGTTTCCTCTCGTCCTCTGTGATTTCTTGGTCACAACGCTGAAACCTGTGCTGTTTTTTTAACTGTAGAGATAATTTTCCGACAATTTTAAAAGTTTGCAATAGTAGGCTCTTATCTGGTAGTTAAGCCGTCTTACAAGGCGGGAAGTCTGTGGTGAGGTGATTGGGGCTTAGTATACCGGCTGATGCGTCTGTTACTTAACGTCTAACTAAATAGGAAGTATAACCGGCAGGGGTGCACAGCCACAAGGTGATAAGAAACAGATTCCGATTAATTTAGCCAACTGCTTCACTCTTCAATATGCCAAAGGTAAACACTATGTAGTCTTAAAAATCCCCCCGCAATCGCAACTTTGGAAGCCCTGTCGATCACTCCAAAAACTGTTTGCGGTATGCTTGGCATATGCGAGTGGCCTGGTATGATTGAGAAATTCTTCGGATTTAGCAACAGAATATACGTCCTGATGGGATAAATAAGCCAATCTATGTCAGCCATGTTCTCATATATTTTAAAGCACAGTGTTTCACGAATCAATTCGGTGATATTCCGTTTTATAAGTTTAATGCTATTTCGATCATAAATCCATCCCATCGGGCTCTCCTCTTCTGCCCTTCATAGCCAACACAACAAGCAGATAACCCACACGGGCCAAATACTTGCCATAAATCCAGACCGACAGCCATATAACCATTCCTCCCAACTCCGCCTCACCACTACTTGCACCCATATCTCTTCTCACTCCAATAAAACGTCTGGTGGCTACCTCCCACAGCCTGCTTAAACGAGAAAGCATTCGTCGGGTTCTTGAACCACCCCATTCTCCCATCCTTAGTGACGGCATACACATAACCAGCCTTACACGTCAACGAGATGTGTCCGTCCTTGTCAATCCGGTGGCCCCAGTCGCTGTCACAGACCAGGACGCCGTTATCAATAGCGGTGATTCTTTGGACGTTGCCGGCTAGGTCGATGGCTCCGGTGGTCTCGAGACAGGCGAGAGCCGGGGCCGCTGCGATTAAAGCAGCGGAGAGGAGGGCTGAGAGCTTCATGGTTGCTGTGAGGGGCTTTGTGGTGGGTTGTGGTGTTTTGTGGTATTGAAGGCGTGTTTTTGGATTGTTGAATGTATGAGATGTGTTTGGATGATGAGAATCAAAAGAGCAGACTTGCTTGCCCTTTATATACCCTCATCATACGCATATTCCCCTCATATCCCCGAGATCGACGGCTGTTCTGTTCCACGTTACACCGACCTACCAAGAGTTGCAATTTGGAAATAGTCATCAGGCACCATTGTCCTCCTTGGACCCCAATTGAGCCCCATTGAGGCATATGATGCCTCGCCTGTCACATCGTAGATCGCGTCTAGATCCATCAATACTAGGGAGTAAGCTTACGTGCAGGAGGCGCAGTAGTGCCAGCAAGATCGGGATTTAGTGTCGATCTCCTCCCCGATTTCTAGAATATGTTGTGATATGATATGTCTTGTGAGAAATGACAGGGGCTAGCAGGTGCAGCCCCTGGCTTGTCCGACCATAGCTATACGTCTCCATGCATAGGCTGATGCGGAAAACTTCGGTGAGAGGTATTAGGCGGTTTTTGTCTGGGTGAATCGTGAATTTCACGGCAGAGTATGAAACGGAAGGATTTCATGGTTCAATCCTTCGTCTCACAGCCCCCACAGCAGCCCCATTCAAAGTTTCGTTGTCAGGATAAGATCGGGACTGAATCAATGGCTTTGAGGTGTAGCCGCGTCCGCCCCGGCATACCCCGATTTCGCTCCAATATATCGTTTCCTTTTATATTATTTATTTACAGGCAGTTCACATATGTCTTCCTAAAACTTGTGGATTATATGCATTTGTTTGGTTTTTTATATCAGCTGCCCCTCTTGCTTATGTTACGTTGCAAGACATGATGCTGTCCGCGGATGGTAACTGTTGGCTAATGACTCCTCTGGAGTCTTGCAACACATAAATAAGCCTTGTCTTCAACAGCAGTGCAACTATTGTAAGACTCCAATGCAAACATTAGGCAGCTTAGTTACTGCGTAAGACCTCGAAGCAAACATTTAGCCAACTTGGTTACCAGACGTCGGTAGCCGTATTTCGGCTACACTGCAGTCTACTTGAAACCACGGTGCTCATAAATCAGCTTATCCCAATAAACGGCTGTTTTGTAGCTGGCTGGCAATGGCAGTGGCTGTAGGAGAACCGAGGCAGGGCGCACACAAACTATGTCCAGCTTTTGCTTCCAGCTACACTGCATTTGAAAGCAAGAAAACGGGCAACACAAGATCCACACTTCCCCTCAAGCATAGACATGAAAGGCAAGACAGACACTCTTGTAAATTCAATAAAGGCTACAGGCACTCATAGTCTAATCCTTATCTATTATTCTATAAAATACAGCCAAAGCCAATCCCCCCCATTCCTAGATATACACTCCATTTCCATTTTTGCTACACAAACCGCTTAGGCAAAAATCAAATTTAAAGCTTGGCCACGATCTGGGCCCACTTCTCCGTGCTGAAGGACTTGGGGCGCTCGATGGGGGCGCCGACCGCGCGGTCGATGATGAGTTGAGGGAGGACACCAATGGCGCGGGAAACACCGAAGAGGACGGTGTAGTAGCTGGACTCGGTGAGGCCGTAGTGCTGGAGGAGGACACCGGAGTGGGCATCGACGTTGGGGAAGGGGTTCTTGGTCTTGCCGTGCTCGGTGAGGACACCGGGGGCGATCTTGTAGACCTGGCTGACGAGCTTGAACATGGGGTCGTCTGGGAGGTGCTTCTGGGCGAACTCGCGCTGGGCCATGTAGCGGGGGTCGGTCTTGCGGAGAACGGCGTGGCCGTAACCGGGGACGACCTGGCCGGCGTTGAGGGTGGTCCAGAGGTAGTCGGTGATGGCCTTGTCGGACAGATCGTTGCCGACGGAAGCCTTCATCTTGGTGAGCCAGTTGAGGACCTCCTGGTTGGCGAGACCGTGGAGTGGGCCGGCGAGACCGTTGAGGCCGGCGGCGAGGGAGAGGAAGGGGGAGGAGAGAGCAGAGCCGACCAGGTGAGTGGCGTGAGCGCTGACGTTGCCACCCTCGTGATCGGTGTGGATGGTGAGGTAGAGTCTCATCAACTCAACGAAGGCCTTGTTGTCGCCGAAGCCGAGCTGGTTGGCGAAGTTGAAGGAGTAATCCTTATCCTTCTGGACTGGGACAACCTTTCCATCCTTGTAGACGTTCTGGTAGATCCTGGCAGCGATGGTTGGGAGCTTCGCAATCAGGTCCATGGAGTCCTCGTATGTGTGTCCCCAGTACTCCTTCTTGTTGATACCCTTGGCGTATGCCTTGGCGAAGGAAGACTCGTGCTCGAGAGCGTTGACGGCAATGGAGAGCTGAGCCATTGGGTGGAGGGAGGTTGGGCAGCGGTCGATGAGCTCCTCAACGAACTTGGGGACGTCGGAGCGGGCAGCCCACTCGGCAGACAGGTCGCGGACCTGCTGCTCGCTTGGGACCTCACCGGTCAGGAGCAGCCAGAAGAGACCCTCGGGAAGGGGCTCCTTGCCGCCTGGGGCCTTGGGAAGGGCCTCCTGGCACTCTGGGATGGTCAATCCTCTGAAGCGGATACCCTCCTCGGAGTCGAGAACGGATCCCTCCCAGACGAGGGACTTGATGCCACGGGCGCCACCATACACCTGGTCGAGAGTAACCTCGCCGATGACCTTGTGGCCGTGGTCCCTGAAAACGGGTCAATGGCTTGTTATGAGCGACAGGACAATGGGAATACTGACTTGCGGAGCTTCTTGATCTCCTCGATCTTCTCAGGGAGCTGCTCGGCGAAGCGCTCCTTCAGAGTCTATCACGATTGCTATCAGCGGATGCTTCTCATATTATTGTTGGGAAATTGTTTTACCTGGGCCTTGGCGGAGTAGCAACGCGCGCCATTGAAGGCTGCGATGCGAGCATTGAATGCTGGGGCGGCCAGAGACGACCTGAAGGCGGAAGAGCCAAAACGAACTGCTGATGCCATTTTGAATTGTGTATGTGGTGATGGAGAGAAAGGGTTGTTGGAGACGGAGGGTCGGGAAGAAAGTTAACGAAAAGTGATGATCTCGTCTGTCAGGGATGCAACGACGGCGCGACCGGCGACCGTCCTTCGGTCCGACCGTAGCGTGGGCCGGAGTGAAATATGATTGGCTGGAATTATGCCACATCTCCTGACGTAATCCCTGGATTTTCACAAGACAGGTGTACTTTGGGAGGTGGAAATGCAAAAGTACTCCACTAATAGCGTGCACATGTATGAAGATAGGAAGTACCAAGGCATTTCCCATTTCCCATTTCCGGTATTCGTTATGCCGTGGAGCTCGGTTGGTGCATTTATGATTTTTGTATGGATAAACTCCAAAATACTCCAAATTTACTCCAATTACTCCATTCTCACGTTCACAGATTACTCCAAAAACCACCGAGGGATAGACGGCACACTGCGCTGTATCTCGGAAAAATCAAAAGACCTCACCACTCACCATACATCTAATCTATTCGTGCTCCACAGCAACCTTTGGTCTCTCCCTAATTTTGCTCGTGCTCCCTTAATCCGTGGGTAGACTTCTCCTGAAATTCCATAAATAAATTCCATAAATTCCATAAGTCCCCGAACCACCCGTGCCGCCCATTCCATAAATTCCCGAATCCACCCTGTGGCGCCCAACAACAAAAACAACAAAATCTCTTTTCCCCATCCATGACGAATGTTTCACGTGATACTCAATTAGGGGCTTATCAGCTACGGCTGAGCTTATCGGCGTAAGCGAGCGTAATCCATCCGCTTTGGGCATAGCCGCAGTTTCGGGCGGCAAACGTCGATCTTCTTCTTTCTCCTCATTCAACCTCACTAAACTCCATCTCTTCACTTTCTCCCCCCAACAAATCTCCATCGACAACTTCCCCTTCGTCGATAAAAATCAATCAAATTATTGTCGCCGCCATCGCGATAGGTGTATTCGCAAACTAACCAGCTCTTTTCGTACATTGCAGTCTATCAGGGGAGATCCAGGCAGTTGGAGGATACTGAGTGATTCACCTCCAGCCACCTTCTTTCATCATCGGCCGGAGGCTGTAGTCGCCATAGTACTCTGCTCTCAAATTCACCGTAACATCTGATCGGGATAAAAACAAAAACACAAAGTGAATACACGACATAGATCGACATAGATCGTAGTCCTGCGAAGAACCATCTTGGTCTTTTGTCACAACACCCTTTTCAGGGCTTAAAAACACTCTATACTCTTTCTCTCATCACACCCATCAACACTTTATCCGCCATGTCATCAGCAGTAGCAGAACTTGAAGCTGCTCTGCAGGCTATGTTGTCTTTGAAACCTCCTGGAGTATCTGGATCGCGCATAGCCACCCTCACAGCCCTCTGTTTGGCAAATGTCCAGGTACGACATCACCGCCACAACTCTCAACCCTCATTTGCAGTGGATGCTAACCCCTTCTCACAGTCAGAGTCTGTCCTCGTCCAGAAACTGTACACTCACATGAGGAAAGCCCCTTCAACCCACAAGCTCGGCGTTCTATACGTTCTAGATTCTGTAACTCGAAAATGGATTGAACAGGCCAAAGCCAACGGCCAACCCATAACTGTTTCTGCCCAAGATGGCACATATGCTGCAGGAGTCCATAGAGTAACGGAACTATTACCAGTATTGATGAACGACATAATTGCATCGGCACCCGATGATCAAAAGGTACGCATATAAACTTGATATCAGAACTGTACTGTATTGCCGTGTTCTTTGGATCTCGGGACCAGACACGAGGCGTATTTGAAGATGCACAAGAGCAAACTGTTGAAACATATTATGAGTACACCCACTTACCTTTTCATTCTCATTGTAGGACAAGATCAAGAAGCTCGTTGAAATCTGGGTAAAGGGAGAGACATTCCCCGCAGACATGCTCAACTCATTTAAGGAGAAACTGAACAGTAAGTTGGCCGATGGGTTTATGATATCTTCCACGTTTCTTTTGCAATTTCTAACCACACCTGGAATTCTTGTAGAGTCCACAACCCCCGAAGGATCACCACCAGCAGATGTAGGGAGGTCCTTTCCTGGAGCCCCGCCACCAGCGACAAACGCGCCAAATACCTCGTCCATTTTGGAAGCCCTGGCCAACATGGCCCGACAGAATACTACTGCAGCTGCAGCACCCCGGGCCATTCCAGCTCCTGCTCCCGTTCAAGATAATGCCTACAGTATGCCACAGGCACAGAGTAATGGTGCAGCTCTGAATCCTACGTATCCGTTTCCACCTAGTACGCAATCTGTAAATGTGCCAGCACCTGCAGCGGCTAGTTATGGATCGTTACCCCAGGGGCAGAACAACGGAGTCCCGAACTACCCAAGTAACCCAAACTTGCCACTTGGAGCGGGCGCCCCTGCACCTGCAGCTGCGGCTGCTCTTAACCCAGACTTGCAGCGCCAGATTATGCTCATAAAGACATTGTCCGATGCGGGAGTCCCGCAGGATCAATGGGGAGGAATAATTGCTGCTCTTACTCAGACTCAAGCTGCAGCCCCAGTTGGAAGCGGCGTAAATGTTGGTGGTGCACCTCCAGCACCGTATGGCGCAGCACCTACAAATACCTGGAATCCCATTGAATCACGTGATCGTGGTGGTCCCAACGAGGCTGTCAGATCTCCACAAGGACGTTACCGCAGACGCTCTCGTTCACAGTCTCCTGCGCGCGGATGGAATGCTCCTCGTGACTCTCCAAACTCGCGTCGTCGTGATGATAACGTTGGTGATTATGGTAGAAATTCCCCAGCGTATGGCCGAGATCGGCACAACGAGTACCGGCAACGCAGCCCAGCCCGGCGGGGTCGTAGCCCATCCCCACCACGAGGCTTCTATGACGGCCGGTCTGGCGGCACCAAATGGGTCGAGTTTGACCATTCAATTCCCAAAGGAAGCATCAAAGGTATGTTTTTTTTCTGGTGTATGCATGAGAGTTCACAAACTAACCGTCTTCAGTTCTCAGCCGCACCCTATTTGTTGGTGGCGTAACGTAAGGATTCCCATTGTCCCAATTATATCCCGCAAGGCTCTAACACATCCCAGATGCTCTGACCAGGAACTGAGGCGCATTTTCGACCAATTCGGTCGCGTGCAAACCTGTATCGTCAACAAAGACAAGCGCCACGCGTTTGTGAAGATGGTCAGCCGGCAAGACGCCATCACCGCCAAGGAAGCCATGGAAGGCAGCAGGAACCCCGACTCATCCCTGAGGGTACGTTCGGTAAATTCACATCCCCAGACACAAGTTTACCATTACTAACACCTCCCAAGACCAGATGGGGCGTCGGCTTCGGACCACGTGACTGCAGCGATTACCAGACGGGCGTCAGCATCATCCCGATCAGCAAGCTCACCGACGCGGACAGGAAGTGGATGCTCAGCGCCGAGTACGGTGGCAGCGGTGGGAAGCCCATCGAGAGCGGGATGGTTGTCGAGGAGCCCGATATCGAGATTGGCCAGGGCGTCTCGTCCAAGGCTATCAGTCGCCGCATGCAGACCGACAAGGGCGGACAATCGGGACCCAAGTCCGGTCGCGACTTCGACGAGGACGAGCACCGCCGTGACCGCCGTCGTGACGACGATCGCAAGGATCGCGGCCACGGTGGATCAGCGCCGTTCAACCTCCCCAACATGTCGGGAATCCCAAGCTATCCGTATGGGATGCCGCAGGGGATGCCGCAGCTGGTCAACGGGATTCCGATGTTCCCTCCTGGATTCGTCTTCCCGGGCAGCCAGCCACAGCAGCCGCCGCCACCAGGCAGAGGTTGAGCGGTTAGTCAGGTCGACGGGATATTCATCATAGGCATTTGCACGGCGCAGGGTATACCATCGGAGAGAACATGGCTCGGATATTGACTGCACGGCTCGGCGTTTTATGGCGTGTTTATTGGGGGGGGGTTGCGGATGTGCTGCTTAGTTGCGCACACGTTAATGTACTATTTACAGCGGTTTCTGCTTTGCTTCGCTTCGGCCTTGCGTCGATTTTTATACTATGGAAGCGAACTACAGTGCCAGTGAGAGGCTTAATGGCATCGAGCCAACTGCCAGGGATTCGATGGCTAGTTCAGAAGGGAAGATTCGTTCGGAATCAGAAGTGTAGTAATAAATATCATTTCTCAGAAACTTGTGCCAGACTTATCTGTACCACGTGAAGTCTTGTATTTTCCATAACCACCGTAGTTTGACACGTTCCGGAAATTATCACGCCACTATCCTGAATGATAGAATCTAGCAATAGTAAAACTTAATGCACTGGCCCCTCTCTACATGAATACCAGCGTCAGTCAAAGTATCAGTGATTGCTGTCGATTAACTTGGAAATGGCTTGAGGGTCTGGACACCTTGGTGGCCGATAACGATAAGGATCAAATAAATATGCTTAAAATAGTTGGCGCACAGGGTCCACGTACAAACGTCACACTTTCACTCACCATACCACTACCATATATCATTCGCGCGCCAGGACAGCACAGGGACTGCACGCAGAGATTCGAGTGACAACGACTATGTAAAGAAGATGGCGGGAAGGGAGATTCCTGGGTATTACTTTGGTGAGTCTGCATCTTAAGCCCTGACAGGCGCAAGACAGCGATCGGTCAATGGGAGTTCTTCTGCCCGTCAAAGTTGTGAAGAGGGACTATGTATAACAGCAGTGTTTATAGCAACTATAATTGAAACACAGGCGCTCAGTTACTCATGTCCATTGTAAATAGGTTAGTTACTTGGAATTTATTTCCTTTGTTCCATGTCCAAGTATCTGGCTTGTCGATTATGGACTTGGGTGATTGGGCGTCGATATTTTAATCATAGCTTCTGTATATACCAGCTGCTGTGGATAGTCCCTGTCCCGACTTTTGGGCGGTACAAGTTCTATAAACCGCAAATCTACTCCTGCTAACCTACCCAGATGCCGAGAAGAACAAGTACTTCAAGATCGTCGCCGACCCCGCGGCACTGTACTCCAAAACCGCGGTACGGAAACGCAAGGCCGATGAGGTTGTCGCCACAGAAGCTGCGAGAGTTGAGAAGGCTAACAAAGAACGTGTGACGCGTTCTGCGGCAGTGGGAAAATTGGACAGAGAGATTGGGAGGGGAAATGGGAGATTGGACGCGCTGAAGGAGTTTGTGGGGAGCTGGGAGGAGAGTAATCCCGTTGGAAGTCTGGGTGGGACGCCGAGATGGAGGGTGTTCGACTTTAATGAACGATCCGGACATTTGGTTTACTGTGAGTTTCACCTGCTACTTTCTGTGAAGGGTTTCCCTGATTGCAAGGCAGCGCAAAATGATGCGGTGGAGTTTGACTATTTGCTTAGGCTGGGAGAGCATGCACATGCACCTCTTAGCTGGAATGGTCTGATGTTAGCTAGCGATGCGGCCGTCAACTCAATCACCTTCTCGGCTTGTAAGACGATTGTCCTTACAACGTGGGCTGATCCACCGCAGAGGCATAATGTGTGTCTGACTCGTGTCCTCCCAACCCTCGACAGTGCGTATAACCCCTTCCCCTGCTCGCGGGGCCTAAAAGTCGGGAGGAGGACTGTGCACCACAGCTAGTGTTGCAGCAAATATGATAAAAGCAAAAGCGCTCAATCCTCCTCCGGACTCTTGGGCCGCAGAAGTACCCTCCTCCAACCTCGACCGTAGCTGCTTGATGGTAAAAATCCCTGCTAACGCCTTCTCAGTCATCAGCGCCCACCACCTAAAATCCAGCAAAGCAGGTGAAGACACAACAGTCCGTTGCGCGTGCGCCGCGCCTCTCGGCTCACCATACATGTTTGCCGTAGCCTGTGACGACCGCCCCATCTTCCTACTCGACGCGTCGATGAACGAGGCGCCTTCACCCCCCAGCAGCGGCGAATCCTCTATCCTCGCGCTCACATTCCTCGCGGAATCGCCGCATGTTCTCCTTACTGGAAAGCGGTCTGGGAAGGTCCCTCTCGTTGATCTTCGTGTGGAGGGCGGTGGCAGGAGTGGTATCAGACATGCTTCGAGCGTTGCGAGGGTGGCACAGGTGGGGGAGAATTCGGTGGTTGTGGGGGGATTGCAGGATAAAATGTGCGTGTATGACCTCCGTTTCTTGAAGGAGAAATGGAGGAAAGAGGCGACGAGGCCGGTGGTGAGGATGTGGGGACATAGGAATGAGACGAGGCATGATGTTGATCTGGCCGTTGATCGCGGTACTGGGCTTGTTGCTGCGGCGCAGGTGGAGGGGGGAGGAGGGGTGAGGGTCTTTGATGTGCAGAGTGGGGCTGAGATTGGATATGTGGCTGGTGGGCAGCCGGAGGGGGATTATGTTAGGCAGGTGAGGTTTGTGGAGAGGGATAAGGGAGTGGGACTGTGGGTTAGCAGAGGGGAGAAAATTTTGGAGTATGGATTTGGATCGGCTTGAGCGCCGGGCCTAGTGACATCAGTCGTGGAGACTGAGGTTTTCGATAGCTGCTGTGGGTGATTTTCTGGGATAGGTCGAACTTTGGGAACTGTGCGGCTTGGGATATGGTTGAGAGCATGAGTTACTCACAGCCGGCTTCCCCATATTACGGACAAACAGTTACCGCACACGCCGCTGACGAGATAAACCACAGCCAACATCGTTAATAATTATCACACATACATCAACAGCCCTAATAACCCCTCACCTCACCGCAGCGTGTACCAACCCGAACCCTCCCGGCGATCCGACGCCGTAGCGGCACAAAGAAGGGCTGAGGAGATGAGAGAAAGAGAGAGGCGGGAGGAAGCCGCAGCATCTCTCGCGAGGAAAGAGGAGGAAAGGCGGGAAATGGAAGCATCTCTCGACGCGTGGTGGAAAGAAAAGGAAGAGCAGGAGAAATCGGCTCGTAAGGCAGCACAGCATGAAGAATATCTAGCGTTCCTCGATGACGGTATCAATTCACCTATGGGTAGTAATTGGCAACTATTCTTCAAGGACGGCTGCAGAGGTCCTGCATGTAATTGTCATGATGGGGGGACTGACACATATGGGTAGACCTAGCGTATCTTTGTAGGTCCGTTAGTTACGTCTCTTCTGTATCAGGGGGTAGTAGTGTTCTTTAAGCTTCTAGTTATTTGCTTACTTCCTTACTATTTCAATACCAATTCGGCACACCTCGCCTTCAGGCTTCCGCAGTTCCAAATTTCTACACCGGCCGGTCTATAATGCAGCTTCCTTGAAAACCAACTTCAACGGCCAAGGACACCTCCTGCTTAATGAAAGTCGTTTCTAGATACTCCGCGGGTAGCTTGCGTTCGTTAGGGGCGCGATATCACATTTTATCACCATCCGCGCGGTTTCAAGAAAATCAGCAGTAGGGAGTACTAATCAGAAGTGAAGAATTCTCTTTCATTTCCCCCTGGTATCCCCCAACCAAGGCTTCACCCTCTCCCTTCCCCCCCCCCCAAAAAAAAACAAGCCTCGTGATGGGCCAAGACACTGAGCCGTGCCAGAAATAGTATGTCTATGTACAATGTGCTCCCCAACTCCTTGCGCGTGCGTGCCATAGCAAATTCGCCATTTTAACTCACATAGAGGGTATATTTCCTTCTCCTCTCTTTCCCATAATCATATCCCGCCTTGGCCAATCTATCCACAACAACAACTCTTCTTCTCCCCCTTCTCCCCCTCCACAGGAGGCACCTCCACCTCCACCGTCTCCTTCTCCACCACCTGCGCAGGTACAGGTACAGTCGGTCCCACTACCCCCTCCCCCCGCGCCATCCCCACCGCCTCCCCAACCTCATCAAGCGCATGAATCGTACAACCGAGACACTGACACCCATCGCCACACGGACAACTCGTCGTGTCCCCCCCACACCCCTCCCCACTAAGCGGATAACTCACAAAGAAGAAATCACTCGGCGACAGCGCCTGGTCCTCTGCCATTGACCCCCCCTCACTCGGGCTCTCCTTCGCGCTCGCGCCGTGCTCTAGCACCGTTGCGCTATCGTCGCCGGGGAATACGGGCGGGTAGACGACACCGTATGCGTCGGGCGGGGAGACGGGCTCGGCGTACGCGGAGCGCACGTACTCCTGCGTCGCGTCATTGTAGGGGTGAGCAGCGCATCCGACGCATTGGCATGTTGGGCCGCAGCCGCAGCTGTGGAGGGCCATGTTGAGGTCGGGTTGGAGGGGGTATAACGGGATGTCGGGCGGGGCGGCGTAAATGTTTTGGCGCCAGGAGGCGGGTTGGAGGGGGTTGTTGTGGGAGCCGTAGGAGGGGGGGTAGGCGAAGAGGGTTGGTTGGGGGTAGGGGTAGAGAGGGGCGGGGAGGGGGTAGGTGGGGACGTAGGTGTAGTTTGGCATTGTGGTGAGGGGGGTGCCGTTGGCGAAGATCATGCCGTCGAGGGGGGCGGAGGTGGCGGGTTTCGAGCAGCAGCTGCTCTGGGGTATTTCGGATTCGTGCGTTTCGTTTTCGAGTTTGACGCCGTTTGCTGGGGTGCCGTAGGACGATCCGGTTGAGTTTGAACGGGAGCTGAGCATGGTGCCTGGCAGTTGGTCGAGTGGTATGAATGGGTGGTTCACGCCGTTGCCGTTCAGACCTGGATAGACTCCGTTCCCGTTAACTGGTACATATGGCGAGTCGGTGTTGTAAGGTAGAGGAGGTTGTGTCTGTTGGTATGTATGGTTTTGGTTTCCGTTCGTGTAGGGCGCGAGTGGTGCCGCAGATTTTGCTTCATTTGGAAGTGCCGGTGCGATAAGTTGTTGAGGTCTCGGGGTGAACGGGACGACATTGACACTGTTCGGGTCTACCCTGTTGAGCACGGAGGCGTCATAGGACTGTTTCCGGCTCTTTGTTTTCGACGTCGTCTTCTTGATCTTGAAGTCGCGCGCAACCGGTGATGGCGATTCAGTTATCGGCGAATCGACAGGTTGCGGTTCCGTCTTGACCGCTGTCTTGGCCGTCTTGCTCCCTGGTCCACACCCACACTGCGATTTCCGAGGAATGGCGGCGGTGACGCTCGAGCATCCGCAGCTTGATGGCTGTAAATGCGGACATGCTGTCAGTGGTCGGCCAGGCTTCTTGACCGGCACCATCAGGCGTTCGCTCGCGTGCGTACATTTCGTAGAGCGATGGCCTCGAATGCATGGCTCACTAAATACGGACGTCAGCTTCCGTGCGCGCCGGGGGTAAGGTATATATCATACCAGGCCATCTTCATGCCGTTTATGATCGGCATTTTGAGGGTATTATGAGCAATATGGCCCTATGCGGCAGCGAAAACCCGTCAGGTGTTGCCGCGTCGTATGCGCGGTACCACTTTCCAGAGCAGCGTCTATCTCTCGTCTCCAGGCCTGTTGCGGAACAGCGCGGAAAAGCGCATGCGGCAGTCGCACCGGCTTTCGTCGAGGGTTGATTGCGACGGGGCTTGGCTTTCCAGTGCCAGGGATTTGGATGTAGTAGTCTGATCGTTCTTCGGAAGTAGCTATCGGTGAGGATTGAGGCCTATTGTTCGCGCTTGGCTCGATTGGAGGTCCGTTGCTGGAGTCGCGATCGTTGGGGGTCGGGTAACGAGCGTGCGGGGGATTGAGCGGATTATGTCTTTTTCACCAATTAGTTATGAGTGAAGGAATGGGGTAAGCGGCAGGGTCGGCCTGAAGAATGCTGACTTACCTGAACTGTCATACGCTCCAGCCACCAAGGCTTGTTGTGTTGGTGGAGGGAGGTGGGGGGTTGAGAATCCTGGCCGAGGCGTGGGTAGGCGGGGGTTTCGAGGTTGCAAAGGAAACGAAGAGGTCAAAGAGGCGTTTGCACCCAGATTTGGAGATGGTGTCGTGATACTTAGTGAGTGGGGTGGTGGGGAAGGTGAGCAGCGTGTAGACCCTCCGCGGGATGCCTAGGGCGTATATTCAAAGTCAGAGGAGCTATATCAGATTCGCGGCACCCGGCTTCATGCGGTGAGCTTTGCGCCAACAAAGATTTCAGGCGAATGCAGCTTCTTCCCCGAGTACGAAGATATGCAGGTATGTAACCTTGAAGGCCTCTCTGTGGGCTAGCCCTTGTTTGTATTCCCCGTCCAACGTAGGGATGTATGCGCCTAGCCGGCGTACGGGATTCCTCTCTCGTCGTCTTCCAATTGCGGGCTATCAACAACGTGGGATGATCGACGGTCGTCAGCGCCTCTTGTCTGTCTCTCCTGTGGTCGTAGGGTCTTCAGGTCTTCAGGCCTGTCTTGTCTGGCTTCGCTTTTCCTCCTTCTGTTCTCCCGGTCTCATGGCGTTCAGTTAGTCGTCGCTCCATTTGATAGCGCAGCCGTGACGTTTCCGCTTTGAAACTTTGAGCAGGTTTTTTTGATTGGTGGGTTGGAGGAATTTAGGTTAAGGAACAAGGGCCGGAGTGTGGTGTGTGGTGGCAAGAAGGGACGGAGGAGCGAGACTGGATTAGACTGGAAGTACCTCGTACGTATAGAACCGAGCTGGTGGTACATTGATTGGAATATGAAGGGTTAAGATATAAAATCGTAGTACTATCAATATCAATACTATCAATATTTACCAACGAAAGCTGGATACTATAGGAGGAGGAGCCTCTTAATATGGATAAAATGCCCATGTATGCATTAGATAGAGGGAGAGAGAGAAGAAAGCTGAGATTGAGGAAGGATCGCACAGTGCCTGAGGTGCAGGGCAGAAAGTCGAATGATGCTGTTGGTGGTGGTTGTAAGTACCCATACGTACAGTTATATATGTACAGGTACAAGGAACCCATACAAACCGACGACCAACGACCCCTCCTTCTAACAAACAAACAATCTTCAGCCTTGTCAATTACCGAAGGCTGCACGTGACATTATATCGACAGATTCTTACCTCTTGCAGAAAACAGTACCAGAATCGGAAAGAGGGCTGCCATATATACGCAGATACGGTGTATATACAGGCAAATATCGAATTCGAGAATCAGGGCTCATATACTCCCCAGATCTGACACGAGTATACCGCAAACCGGTCCCGACAACGTAGGTGCAAAATTTCTTCTACCCCTCCAAAGTCACGTGTTTTCCCCTCGTCCCCCAGGGGCATACCCCGCCATGAGAGATCAGAGGCATATCACAGACCTATCTAGACATTCCAAGCCATATCCCCTCTCCCAGCGCAGCTCCCAAGCCTTTCATCCTCCCTGAAACACAAACTAACGCCTCCCAGACCCCCCACCAAACCACCACCATGCCCTCCTCCGACTCAGGCGACGACACCCACGACCTCTTCGCCGACCCCCCCGACTTCTACCCCCCCTCCCCCCCACCCACCACACTCTCCTACCCCACCCCCGCCGGCGACCTCACCCTCCGCCTCGTCGGGCACAACCCGCTCTGGGGCCACCACCTCTGGAACGGCGCGCGCGTCGTTTCCACCTACCTCGAGACCACGCCCTCTCTCGTCGCAGGGAAGACTGTTCTCGAGCTCGGTGCTGGGGCGGGGCTGCCTAGTCTTGTTGCTGGGAGGCTGGGCGCGAAAAGGGTGGTGGTGACGGATTATCCGGATAATAGCCTTATTGAGAATTTACGCTGGAATATCGAGCATTGCGAGGGTGCTGGGGAGGTCGTGGCAGAGGGGTACCTTTGGGGTGCTGATTCGAGCCCGTTGGTCGCGCATCTGCCAGCGGAAGAAGGGGGGAAGTTCGATATCTTGATCTTGGCGGATTTACTGTTCAACCACAGCGAGCATGCGAAGTTGATAGCGAGTGTTGTGGAAATGTTGAAGAGGGATGGGAAGGCGCTGGTGTTTTTCACGCCGTATAGACCGTGGTTGTTTGAGGCGGATATGGCGTTTTTTGAGGGGGCGAGGGGGGCGGGGTTGGTGGTGGAGAAGGTGTCGGAGGAGAAGATGGAGAGGGTGATGTTTGAGGAGGATAGGGGGGATGAGGAGGTTAGGAAGACGGTTTTTGGGTATGTGTTGACGTGGCCGGAGGGGGGGAAGGCGGAGTGAGTGGGGTGGAGGGGGGTTAGTTAGGGGAGAGTGAATCTAGATAATTCTGGTTTACTGGAGAATAGAATCGTTGGAACTGTGCTGGTCTATATATAACATGTCTGGTGTTGGTTTGGATCCTTTGTGCGTTCGGCATTCCTGAGGATTTGTACGATCAGGCCTACGCTTTCTGCGAGCAGGTGCGTCAGGAGGAGGAGGCGGAACGTGAGCTCGTGGGACTAATTGTGCAGTCCATAAGTCATCTTGTTTGGGTAAAAGCTGTCACCGGTCAAATGCTGTCACCAGTCAACTGTCACCGATCAAAACTGTCATCACTCACAGCTCTCACCGTTAACATGATCTGCCGGTCCACAGCGAGTCCACGGCCTGACAACGTTTCCGTTGCTATGGGAACATAGTGTCACAGAGGGACAAAAGACGTGGTGTTAATATTAGCTAGGACTCTAAGAATGGGTCCCATTAGATAAGTTACAGCTGGCGTAAACTTGATCTTAGCCGGGACTCTTTCTTCCCTTTGCATACTTAATCACAACCTAATTTCTCTCTAATAGATACTATCACATAACACCTGTCAGTCATCGTGACGGTACGGAGTACCGAGATAATCACGATGGCGTCCCAACACATCCTAGCCACGCCGCCCTCCCAAGACGCCATCCTCAACTCCCTCCTCGAAGGCATCCGCGCCTATAACGCGCGCATACCACGCCTCTACGTCGGCACGGACTCGTTCGATCTCGACGCTGAAATGCCCCTGCTTCTCAACCTACCTAGCGCGCCCCTCGCGTGCAGGGAGCCGGTCGCCGAGTTCAAGGCCGTCAACGCCCACTTTTCAGCCCAAGTGCATGCCTTTTTCAATGCAGTGCACATCCTCGAGGACATGGCAGACAAACAGTCCTCTGACGAGCTGGACCTTATTCGCCGAGACGAAAACCTTCAGCCTGTCGTCATCCGCATCGTCGATCAGTCTTTCGACATCTACCTAGACTGCTGGCACCGTACCTTCCACACCCGCCGCCTCACCGTTAAGAATCCGGATAGCCTACCTCTATTAAACCGCGGCACCCAACTACGCGTTGTCCCCTACCAAGCTTACTCCTCGGATATGGCCAACATGCGGCCTGTCTCCTTGAGAACGCTCCTCGAACTCGCCACCCGCCTCCCTCACCTTCGCGAGCTGAACTGCCCCTGTCTATAGGAGCGCCTTCCCATTACCTTCACATCCCAGGCGCTACGCAGATTTGCCCGCGTTTAGGAAGGGCCTTGGCGCGATGAACGCGCTGAGTTCGGGCGGGGTGTGTGCCATGTCATGCCCTTGTTGCCACCCTCCCTCACTAAAGTCCGTCTCTGGTTCTGGACACCTAACCCCCGCGGGGACGAGGCGGACTAAGCGGCGCAGATGCCTGACCTTGTTAGAGCGTTGTCGTCGCCGTTATCGACTAACGAGTTTGATGGCATAGACCCTGTGTCTCTTGGGCTGCGGGACCTAGGGAGTCGCCTAGAGGAGCTAGACATCTGCGCGCTCATCACCCCAGATCTTTTCCCTTCTAGTGGTGACGGTTTATCATGGCCACAAATGCAGCACCTTAAGGTAGAGGGGCGATGAGGACATATACGACCACCGCCAACCTGACATGTTCCGTACGCTCCCTATTGCAGAGCGCATTAACACTTTGCTCTTAGCGTTTGCCTCGTCTCTCCAACAACAAAAGATGCCCTCCCTTCAAGACGCTGAGCTGTTCACGTGGCTTACCTGGCGACCCTCTGAAGAGCGGGCTCAAGAGTATGAAGGGAGTGATGACGCGCCTCCTTCGATTGATGATAAGGAGACCATTTTGTTCCGATGGGGGGTGAGATACGATGCGCCTAAAGGAGATGGGAAAGGGAAAGTCACATGGCAAGTTGGTGAGGACTGGAGGCCGGAAGATGAAATCATTAGGGCGTTTGAGGATCTTGTGGGCGGGGACGGGGAGAATATGGAGTGGAAAGCGTTTGAGTTTATGGGGGAGAGGGAGCGAGATATGGAAGCCTTTTTTATATGATGAGACCTACCTAGGTAGGTAACTAATACACAATTAACAACAGGCTAGTAGATAATAAACTAGTCTGAAAGAAGTATAGTACATTTTCCTCTTACCCGAAACGCAGAGTTCTTGGCTAGGGATGGCTAAGGAGTGTTTCCATATAATAAGAGACATCACTTCAACACAAGCAAGTGTTAACCATAACCTACAACTCAACGAACATGTATTTCCAGAAACTTCCAAACGAAGTCATTCAACAAATCTTCTCAGAGCTTCCCACTTCAGACCTCAAAGCGCTCTCACTTGTGTGTAAGGAGCTTGACGCCCGCGTGACACCACTGTTCTTTTCTTGCCTCGCGTTCTGGCTAGGCCCGGAAGACCTTGACAGGTACGCTACCTCCCTTACTCCCTTATATCATACTTGCAATTACCCTCTTAACAATGTATCAGACTCGCCACAATCTCGGAATCTGCTCGCCTCAGCCGGCATGTGACAACTCTGTTGATTCAGGATGGCATGTTACAAACCGGAGCTCCAAAACCACGAGGATTCCTCAGTACTTTTAGTGCTCAGCATCAACCGGGATTTCGCTACGCGCAAGGTATTATCCGAGGTGTAGACCGCTCAACAATTACTAGTGAGGCCTTTCAGAGTGCAACTGTGGCTGATTTTCCGGAGACCGCGATTTCAGACGGCCTTAAACAGCTCGGCTGGACACCCGAGACTCTGTTTGGCGCATACAAAGAACATGGCCGAATCATTGAGGAGTATAACAAATTTATCAATGAGAAGACGGATATCGATATCCTTTCAGCGCTACTCCAGAGGCTTACTAGTTTGACTGAGGTCCAGTTGTGCAACTGGAGCGAATATGCTAGGAAGACAAGTGTCAACGCAATAGTCAAAATTCAAATTTTAGAACCAGATCCCTTCAAGAATGGCCGTGCCCTCGACAGGTTTCTGCAAGCTGCAGCAAGAACAACGATTCCTAGCCTTTCTACTCTAGTACTCAAAGAAAATGAATTCTTCTACCAAGTCGACGACTTTACCACACTGGACCCTAGCATCATTAAAGCATCTCTCCCCGCTCTTCGAAACCTTTCTTCTCTAACCCTTCCAATGCGAACTAGGACTTGGAATAGGCCTGGGTTTACCGATATCCACCGCGAAAACCTTGCCGCTTTGCTCCTTAGTGGCCTTCCACATTTGCGACATCTACGAATATATACCAAGGAGAGCATGGAGACTTCCCCCTTGGAACTTTCTCCTATCTTGGATGCAATATCAAGTGATCAATTGGAGAGTATTGATCTGGAATGGTGCACTATCACGCTTGACAGCGTAGAAAGCTTCCTCAGGCGGCATAGCAAGACGCTGAAGACAATGCGGTTTAACTATATGATTCTCATCCAGGCCCATTTTGAGACGCTCTTCACGTTAGTACGCGATATTACAAAACTTGAAGAGATGGTCATTACTCGCGCACTTGTTGAAAAGAGCCACCGTCGCATTACCTATGGTGCAGGTGGGTGCCAAGAAAATCAGGCCTTAGAAATAAAATCTCGCCACGAGGAAGCTCGAAAGGAGGTCGCAAGATTTGCTACAAGAAAAACAGATCGTTTTCCAAGAGAGCTTCTAGATGTCGACTCGTCCCTTGTTGATGACATCTATAATTCTAAAACTAGTACATGTTTGGGGGTCATTGGGGAGAATTTCCTTCCTGAAACCTGGGATAAGGAGGGGATGCCTCTAAGGAAGATGGAATTATTTTAAGTATTGTCCTAGTGTAATATTAACAAGATCTGTTTCTTAATATTTATCTAGGCTCACATGTAAACAAGTCATTTGGCCATTGGGAAGTTGAGGAAACTATGAATAACATAGTGCCACGTGCTACGTGCTACTAGTCCTAGCTACTCCAAGTTTAAGATTTGATCTTGAGTATTAATATCCAGGTCATGGTCAGCAACCCACTTCCAGACGTTAGCCATGTAGGCTGATGACTGTGGTGTAAGATGGAGTAGCAACGATGCAGCAATACAATTCGAATTCACAGAACCTGTGAGTTTTGGACATTGTGTCTTTTGAAGATTCGAGCCGATGGCACCTCCAGTCCGTATATGGGAATCTAAGATCAATAAGTACAATACAAGAGAGAAGGTTGTAACCTATGGGCGCCGTGACGCTTGTAAATAGATAGTATGTCGCTAGCGGTACCTGCTACTTCTCTAATACACTGCAATGGAACCATATCTAGAAGCATTATATAAAATAGAAATATAAACTCAAAGGTAAAGCATGTAAGATGGAATCCAGCTCCTGCATAGCGTCAAGAATCTGGAATTACAAACGATGTATCTACGGGATCGACACGTTTTCTTAGGTATAGAACGACCCTTCATAGAACGACCCTTCAAGTCCTCTTCGTCTTCTGAATCTCTGCAAACTCTTCATCCGAGGTATACCTCTTCATCATAGGGGTCAACCCCATCAATCTCCCTGCCGCAGCAAACAAGGCTTGCACCTTCCACGGTACCCACCAGCGCAGCGGGCCCAGCCACGTCGCGGTAGGAAACCATACCATGGCAGTGGCAGAAACATGCCTAGCAAGAGTAAGTTTTCAGGCCCTAATCTTGCATTTCGGCGAGGGGAGAACTCACTGGGTTAGCATGATCTGGAACGGGTTTAGCGAAACCTTCTTCTCATGCACGTCGCTGACGTACATCAGCAAGTTTGTAAAGAAGACTCTGTCCATCATCTCATCGACGTCGTCAGGGTGCGCCCAGACCAGCAGGACGGTATCTTCAGGGCTATCTGACACGGGGTTAAAGCTATGAGGTACCCATGGCTTGATCTCATGCGGCCCGTCCTCTCGGGTATAGACCTTCGTGGTTACAGACCATCCCTCGACGGTGGCTACTTGGCCTTGGAGGACCTGGAAAGTCTCTGATTGATTGAAATGGAGGTGGAGAGGCGGTGCCTGAATTTCTTGTTGGTGGATGTCACATGGAAACGGGATAGGATATCCGTCTTAAGGTATCTACCTACCTGAGGATGACCTTTGCCTTGTTTGCAGAGAGGGTGGTCGTGTTTGTACGTTGCTCTTATCAGAACTCTAGATCAAGGTTAGCAAAGAGTTTTGAGCGGGTGTTCTTAGCTTTGTTGGCTTTGCGACTCACGTTGCATCTCTCGAGGGATGTGGCTCCAAAAACTCTAAAATGAAACTCCCCTCGTACAAGCTGAAAGGTCCAGAGATCACTGACTCGCCCAGAGGAGATTCAGGCGCCATGGCTCCCTCTTGTCGCAGATAAATTTCTCTGTAGAAATTGAAAAGACTACGTCGGGATATGGGGAATTGCTAGCGACAACACCTTTCGACGGATCTATTACGAGATTGACGCGAGTCACGAAGTTGACACGAGAATGTTGCGTCGCCTCACCCCGCTCACCCTGCTTACTCTGCTCACCGTGCTTACCCTGCTCACCCTGCTTACCATGCTCACCCTCGCTTCACCCCATAAGGCGGCAAGGGGCACAGATTCCACGCTATGTCTATCATTCAGATACGAAGACTTCGAAGTGTAGACGGGGTCTCAGTTCTTGAGAATCGGTTGTGCCCTCCTAATGCTGCGTTAGGCGCGCTATCATATTCCTCATCTTGCGTGCTGGTTGACCTCAGCGCCCTTGTCGAGAAGCAACTTCACAACCTGCTTGTGGCCTAGAGCCGAAGCTGACTGGAGCGCGTTGACGTTAGCGCCCTTATTGAGTAGCGGCCACACACAACAACCTAGCCCCGTCCCCCCACCTTTCTCCCAAGCACACGTCAAGCGTCAGTGGCCCCAAAATTTAACATACAAAAATGGCAAAAAAAATACAATCAAAAACATACAACAGTGGGTATTCGCTGGTGGTCACCCACCCAACTACTAATCCACCGATCTCAAGCTTGAAGTGGATTAATACTCAGGACGGTGCCATTTAGACTAGCGGGTGAGCGTCGCTGCCCTCAAGTTTTTGATGCCTCACGATAATCCGGTTGTCCCCCTCAGCTACCTAATGGCGGCCACGTCGACACGCACGAAGTGGGTCTTGTATTAAGACGCGATGAACGCGATGAACGCGATGCACCGCGACTTTAGATGGCCATGGATAATCCGGTACCTAGGTGAGCGAAGGTGAGCAGGGTGAGCGAGGGTTAGCGAGGGTGAACGAGGGTGAGCTTGAAAATGGTATAAAAGGCACGCTCCCGCCATGTCTAGATTTTGCAAACAGCCGGTTTAAGTATGGAGCCATTTATAGTGAACAGCCGCTCTTCGTGAATGATAAGCATATTATATTTCATGTGACACTACCATTTACACATCACTAGCTAATCCTCCTAGCACACTCCACCACATCCTGAACTGTGAAGTACGGCCCGTGCCAACCAAAACACACTGCTAGCCTAGACAAACTCGCTATAAAATCATCCGCTCGTAGGCTCAGACATAAGGGATACGCCTCCTTGAAAGTCGTTAAATAGCTCTCCACCTGACGAGCATCCATATAGCTGCCCTGCTTGGTTAACGCCTCTTCCGCCAACGGAATGATCACGGGCGGCCACTCGAAAGCAAAATAGCCTCGTAGAAGAACAGTGCTGAGTAGTCTGTTGGCCTCGCTGGCTTCGGGATGCATGTACGAATGCCGTATGCTGGGGTCGTTTACGTGGAACATAAACACACGGTTGAGGCTCGCGAGGTCGTATGTGAGGATGTATTCTAAGGTTCGTTGGACTGTGCGGTACTCAAGACGTTGATGAAGAGCTAGAGACTCTGTAGGAAGGGTAGCTAGTATTGTTGGTGCATCTTGAGCTTCTGTCGTCTCTGCCAAAGACATGGACACGTCATAGTTGGGGATTGAAACGTCTCTCTCGCCTAATAAACATAATGATGGGAGCTCAGAACAAGAGGTTTCTATTGCGCCTAGAGCTGCGAAGTCCAGAGGGGGAATATAAGTTGACAGCGGGGTAGTAGCGACGTTCTCGTTGGTGACGATACCACTAAGGGAATGCGGGCTGGATTCTAGGGTACGAGCTGATCGAAGCTGACTTTCAAGATCCAACACGGTTGCCTCTAGTTCCTTAACACGTGCTTCGAGATCCTTTACCCGTCTGTTTTTGCGTTCGCGGTGAGCGCGCTGGCCTTGGCGAAGCTGTTCTCGACGACGGTTAACTAAAGTTGTGTCATGTTAGGGATGGGTATCACAACGGTAATATTACAAGCACAAATCAGAACATACCGTTATCTAGTAAAGCTGTAGGTATGGTAATCTTCTTGTTCATGTCGATTTCTATCTATCTCAGACAGTTGTGTTGCAACGCGTGGAAATGATGTTCGATGAAAGAAAGTTGTGCGTGTTGACTCAACATGCCAACATCGGCTAACTAGTATGAGTACCCATTCAAAACGTCTCGTCGGATTAGCTCAGCACACTAATTTAGCGGATATTTATTTTCGACGTTCTCATTACTTATCACCATGTTGACTCAACATACTCTTCTTTAAAATTAAATTTCATAAAACATCGTAATGTTGACTCAACAATGCTTAGCATGCTAACCTTCCATCTATATTAAAGGCTTGGCACCTAAAGCTTAGAAGCGCCTAGAAGTGCTAGGTCGTGAGAACTGGTTTTGAGTTCCCCTAATTCATAGTATAGCTTAGCGTGTTGACAAAACATCTACCTAATAAAAAATGGCAAACAAAAGTTAGGAAATGAACACTTCACTCCATCTAGACCATGTGTATAAATGTCAAGAAGCGCCGCTAGACATGAAAAACAGGACACTATATCAGAAATGGCAAACTCAGCAGAAGACGAAGACCGCAGCCTGGAAAGCCAAGAACAGGAGCCTACCAAAAAGCCAGGACCTGTCCGTAACCCTCTAAAAACCTCATAATTACAACAAAAACCGCTAACACGCAACCAAAGGTCCGTTTCGCCGTGATAATCTCCTCCCTAATAGTAGGTAACTTCCTCTATGCCCTCGACAACACTATCGTCGCCGACATCCAGCCCCACATTGTCCAGCAATTCAAGTCCATCGACCAACTCAGTTGGATTCCAAACGCATATGTCCTGACTGGAACGGCATTTGTACTACTCTGGTCGAAGCTCTACACGCTCGTAAGCCAGAAATGGCTTTTCGTCTTGGTATGGATATTGCGTTTTTTGCTATAGGCTATTTAAATATTTGCTAACTTACCGGCTTCCGTTAGACTGTGCTTTGCTTTGAGCTAGGCTCTGCCCTGTGCGGTGCTGCAACTAGCATGGACATGTTGATCATTGGGAGGGCAATTGCTGGAGCAGGTGTACGTGATCTTCTTGACTTCCCCCACAGATCTGGGTTCTTGAACTAACATCAAAGTGTTTAGGGAACGGGTATCTATTTCGGTGTGATGGCCCTAATTACCTCCATGACCTCCTTGAATGAAAGGCCCATGTATTTCGCCTTGACAGGGTGGTCATGGGGTGCAGGAACCGTCCTCGGCCCCATCATCGGCGGTGGCTTCGCCGCGAGTTCTGCAACTTGGAGATGGGTATGATATTTATCGAAACCATATTTAGCGCTATTGCTTTTTAGTAAGTTCTAATGTTGAGAATAGGCCTTTTACATCAACCTGGTCATTGGCGCGGTGGTGATGCCAGCTTACATCTTTCTCATTCAAGACCCCGAAATACCACACCGCAGACCTTATCTGACACTCTTTTGGAGCATCGACTGGCTAGGTTGGGCTCTCCAGAGCGGCGCCCTAACAACATTTCTCATGGGAATTACGCTTGGAGGTGTGTCGTACCCTTGGGATCACGGCAGGGTCATCACTCTCTTTGCGCTAGCTTTTATGTTCTCCTGTTCATTCTGCATTGTGCAATGGCTCTCCCTATGCACCTCGCCCAACAACCGCATTTTTCCAGTCGCGTACCTGAGATCCGCTAGGCAGGTCATCTTGTTCCTGCTTACTGGTAACTAGACCGACAGTCCGCAAGTGCTGCTTCAACTGTGCTAACAGTCATAGCCTGCGCCTCGGCCGGCGTCTTCATTCCCATCTACTACCTGCCCCTATTCTTCCAGCTGACACGGGTATGGTCACCCCTGCACATTTACTTCCTACAAAGCTAAAGAACACTAGGGTGACAGCGCCATCATGGCTGGCGTGCGACTCCTGCCACTAGTTATACTCCTGGTAGCAAGTTGTCTACTTAGCGGCTACACGCTCTCGAAGTTCCCTCGTATCCCAGCGTCCATATATTACCTAACAGGGGCAGCCCTGGTTCTTATAGGCGGCACCCTTCTCAGTAAGCGCACTGCCTACTCCATACACCCCAATTAGGCACCATGTACTGACGCCCTGCCCCAGCTACAGTTAATAATCCCAGCGGCACGACTAGGATCTACATCTACTCTATTCTCATCGGCTTCGGCACCGGCCTTTACCAGCAGCTCTCCTTCTCCGTCTCACAACGCCTTGCCGGCGCGGCACCCGACACCCAGGCACAGAGCGTCGGTTTCATTATGCTAGCGCAGGAGATGGGCGCCCTAGTCGCACTGGGGATCAGCTACATGGTGTTACTAAACAGGTCCCTTCGGGGTCTGGGGGCTGCGTTGCCTCGCTTAGGGCTGGAGGACATCAAGGCTATTATCTCGGGAGACGGATTGGCGGGTCTGTCCCGGGGAGATCGCGAACTCGCTATCGCGGTTATTATCGATGTCATAGGGAGCATGTATGTCACGGTATGGGACTTCAGGGAAGCATTGCTAACTTGGAAATAGATATAATCTCATTATTGCCGCTGGTGGGGTGGGTCTATTGTCAGCATTGTCACATTGGTGGCTTAATTCTCGTCGCTCTCAGTAAAGTGTTTCTTAAAACTCAACTTTCGTGATAATAGTTGGGCTTGCCAGCTCTTGCACTTAGAGCACTGTGAGAGGGACTCAATTAGAGGGTACCTTCAGCAAGGGGCCAAGATCCTACGCTGACCCTATTAACACAATTGAGAGCAAGTAAGAAGCAATCAATTGCTAGCTTGTGTATGGAAGGGCGGACGGGATGCCTAATTCTAATGCGTCTATGGTTGTATGTTTATCCGTCTTAGTCCCACTATAGAAGCAATACCAAACGTGTCGGTGACCATCTGAAATCCCTCGCTCACAGGGTCGTCGAATGAAAGATAGCTTACGTTTCTTACGAAGGGGCATAATAAATACATCGAGGGTAGAGAGAGACTAATCATCTTAGCAAAGCTACTCCTTGCAAACGTATTAACTGTGATATGAGTGCTTCGTTAGATAAATGATTCCCTTTTCTGCAGTTGCACCCTCGAATGCAACTAGCTGTTACATATGTTCTAGCCCTGCCACTAAGTAGGCCAGTTGGCTAAGTGGCCGGCCCATTCGCAAAGTAGTATAATAGAATAGTAAATAGATTGATTGCTCTATACTACATTTCCAGTAGTGTCTGCTCTTGCCCGCTTCCGCTTTAGCCTCTTAACTAGAGCTATTTCTATACGAGTAGCTAGACCTAATAAATTACTATAGTTATAGTTGTCATTATAATAGTATACGCTACACTCCTTTGCTTCCTTATAACAATAGCTCCTCTTTATACTACATTAACCCTTATATTAGCATAATATTCTAACCTATGTACTTATAAAAGCCTCTCTAGCTATAAGCCCTAGTATTACTTACTTTATAGAAGGAAGAATTAGGATATTAGACTATAGAGCTTACTCTATAACCCTAAGTTATTATATAGGTATAAGGTGTTATATAATACTAGAGTATGTAAGAATCTAATCTCTATAAGGGTAAGGCTCTTCTAGAATGTATATAAAGATCCTCTTATTATTAGTTAAGGTTCTATTCTCTTAAGGCACCTTTATAGAGACTATAGCTCTAATATTAAAGTGTTAGATATTATGCTTCTTTATATACTTATATATTATAGAAACCCTTACTCTTTAAGTAGCTACTACGTAGTAGATTGTAGAAAATAAGAACAAGGCACTTAAATAAGGTACTAAGCTAAAACGGCCACACTCTAGTACTATTACGAAATTGACGCGAGACTGACACGAAATTGACGCGAAAACGTCACGTCGCCTCACCCCACTTACCCTGCTCACCCTGCTTACCCCTTGGCTCACCCTGCTCACCCTCGCTTCACCCCTTAAGGCGGCAAGGGGCACAGATTCCACGCTATGCCTATTGGCACGATTGAGAGCATCAATCCACTGAACTACAAGCTTGTGTATGGCAGAGCGGACGGGATGCCCAATTCTCTTGAGTCTATGGTCGTATGTGATAGTTACTTGTATGTTGAGCCACATATGCAAGTTTTGATGCCTGTCGCGGCTGCCCTTACAATTTCAATGCCCTCCCGATGAGGCTCTGCGCTGTCTCCTTTCATTGTGATTCCGGTATGGTGGAGCCCGTATTCGTGCAGTTGCGAGTTACAATATACGTATACCGGTGTACGTTTAATAAAAATTCCGTTACTTCAAGGTTTTTTCCACGAATTCTTTTTGGTTGGCCTTACTCGGGCAGTCATTAAAACGGCTCCATCCTCTCTCTGCTAGTGCCGCACAACTAGAAACACGTCGCGCGCCGCTCGACTTAGACATTCTTACGTCCGGCATTTCCCCCGAAGCCCGGTGATGCATTCATCTAGGCCCTCATTTAACAATGGCTAGCTGCTTTTAGGTTCTGAGTGAGCAGCAAACAAGACGGTAGCGTGGCGCCTCGATTGTTATCAGAGGGTCGGGCTAGGACCCTGGACCCGGGACCCTGGACCCTGGACCTTTCTGAAACCCCCACCTGGCAGGACCAACATACCTACCGAGTTGCTAATGTCCTGTCCTGTCCCTCACCCTCCTTCTTGAAACATTTAGGATGGTCCGTTACACGGAACAATCATTTCAGGGAATGTCATATACTTTACCGAAAGCGTCACTGCACATGCAGATCGCTCCCGGAGCCATTTATCGACGCAATTTCTTAAGGCCTGTTCTGTTGCCACTCCAGTACTCACCTTCTGATGCCAGTCTTTTGCACCTCTCTTTGTTCAATCGCAAATTCACCACGCTCTTTAACGGCGCCTTATTCCTCAATTTATCTCTCGATTTGGTCACTCGTTTGCAACTTAATTTGATTCCGTAGTTCAATATGCGTTCAATCTTTATTTCACAACTCATCGGTCTCCTGCCTTTGATATCTGCCTTCGTTCATCCCGGGCTCTTGGTTAACAATGCAGACATCACTCGCATAAAGTCGAAGCTTGCTGCACAGCTAGACCCTTGGCAGAGCTCGTGGGTCAAACTCACTGGTCTGGTGTATTCTCAGTCTACCTATACAAATAATGCTGTGCCGGGCGTCTATCGTGACACTGCAAACGGTGCTATAGCAAATGCTCAGCTCCTCTGGCATGATGCCGCCGCAGCCTTTGCCCTCGGATTGCGTTGGAAAATCGAGGGCGATGAACAATATGCAAAAGCCGCAGCTGCCATCCTTGTCGCCTGGGGAGAGACTCTGGAGAACTTTGACATTGGGGACGACGAATACCTAACGGCTGGCCTACAAGGTCATGAGCTGGCCAATGCTGCCGAGCTGATCCGGGACTACGCGCCTTTCGCTGAGAGCGAGATGCAAACTTTTGCCAACATGTTTTCCAGGACTTTTCTAGCCAAGAACCTATACTTTCTCAATCATAAAGCCCCTTCGGAACACAACGTCCGACATTTCTTTGCCAATTGGGAACTTTGCAATATGGCTTCAGTTATGGCCTTTGGAGTACTCACAGACAACTCGACCCTGTTTGATTTTGCGGTTGAATATTTCAAGAATGGGATTGGTAATGGTGCAATCAACAACTGTATTACGGACATTGTTGACGAGCCCGGAACCGGGAAAAAAATTGGACAAGGCCAAGAATCTGGTCGCGATCAAGGCCATTCGGGATTGGATTTCCAGATGCTTGGCGTCATTGCACAACAGGCCTGGAACCAAGGCGTGGATCTGTACAGCTACAATAACAGTCGTATTCTTCTCGGGTACGTCTTCGGCCAAGTTACACCGAGGAAGAATCTAGAACTCGACTGACATTGTAACAGAGCTGAATACTATGCACGATATAACCTAGGCAACGAGGTGCCATTTGTGCCTTATACCAATGGTATCGTGTCATATTCCGAGATCAGCAGTGCGTCTCGTGGAGCCTATAGGCCAACGTGGGAGTTACTATACGCCCATTACGCCCAGATCAAAGGAGTCGATGCGCCTTGGACAGAACAATACAAGAATTATACCGTGAGATCAATGGGCGGCTTTGAAGGCGGTGCCGGATCTTGGGGCGAGGGTTCGGGCCATTATGATGGGCTTGGTTGGGGCTCATTGCTTTATCATCGCGATACCGATGATGTTTCTGATATTTCTAGCACGTCCACTACGTCTACCACTCCTGTGCTGCCTACTAGTGCTGCCTCTGCATCTGCGAGCGATCTTACACCCAGTCCATCATCCTTTATTATATCGACTATTTCAACTATTGCTCCCAACAACGAATCTTCTATCGGTCACTTTTCTTCAGATATTGTGTTTACCGCAGCGACGGATTCTGTCATCCTTTTTCCAAGTGACACAATTCCGATGGGCGATGCACATACGACTCTCATGACATCCACTGCTCGCCCTAGCATCAAAGCTCATCCACAACGTACTGTATATGTTTATTCCTGTGAATAGGACTATCGCGGCTAGGGTATCTTAACTTTCGTTCAACCACAGCGCGACTACGGGTAGCCTGCGTGATTATTTTAACAGGGGATATTTAGCCCCGACAGCTCCTTCTGAGCGTTTAGTGAATACGATACTTCCTATTCCAAGTGCCTGCGTCGCTATTGGGTGGCTTGAGTTCTGCCCCATCGCTTGATTGTTATATCTAAATATTTGAGATAAAGTCGGGGACTTAACGAAAGGGGGGGTCATCGGATTAAGTTTAGGTACTCTTGTGGCGGACATTAATTCCATTCTGTCGTAGATATGTCATTTCCTACCTCACCCCCGTCCTTGATAACGTGGAGGTTCTGTCGTTTTATCCGTTCAAACAACGCTACGTCCGGCAGACCCACAATGAGATTCGTATTTCCATTGGAGTTACATGTGAGTGATCATTTTTGAGGCAGAGCTATGTGGGTTCCAACATGATACGACATACCGAGGTATGTTGACCGACAATGGCTGTGCCATTGGAGACGACGAGGTCGTCCTTCAACCTCCACGACTGCATCGGGATCATATCCCTCGCCGTGAACATCAGCTCGTCATATAAGAGGAGGTGTGCTTGCTGGTATTCCAACACGACGAGTTGCAACACATGCGACATCTGCAATTCCAACCCTCAATACTCCATAATCCATCTGTCTAAGAACCTCCATGCCTAATGCTTTGCAATGGCCTAGAACAGATAGAGCGGCTACTGCAAGATGCTTAGAAGGTGTCTCAGCCAACGTTTTCATGGCGTAAACACGACCTGAAATCAGAGAGCTCGATATGCGCATAAAGGAGACAACGGCAAATATGCCTGATACATCTGACAGACACTCAGTCCAGTATAAGGAGCGACAGAAGTTATATACAGACAAATAAACGCTGCTCCGACTAGCAAGGGAATTATAGAAAGAGAAATGGTTCTCAATTATGCCTCTCTTCGTAAGGTTAGATACTCAATACGTACACAGCAACGCCACAATACATGCTAACCTCTATGGGTATCTCTAATCGTTCCGGTGCTATCATTAGAATTGTCCATTTGCACATCACGCAATTTCGGAGCCAATTTCTTCAGGTCTTCAATCAGCTCTGGCATCAACTCCCTGGACCTCCCCAACGCCACCCCCAACCCTTCAATCCGTCCATTCCTTTCTTCTATCTTTTCAACAGTATTGTCTCTATCTCGCGTCAATTCTTCCCGATCTTGTTGCATTGTGAGCATGGCCTTATCCCTGACCTGCCGTAGCTCTCCTTGCTGGGCTTCTGGCGTCATGTGAATCAGCTCGTTGTACCTGTTCTCTAAAGCTTTGATTTCGGCTTCCTTCTCATCGAGCTTCTCTTCATAGCCTTGTAGAGTCTTGATATCTCGGGGAATGGATGACTTGAAATCTTCAATATTTTGAAAATAAGTGGGAAGATTTGCTAGCAACTCTTTGACAGAGATATGTACGATGTTAAGCTGATTCAGTACCGAAGTAATTGTCTGTAGCGCAGTATCTTGCTCTTTAAGAGCTTCTTTTGCCATTAATAATCTTCTTTTCTTTTGCTGCTCAAGCAACATCAAGTGCATCTGGTAGTCCTGCAATGCGTGGTTTCTAACATAATTATCTGGGCCATTGTGGTTCATCCTAACGACTGGACAATCTGGCTGTCTAGCAAGGGCTAGTCCTTGATATTCTTAGCTAGTTGACTTCGGGACAGCGAACATGTTGGGATAGTTAGTGATAGGGCCTTTGGCAGTGTTTCCATTAATAAGGGTTTGCGAATCCTACATACTAACAGACTCGTGGGCAATGGTGCCAGACAGCTCTTCTTCTTAGCGAGACTAGCCAACTATCATTAATCTTTTCCTATTTTGATGCTTCGGATCACCAGCTGGAATAGGCTCATAGATACTTTAAGGCTGGCCTTCGATCGTTGAGTATTGTCGGGATCGGAAATCTTGATCTGATTATTAAGCTGGTCCTCGAAACCTTGCTTTCTGGCTCAAGAAGGTAAATCCAACTATATCAGATTGCGGGCGCAAGGCTGCTTGATGGCTGAAGGAAGGCTTAGAAACAAAAGATTCAATTTTGTTGTTCGCCACGATGATTTTTGACGTTGTCTGGCACGTGTTCCTGCTGTGTAACCCCCAAAATCATCATACCACACCAACCACAAGGAGGACGCCACAAGTGGCAGGCGCGCGGAGACTTGCGCAAGTCACTTTATCGACAGCGGCGATCCACCCTCAGCTGCACCTGCAGAGTGTAACCGCTTAAGGTAGGACTTCGGTTCGCACCGCTAGTATAAACTAGGGGATTTAGGCGCTACGCATTATCCGCTTTGGCAAATCTGGCACTCCTGTCAACGCCGGCGCCCCCCAAGCGAAGCGGGCGAAGGCATGTGTCATTAGGTCCATTGCACATGTCTACAGTGTACGGCCTAATCGTTGTAGGCCTGCGACGACTCGTACCTCCCCGTGGGCTGGGAACCTAAGTCTCTTCGATGAAGACCACCCAGAACTGAATCGAGTCAGACTTGAGAGAGCGTTGTTGGCGCGGCATAGGTGGTGATACGATGGCGTAGCTCCAACGAACAGAGGACCACATGGTAATGAGATAGCTAGTATTACCTCCTCATCATAGGCTCCAATTGCTCCAATAGTTGGAGTCCACGTTTTCTTCACGCTCGTGATGAGATGTGATAGCCACGCATTAGCGGCTACGGAATAACAATATTCCAGCAGATCGAGAGACCGTTGATGTGGTTTGTTGCGTGTGAAGTTACACTTGGCTAGGAGAATGACCGAGATTTGTCGAGTCTATTGATGGGGACTTGTAAGAAATGTCTCCCTCGTTGTATTTGAAGCGGTAAGTAGGTTCAATTCTTGAAGCCTCTTATTCCTCTCTGTGAATATCTTCCGCAACAAGCTAATCGCCGATCACAACTTTTGTGAGAGCGAGCTAAGCGTAGAGTCTCTACTTTCGTGGCTCGGTCAATGACGAATCACCTTGGGAAAGGTTAAGAGAGCAATGCCTTACATGGTGTTTTAAACTAAGGGCTAAACTTCAGTCTAACGCGAAAGTAACGCGAAAATGACACGAAAAGTTCACTTCGCCCCATTATGCTCACCCTGCTCACGCACTGCTCACCCTGCTCACCCTTCGCTTTACCCTTCAAAGCGGCAAGGGGCCCAAATTCCACGCTATGCCTATTGGCACGATTGAGAGTATAGAGCGAGTAGATTACAAGCTTGTGTATGGCAGAGCGGACGGGATGCCCAATTCTCTTGAGTCTATGGTCGTATTTGATAGTCATGTGTATGTCGGGGACTAAATATAGATGTTCTGTGTGAAAGTAGATGGTTTGAGGGCGGTGGTGGGAGGATGGCTGATTATCATTTCAGCTTCCATGTCACGGCAAGAAATTAAGGTGGTCAAAGTAGGTATGATTAAATAACAGATTTAAAAACTGCAGGCCTTCTTTCGGCGGGGTTGGCAAGAATAATCATCATAATCATGGATATTTAAATACTCAAATCTTATATAACCATGAATATATATCTGTAAGCATAGGTATTGATGATGATGGTTATTAGCTTTCGAAAACACGAATAGTTATTATTATGATTATGTGCTTTTGAAAACCAGGAATATTAACGATGATGATTATTGGTTTTTGAAAACCATAGGTAGTCATGATTATGATTACTTGCCTCTGGAATAATAATCATGCTTCTTATGATTATTAATAAATAATCACGAATATAATCAACCGCCGACTTTCGGAGATGTAATAAAATCGCTGGCTGTAACTGTAGCATTTAAATTTGTCAAGCAATATCAAGGTACGTGGATCAACACCCTCTTAAATCCTGAAGTGATGATAGAAGATATCAACCAGCAGTATTCCCAGCGCATATAGTAATACTGTTTTGCCGTTAGTTATACTGTTGTAATGTCGTTGAACTCCCCACCTCACCACTTCCTGCCTCAGGCTCCAACCTCCCCAAAATTCACAAGCCATTTCCCGTCCCCATCCCCAACTTTTTTACCGACTGTTGAGCCGTTGAATTACGCGAACACGCCCACGCACCCCAATACCTGCGATCTCCGCACCCGCTAGCCCCCTGCACCACCTCACCGATTTCCCGTGATCCCCTGAAAATCGGTCGTCCAGACCGTAACCGCAGCCGCAGCCCGCCAAAAACGCGCCCGCCCTTCCATTTATCTCTAGACATTTCCCCCCCTCGTTTCTTTAAAAAACAATATATTATCCTTATCCATCAATATCTCGGTGCATTTCATCACTCATCTCAATCGAGAAACCCATCGCTCAATCAATCTTCCGAACCCCGCATCAACCTTCCGATATCCCCCATCGGGACCCGAAACTCTTGGCTTCCCTGTCTGTTATCAAGCGCTACTCGGTTATAGCTGTAAGAGCATCCAATCCATCCCTCGCACCTTCACCCCCCAACACCACCAGTACCTCACAAAAACTCCTTCTCGCACACTCTCCGCTCCTTCCTCCGGTCCCCACACTTACTTACCCCGAATCCAGCCCAGCGTCGTTCTCTCCGCGTTACCGACATCTCCTCCTCACCCTCCGCAACGAAGCACCCCGTCTTCCTTGGTCAGGACCCCCTAAACGCATCAGATCCGCCAGCATGTCCGTCGCCGTCGTCGAGACTCAGCCTCCCAAGCTGGAGAAGAAGCCCGTCAAGTTCAGCAACCTGCTCCTCGGAGCAGGGCTGAATCTTTTCGAGGTGAGCATATACCACATACCCGCGTGTCCACATGCCTATTTGTCCCGATTTCCCATGCCGAGGATCGGGATTGGGCAATTTGGAGATGGATGATGATAGGAGCACACGACTGACGAATTGCATTAGGTGACAACTCTCGGCCAGCCATTGGAGGTCACCAAGACCACCATGGCCGCCAACCGCGGTGACAGCTTCGCCGGCGCCCTGGGCCGCATCTGGGGCCGTGGCGGTGTCTTTGGCTGTTAGTCCCCCATCCCATCCCCGGATTCCCCCACAAACCCCACACACCCCCCAAAAAACCCGTAACTAACCTTTCCTCTCTCCAGTCTACCAAGGTCTCATTCCCTGGGCCTGGATCGAAGCCTCCACCAAAGGCGCAGTCCTCCTCTTCGTCGCCTCCGAAGCCGAATACTACGCCCGCACCTTCGGCGCCGGCGACTTCACCGCCGGCATCAGCGGCGGTGTCGCCGGTGGCGTCGCGCAGGCCTACGCCACCATGGGCTTCTGCACCTGCATGAAGACCGTTGAGATCACCAAGACCAAGCTCGCCGCCACGGGCGTCGCTCCCCAGTCGACTTTTGCCACCTTCGCGGATATCTACCGCAAGGAGGGTATCAAGGGTATCAACAAGGGCGTGAACGCTGTCGCGATCCGTCAGATGACGAACTGGGGGTCCCGCTTCGGACTCTCGCGTCTTGCCGAGTCCGGGATCCGCAAGGCGACTGGGAAGGAGGAGGGCGCTGCTCTGGGAGCGTGGGAGAAGATCCTTGCTAGTGGGCTGGGTGGAGGGTTGTCGGCGTGGAATCAGCCGATTGAGGTTATTCGCGTGGAGATGCAGAGTAAGACTGCGGATCCGAATAGGCCGAAGAACTTGACGGTGGGGAAGACGTTCAGTTATATTTACTCGCAGAATGGGATTAAGGGGCTTTATCGCGGGGTGGTGCCTAGGATTGGGTTGGGCGTTTGGCAGACGATTTGTATGGTTGCTATGGGTGATATGTGAGTATCTCCTTTCTCCGTTCCTGGGTGGTGGCATTTTGTCCATCACCGACCGCCCTTTATTGTCTGCGGACACGTTTGCTGACTATTTCCACAGGGCCAAGAGCTACGTCGAGAAACTCACCGGCGACTCGGTCACAGCGAAGCATTAGACGGCGTTTTTTGGGGGATACCAAACATATCCATCATGGGAGGCATTACCATCGCAAGATGAATTGTGTCACGAATAGGTTCTAGCGCGCGCAAAAGAAATAGACGGAACGGAACGGGATTGACTTCAGTTGTTTTTTCTTCCTTTTATTATAAGTTGTAGTTACACAGATGGGCGTGTTAATCGATATGAGATGTTGTGCCCTATACCTTTTTTTCTTCTGTGCGAGGTGGTGGTATGTTGCTGTGCTGTGATATTTATTTCTTCTGATATAGTCAATTTCCTGCCCGTGCTCTCTCTCGCTGATAAAATGTTGTTATTAAACCACTCGTAGACAAAACGCCTATAAAACAGGAACGAAGCTCATGGCGTGGAGCTTGATCGATGACTCTGGCTACAGACCAGGAACGAGGCTCAAGGCATAAACATCGATTTGTATCCTATTACGCCGTGATATTTTATTTCTCCCGTCTACTGAATCCCAGCCCGTCCTCTCTCAGCTGATAATGTTGTTACCAAACCACTCGTAGACCCTACACCTATAGACCAAGACCAAGACAAAGCTCATAGCATAGACTCGATTCGTGTGTTATTATGCTTGTGATATTTATTTCTTCTGTATACTCAATTCCCCACCCACCCCGTCTCCTCCCATTGATAACAACGTTGTCATTGAACTCCTCCCACTGATAATAACGCCGTTACTGACCAGCTGTAGATTCCAAGGCTCATGGCAATAGCTTGATTCCTACCGTGGAGTACGTGCGCACCTTGCTCCTTCATCTCCTGTCTTTCTTGCATGTGTCTACCATGCCATCTCGGCCTATTAAGCTCACGTCCCCCTATCCCTCGGCGACGACACGACGACACGACGCGCAAGCAAACAAGCAAGCAAGAAAGCAAGCACGCGCCTCGGTATGTAGTGAATCCACAGTTTAGTTTTGCGAAATTAACCCATCTACTACCATCCCATGCCGTTACCCCCTTCCCCTTTCTATCTGTCTCCCCTTTCCCATCCATCTCATCCTACGCCCTGGTCTAGGTCAAGGTCTATCCACAGCTCCATCACAGCTCCATCACAGCCCTGTATTATACTTTCCAGCATACCTTATTATACAGTAGTACTCCTTCCCTCCTCATTATATCTCCCACCCACCCTATCCCACCTAGCCGCCCCACGTGTGAAACAGACAAACGGCACCGCATCTAGAACGGGTTAACTTAACTTACCTAAGTAAGCGACTCATTCGACTCGGTCTGAGCGCGGCCCGTGGCGTTGCGTGGGTGTTTGGTTTGTTTGCAGCCACGCAGGGTAGGGTGTGGTGTGTGGACAGGGAACCAGGGGTGTGTGAAAAGAGAGATTAGAAAAGGTGTGTGTGGTGATTAGTCAGCTAGACGCCCCTTACGTACTCCCTCTTCTCTCCCCTCTCCCTCCTCCCCCCCTCCCGGCGTCGGTCTGGGTATTATTTCCTCGTGACTTGACTTAACTTGACTTGGACTATGATGATGTAACGACAACCACCACCGTTGGTTGTTATGAGTCGCGCGCGGTCGGTACGGGAGGGGATATATGATAGCTTAGTGAATATGAAGCTAGATCAGGTCTGTACGGGAGGGGAAAGGGATGAGATGCGCGGTGATGCGCGGTGGTGGTGGCCGATGTAAAGAATGCGATGACGTCGGTGGAATGCGCGTTTATGCCTGGCTGTGTAACACGCATCCAGAACAGCCCAAAAAGTTCTATCCCCTCACGTTCGGTATCTGTATCTTCGGTGTGGTGCCCTTCTGGCCCCTCGCGGCCTCCGTAAACGCCAATCTCTCTACCTACCTGCCTGTACGGTTAGTATTCCGTGCGTTATCGCGTTCTGGGCACGCTTGCTTTGCTTAACTTGCTTGGCCTGTGAGTGAGCGACGACGACGACGGCGTTTAGCCAAGACGATGATGAAAGAGTTTGCAAGCGCCAAGGAGAGGAGATGGGGTGATCCCCGGGCAGGAGATGGGGATGGATTGGGTGGTGGTGGTGGGAGGGTGGAGACGTTGGTGTATGTGGTACTTGGAGGTGGTGAGGTGTGTACTTTCCCGTGTGCTGTTTGCTGCTGTTTACAGTAGAGTAGACAGTAATTGGTAGTGTTAGTGGTTAGTGGTGTTAGTAGTGGTAGCAGTGTCAGTAGGCAAAGGCAAGTGGAGTAGGTGGAGCATGTCACGCCCCCTTGGATGTGGACATCCCGTGATGGGATGTGGATGCCGTATAGCTCTCCTCATCCCTACCCATCCCTACCCATCCCTACCAACAACCCGCCCTACTCCTCTCTTCCCCCCGCCCTACTCCTCTCTTCCCCCCGTCCATCTACTACAACAGTACTGTACAGCATCCCACAGCGCACATCCTCGCAACCACGGCCAGACGCAGCGCAGGCTTAAAAACCAAGGTTCCCACCCTGGGCCAACCAACTCCCATCTGCACTCCCATCCCACGATGACGCGCTAGGTGGCGCTAAGTGGGGGCTAATTGGGAGCTACTGAGACAGGTAAACAGTGCTAAGATCGCTTTGGGAGAGCTCGGCGGTGGAGAGGGGGGTGTGATTGGTGAGGTGCCAGGTGTCATGGATGGGGGCAGGTAGGCAGGCAGGGCCGGGCCAGGTGTGGACTGCTAGAGAATGGTGATTGCCGGTGGATGGGACTACGGGCGGTGGAGGGGGATACCTTGGTTGGTGGTGGACGGGGGGGGATGGGGAGGTAGAGGTTTGCGCTGGGGGTGGTGGTCGTGGTGGTGGTGGTACTCCTGGGTGGTGGATGGGATTTGGAGGTGGTTGTTTGTTTGTGCGGCGTTGTTTGTGTCTCTGATGGTTTTGCGGGTGTTGTCTCTGACGGGTGGTGGTGGTGAGTCCAACGGTTGGGTTGGGGGTTGGAACGCTTTGCTCCTTCCGTAACACGGGTATCTGGATACTGCTGTTATCTGGATACTGTTGTCTACCGTACTGCTATCTACTGTACGTACTGCTATCTACCGTACTGCTATCTACTGCCGTACTATTGTCTGGCGTCTGTTGTCTGGCGTCTGTATATGATTTCGTATAGTACGCGTTGCTATGACTGTGGACACTCTTACTGCTATTCCTCTCTGCTATGACTGCGACTGCGACTGCGACTGCGACTACAACTCCTACTCCTTTAACTAACCATCCACTATAGCAAAGGTACTTCATTTGCCACCCCAAGTGCTTACTCTGACAGTGTACTATTCCTATAGCACTTTACCGCGACTCCACTGCTCTACCCACTCTGCCACTCTGCCACTCTACCCACTCTACCACTCCTATTATTTAGCACTTCCCTACCACTTCCCTACCACTTTCCCTACCACTTCTCAACCCTACCACTTCCACTCCCCTACCACTAATCCCACTACCCTACCACTAATCTACGGCAGACTAACACGCTACTGTAACCTACAGCTCCGGGACATACTAGCCTGACATTTCCCATATCCCTTGCTCGTTTCCTTCCCTTGTTGTTTTTCTCTTCCCTTGCTATTTTCCTTGCCCATTTCCCATCTCCCATTTGATTTCCCTTCTTCATGCCAGCCTGCTGTGGAGTCACTCAAGTCACTCAAGTTACTTTTGCCACTCTAGTACTTACACACAGACCACTCTGCTATCCACAGTACATCTGCACTGCAAACAACTCTACATACTAATTCACATTCATCTCACTCTAATTCACCTCAATCCACCTCAATCCACCCTACTTCCATCCACTTTCATCAAGCTCCCCTTAGTACCTTCCTGACACCCTCATGTACCTACCAATACCACTATAAGTAACTCTACATGGTCGCTCTCGCCGTGCCACCAACCACGGCTCTCTCCTCCCTCCTCCGTACTTTCTTCTTTCCCTCCTACCTCCACACCCCCCAACCCAATCGTCGCCTCATATTCCCACTCTCCCCCCATCTCCCAATCAAAGAGCTCCAAATTCTCACGATTCAATTCCCCTCTCTACACCTCGCCCATCACTCATCATCGCCCATCACCCTTTCTCTCCTTCCCTTTCCTTCCTCCCTCTCTCTCCCCAACCACATCGACTAATCGCCTTTTTCCCCTTCTATTTTAGCCTCGCTGGATCACAACCCCTTCGTGATCCCTCTTCATTGTTTACAGACAGCGTCGTCGCGTCTCGCAACACGTCGCTTGTCCCGACACCTCTGCGAACGAAAAACATCATCCGACAAACCCCAAGCTTCTCGGAGTGACCACCTCAGCCCACCATGGCCGAGAACACCGGCCACGTTGGCGCGGCCGGCGCTCAACACCTCAATTCCACCATTGAGTCCGGCAACTTCAGCGAGAAGAATGAGGTTCCCGCCGGCGGTAGCGGCGTGCCGCCAACCTCCAAGAACAAGCCATTGGAGGAGGATGAGGAGGAGGACGAGGACATGGACGCCCTGATCGACGAGCTCGAGTCCCAGGACGGCCACGCCGAGGAAGAAGAGGAGGAGGAGGAGAACCCAGCCACTGGTCGCATCATCCCAGAGGACCAGCTCCAGACCGATACGCGCACTGGTCTCACTGAGCAGGAGGTCGCCGTGCGTCGCAAGAAGTACGGTCTCAATCAGATGAGAGAGGAGAAGGAGAACTTGATCCTCAAGTTCCTCGGATACTTCATCGGTCCTATTCAATTCGTCATGGAGGTTAGTTCTCACCCATCCGCCCTTTGCTTTCCCAATCTCCCCATCATAACATCATGGCCTGAAATATGAGGCTGCTACGTCACCGTTTCTTGGTTGACTGCTGCTCCACTTCTGTCATTACTGGACTGACATTTCTCGCCCCGACACTAGGCTGCTGCCGTTCTTGCTGCGGGTCTTGAGGACTGGGTCGATTTCGGTGTCATCTGCGCGCTTCTGCTGCTTAACGCAGCTGTTGGTTTCATCCAAGAATACCAGGCCGGTTCCATCGTCGACGAGCTCAAGAAGACGCTCGCTCTCAAGGCTGTTGTTCTCCGTGACGGTCGTCTCTTCGAGGTCGACGCCCCTGATGTTGTTCCCGGTGATATCCTCCAGATTGAGGAGGTGAGTTCATGGTCCTCCCCCGCCAATGGACGCTGCTGACCATACAGGGTACTATTATCCCCGCTGACGGTAGAATTGTTACCGAAGATGCTTTCCTCCAGGTCGATCAATCTGCCATCACTGGTGAATCCCTTGCTGTTGACAAGCACAAGGGCGACCAGTGCTACGCTTCTTCCGGTGTCAAGCGTGGTGAGGCCTTCGTGGTCATCACCGCCACTGGTGACAACACTTTCGTCGGTCGTGCCGCTGCCCTGGTCAACCAGGCTTCCTCCGGCACTGGTCATTTCACTGAAGTCCTGAACGGCATCGGAACGGTGCTGCTCGTCCTCGTTATCCTCACCAACTTGATCGTCTGGGTCTCCTCGTTCTACCGCTCCAATGATATCGTCAAGATCCTCGAGTTCACCCTGGCCATCACCATCATTGGTGTCCCCGTCGGTCTCCCCGCTGTCGTCACCACCACCATGGCTGTCGGAGCTGCTTACCTCGCCAAGAAGAAGGCCATCGTCCAGAAGCTGTCCGCCATTGAGTCGCTCGCCGGTGTTGAGATTCTCTGCTCTGACAAGACCGGCACGCTCACCAAGAACAAGCTCTCTCTCGCCGAGCCATTCACCGTCGAGGGTGTCGAGCCCGATGACCTCATGTTGACTGCCTGTTTGGCCGCCTCCCGCAAGAAGAAGGGTATTGATGCTATCGACAAGGCCTTCCTCAAGGCTCTCCGCTTCTACCCACGCGCCAAGTCTGTCCTCTCCAAGTACAAGGTTATTGAGTTCCACCCCTTCGATCCCGTCTCCAAGAAGGTCCAAGCCATCGTCGAGTCTCCCCAAGGCGAGCGCATCATCTGTGTCAAGGGCGCTCCCCTTTTCGTCCTGAAGACTGTCGAGGAAGACCACGCCATCCCTGAGGACGTCGACCAGGCCTACAAGAACAAGGTTGCTGAGTTCGCTACCCGTGGTTTCCGTTCCCTCGGTGTTGCCCGCAAGCGCGGCGAAGGCCAATGGGAGATTCTCGGTATCATGCCCTGCTCTGACCCCCCTCGTCACGATACCGCCCGCACTATCAACGAAGCCAAGACTCTCGGTCTCTCCATTAAGATGTTGACTGGTGATGCCGTCGGTATTGCCCGTGAAACCTCCCGCCAGCTCGGTCTCGGTACCAACGTCTACAACGCTGAGCGTCTCGGTCTCGGCGGTGGTGGTGACATGCCCGGTTCCGAGGTTTACGATTTCGTTGAGGCCGCTGATGGATTCGCTGAGGTTTTCCCCCAGCACAAGTACAACGTCGTCGAGATTCTCCAACAGCGTGGTTACCTCGTTGCCATGACTGGTGACGGTGTCAACGATGCTCCCTCCCTGAAGAAGGCCGATACCGGTATTGCCGTCGAGGGTGCCTCTGACGCTGCTCGTTCTGCCGCTGATATCGTCTTCTTGGCTCCTGGTCTCGGCGCCATCATCGACGCTCTCAAGACTTCCCGCCAGATTTTCCACCGCATGTACGCCTACGTTGTCTACCGTATCGCTCTGTCCATCCATCTCGAGATCTTCCTTGGTCTCTGGATCGCCATCCTGAACCAGTCGCTTAACATTGAGCTCGTCGTCTTCATCGCCATTTTCGCCGATGTTGCCACCCTCGCCATCGCCTACGACAACGCGCCCTTCTCCAAGACCCCCGTCAAGTGGAACCTGCCCAAGCTCTGGGGTATGTCCGTGCTTCTCGGCATCGTCCTCGCCGTCGGCACCTGGATCACCCTGACCACCATGCTTGCCCAGGGCGAGAACGGCGGTATCGTGCAGAACTTTGGAAAGATAGACCCCGTCCTCTTCCTCGAGATCTCTCTCACCGAGAACTGGCTCATCTTCATCACCCGTGCCAACGGACCCTTCTGGTCGTCCATCCCGTCGTGGCAGCTCGCGGGAGCCATCCTGATCGTCGATGTGCTCGCCACCTTCTTCACGCTCTTTGGATGGTTCGTGGGCGGACAGACGTCCATCGTCGCTGTTGTTCGTATCTGGATCTTCTCGTTTGGTGTCTTCTGCATCATGGGCGGGCTGTACTACCTCCTCCAGGACTCGAGCGGATTCGATAACCTCATGCACGGCAAGTCGCCGAAGAAGAACGCGAAGCAACGTTCGCTTGAGGACTTTGGTAAGTTTATTTCCCCATCTTGTGGTGGTTGTAGTGGTGGTTACGGTGGTGATGAAACGCTTGGCGTTTTGAGAATCTTGGAACTTCAGCTAACTATGCGTGTCTCACAGTCGTCTCCCTCCAGCGCGTCTCGACTCAACACGAGAAGACCGTCTAAACCGACACCGTCTCGACATAAACGTCATTTTTCCTTCGACTCTATTTTTTTCTCCTTACCTCAACGTCTTCTTCTTCTTTCTTTGCACACACCACCACCCCCCCGGCGCCCAATTCAAACGGAAATGCAGAAAACCTCTCTCCCTTTTCTTTTTTCCCTTAATTCTCGCGAAATGAGATGGGATAGATGATGGGAGATTTGGGCGAATTCTTTTATATAAAGTCCTCCAGCAGTTTCCGGAATTTAATTTTTTGTTATCAATAAAAAAATGAAGATGCCGACAGACGCCGACGCCTCGAAAAACCGTCTCCTCCCCCCCTTCGATGAGGGAGGGAGGGGATTACAAAGTTTACAAATACACTATACAGTTTCTTTTTCTTTTGCACTGCTTTTATTTTGTCAGGAAGGATGGATGGATGGAGGGGGGAGGGGTGGATGGCCGAGATGTGGACAGGGCTGGCTTTATACCGCCATCTCTCCCATCTCGTTGAAACCAGGAGAGAGAAAGGGGAGGGTTAGAGGTAGATCTGCGGACTTTTTCTGTTTGTTTTGGGAACCATTGGGGGGTACTATTGGTGCATGGAGAGGGAGGGGCGAGATTAGAGGGATGGGGGGGGGATAGAGTTTGATAGAGATGGGTGGGGTTTATGGATTGGACGGGATAGGGGGGATTCTTCTTTTTTGGGGTTGGGTTTGGTGTGTGGAAGGTGGTTGGGTTGTATGTTTTTATATAATAATTGCAAGGGTCGTTTTTTGAGTGATTTTGTTTTGATTGGCTTTTGCCTTTTTTGGCTTTTTTGACTTCTTGATTGAGATGTTTGTGCGTGCATGTTGTTGTTTTTTTGGCTTGGTTGGTTGGTGGGGTGGGGGAGGAGGGGGGGGGGTTGTAGAGGGGGGGTTGTAGATAGTTTGTGGAGAGAGGGGTTTGTAGATTGTGAGAATGTGAGAATGGGTGAAGGGGGGGAGGAGGGGGAGGAGGGAGAGGAGGGGGAGAGTGTAATTAAGTTTGAATGAAATGAGAGGTTTGTGAGAAAGTTGGGTTCGTGCTATGCTGTCTCTGTGGTGAATAGAAGCGTGGACTCGTGGACTTCTTGCTGTTGGTTTGGTTTGCTGTGGTATCCTACACAGGCTCCTGGAGAATGCGTTAGGGAGATTTAGGGTGTGTGTGGTGTGATGAGATTGTTGGGGTTTGGGCTTTGTTTTATCTTGTTGTCGGTGTCTGTTTCCTCGTCGTGGAGAAGAGTGACTGTCACCTGACAACCCTCTTATACACGACGGTGCAGGGAGTTGTAGACGAAATTATATTATGATTCGCACGAAGCTGGAAAAGAGGTGAGGTAGGCTGGCTACCTTGTTACTGTTATAACATGTATAAGCTAGCCATCGTGTATTTTAGGCAGAAGCAACTTTCTGCCGATGAAATCAACCACCCCACGCGGATCGTTACCATGTTGATGGTCCCATCTTTCCAGCTCACTGCGAAGCTTCTCATACTTTCTGTCTACCATCGAGTCTGAATGACAAAGAGTGTTACTAATACCAGCCCCCCCCACAGCTTCCTTCACAAGAAACTACTCCACCACCATAGGTTTCGACCAGGTAATAATATCCGGAAGAAAGCCATTTTTCGATATCACGGCCATATCCATATTCGTCATCCGCTCAACATCGCGGTAACCCCTCGAGGACTCCTTTATCTTTAGTGCCCCACATGATGGTTAGACTGTTGCGTGATCTAGACTAGAGCTGCCCACTTGAGGCTCTCAGCACACAGCTTTAGATAGATCATCCTATCAATCGTCGGAGACACAGCTGTCGGAATCATCACCCCGCTCCAGAGCTGAGATTGTATTATGGATTATCTCTCGCCAATCCGGCCCGTCTTCACACTCCCAGATGTGTGCAATCTCTTTGCTAACATCCTCACTCACATCCGTCCACTCCCCCCCCCTACTCTCCTCATCGTGTCGTGAGAGCGTCGTGATATCAAACCGATGCCCCGCCCATACCCCACGACAGATATCCGCGCCGCAGCTCATGGCGACCCCATAGTCTGACGTCCAGCACGTGCGCGCCATGACCACCTCACCGAATCCCAGACCGTGGATGAATGGGCCGTTTATGTATTCGGGTTTTAGGGCTACGGCTGTGGGGAGAACGAACTCGTGGGTTGTTAGGTTGCGGAGGATCCAGGTTTGGCTGGCGGGGAAGTATGTCGAGTTTCTCATGACTAGCTCCGGGTGCTTGAAGTCGGATAGACGCTTCGATGAGCGGCAACGGCGCATACATGCGTGCAATGTGCGCGTGGATGTTTGGTACAAATCAACGACCTCTTCTATAGTACCCATAGGCTCTATAGCGAGATCATAGAGCGTTAACGGCTGGGCATCCGCGCTGGTATCTGAACCCGCGCTGCTGTCTAGACAGTTCCCATCGAATCCTACTTTCATCTGGTTTAATTCCTGTTCCTCTTCAGCGGAGAATAGATGCGGTGGATAGTCCCCCGCATCGACGTAGTCACCGATGCAGATGATGTTGTGGCCTGCCCAGCGCCCGAGGAGGGAGGTGTAGTACTGCTGGATGTGCTTGTATCCTATGACCCAGAAGTATCGACTTGTGACGCTGAGACAGATGAGATCCTCGATGGAGTCAAGGTGGGCAAAGATTAGTTCGTGCAGTTCTGGGGGGAGACTGGGGAATGTGGTTAGAAAGCTGGCTTTGGCCCCCTTGTCGAAATCACTGCTTGTAGTTGTCTCGAGTTTCTTAACCCTCTGGCTAGGCGCTTCGTCATTAGCTTGACGTTTCCCCGGTCTACTATGCACCACCGTCGGAGGGTCCTTGGCTGGGCCAGATGTAACCACATCAATGGCAGGGGGAGTGTATTTGGGTTCTGTTGGCACGAGTGTGGAGTCTAGGGAGCTAGAGGGGGGAAGCTGCGGTTCAATTGGGACGGCGAGGACATGGACAAGGGCTTTGGCCGTCCCGCCAAATAACATCTCCCGAAGCTTGCCTCCATTTCCTAACGCCCTCCTTAATCGAGGAGCTGAGATCATGAAGTATTGGCCCATGCTGTGGGTGTGGTGATGGCGATGGCGATGGCTTGATCGAGAACAGATGATAAATAATGTGGACGTTTTGCAGATAGGACAAGAAGGCTGGTCTGTGCCGCTGTACTACGCAGACGGAGTTGGAGGAGAGGGGTGGTGTGGTTGAGGCACTGTAAGAGATGGCTGATTGCGGCTTCCAAGCACAACTGTGGGAATTGAAGCTCACGTCAAACTCTTCTATGAGCTTAAAAGTGAAAACACTTCCATGTAGTACTATGGTGAACAAATCCAGTCACGCCATAAACGGAGGCTCTCTGCAAAGTAGGTGCGAAGGCAACGATACAACTGTTGTTTTGAAAATCGAGACTGGCCAACGGAGCTTTCGGACAGAAAACCTTCTACTTATGTATTTATGTATCACTCTTTTGTGAGTGAACAGAATAGGCAGCCTTGGTGCTTGTGTGGTTCGTCCTGCAGCTAATATTAACACGGCGACCTGCATGATGGTTGCTGTCACCCCTCTGTACCCCCCCAAGTGACATTGCTATGGTAGACCGCTCTGCCGAAACTGACTATATATAGATTTAACAGGGTAGAGAATGCAACAACGAGGCTGAACACATGCAGGTTCATATTTCAGCTTGACCTTTCTCTTTTCTAAAAGTTTCCACTACTCTGATAATACACATATCTTCTTTATCAAAATAGGAAACTATCCCGCAATGGTTCTCGAATTCCCAAACTCGCGCAATGACTGGAAATTAGACGCAGTTGGCCTCCTCGCTATCATTGGCGAAACAACCACAGAACCATGTGTTGAGCCTATGACAGCCTCATATCTCTGTCTCCTCCCCCGCCTCATACCGGCGCCTCAAGCACTTATTCGACCTAACCGCCGTCTCGCACTCTCAAGAGCGGATGCTATTGTGGCTGGTGTCTATCAGGGCATAGTGAGACCCCAGCTTTCATACACTGCCAATCAAATATCCCCAATCGCAAATATGGAACCTTTTGCTGTCCGTGTTCTTGATTGGGCAGCCCCCTGTGACAGGGAAGATGCCGGGAGGCGGCGGGAGGGGCGGGTACGCTCTTGGTTAGATGCGAGCTGGTTCTATGAAGCGAGGTCACCTTCCCTTTGAGTCGGTGGTTACAATAATAGACGCTTGCCCCTAGTATTCATTTTATCCTTCGATCCTTTGATCCTTCGATCCCTCGATCCTTCGATCCTTCGATCCTTATTCCTATGAGACCGCATGTCGTCCAGGTAACCTTCCATCTATCTGTTAACATCTTGTTGTGTGGTTTTAGTTGATGGCACAAAGTTTCTATAAGGTTGGCTTATGAGGTCCTAAGTTGATATTAAAGATTGAGTGAAGACTTGAATTGATTGTGATCTGTCTAATCTAATGAGTGGTTACTCGTGCCTTATATACACTAGGTTAAGCCAAAGGAGTGCACTAAATATAAACTCTCAAAGTCTATATTAATACCTAAACCTGTGCAGTGGGGTTGCAAAAATAACTGCCCGCGTATCTCTGACACTCGGATAGCACCGCTTTTGGAAGTCCATTCTACACCAGGAATGAAAGCTAGCCAACTAGGGTCCAAAACCAGTTAGTCGTTAGGGGCTGAGATAAGGTAATTTCCCAGATGCACGATCGTCAAAGAGGGGTATTCAAGAAGCCAGTGTCGGCAGCAGTGCCAACAGGGTGACGAAAGGTCTATATAAGCTGAAACTTAGTTCTATCCAAACCATATGAGCTGAACCCTAGGGAATAATGCCATTCAGCAGTATTTCAACACAGCATAGAACTGTGCCACCCACAGTAGGAGGCTGACCTGATGTAGCATGAATTACGGTATTGCAGTCCTGCCTCCTCAGTCGCGATACCCTCCTCAGACGCGATACCCCCCTCGGACTAGCCCCTCACTGGCCCAGATACGAGCTGAGCTTAACTACAAGCGCCTTCGATCTGCCTCGCGGCCCCACCATCGCCAATCCTCTACCACGAACTCTCGGAGACTGAGACGCTGCTGACCAGGGCGTTTGCAAGCTGCAGCATCCAACCAGTCGCAAAAATACCTCTACTCTCGTGCTTAGCCCACTGACTTGCTCGGCCTGCTGATGTGCTTGATGCTCGTCTCTAAGCAAAAGGGTATATATAGGTTCTCAGGTCCGAAGGAAACTCTCCTTCATCCATCATCATTCACAAGAGCTTTAGATAGTAGTTTCCACAAAGCGAAAGTTTGGGACTATTAAGATCACCTCAACTTTATCCTGCAATACCAAACACCCTCTCCCAATCAGCACCATGCAAATCAGCTTCATTCTCACTGCCGTCTTCGCTCTAGGCGCTGCTACGGGAGCCTCTGCCACTGCTAATCGTAAAGCCAATGAGTTTACAAGCGGTAACTGGTAAGCCTTCTACACCTACCTCAACCCACATATCCCATTTCATCTATAACCTACGAGTTATACGAATGCAACGCTTACTAACTCCCGCTTCCTTTCTCGCAACAGTGCCCAAGGAACCGCCTCCTATGAGCATCAAAGCAACTACAACGTCGACGTCACGATGGACGATACCAGTCATTCCGTCTACTTTGCCTCCGGGCCCTGGTTCTACTACGGCGGCAAGACCGGGAACGGCGGCAGGTGTACGGGCGATTTGCTAGGAAGCTGGGCGAACGATAATAGTCATCCATGTGTGAATTTGGATCGAAGGGGTGCTGACGGTCGTCGTATTAAGTGCGTTAAGTGGAATAATGGGATCTAAGTTAAGGTCTTATAGGGAAATCTAATCTATTAGATGAATAGTAGTATGAAGCTAATAGGGCTAAGGAAGTTAAATGGAATGAAGTTTAAGATATATCTTTTTTGTCTCTAAGTCTAATTTTATACACCATCTCTACATAATTCTTAAAAAGGATAATGTTGTTTAGCCTTTATTATCTATCTAAGTTTAAATTTATCTACTAAGATTATATCTATACCCTAAAAGGCATAATCCTTTAGAGGCCCCTACATAAAAATTGGCAAAACTGTATTAGCGCTCATTAGAGCGTTGATCTTTAGTTGGTAGTCTGTCTCTTGATCTTCACATAGATCATCTTGTATCCAAGATGATTCAATCATTCTCCTTATTGACCGTATATTGTCAGTGTCCCGTCTTTTTAAAGCCTTGGAAAAAAATTCGTGGATAAGAAGCCTTTGCTCATCTGATCTAGCTTCACATCCAATTATGAACAGCGGCCACACGCTCTCACAGTATTCAAGCTGTTTGATAATACTAAAAGCGTTTCTGAGGACACTTTCTGTTGGCTGAAAGCCCACTCGAGATCTTCGGCCGCCTCGGTGAAGATAAACGAGTCCGGCTAGTCTGTAGAGCTCGGCAACTAGGTCTGTTCGTTTTTGCTCTCGAGGTGTAGTTGTGGTAAAGTCGTTATGCCGGCGTATTGATATGAGACGCAGCTCTATAGAATCTAACTGTTGCTTATGTTCTCCAGACAGGAAGTTGGGGTGAGATCGAGGCAGCACAGCAGAACAAGTAAGCGAAAGAATATCCAAAAACTCGAAAGAGCAGCCTAGGAAGCTCATGATCTTCGATCGTCAGTAACAATAGCGCCAACAGTTTAGCTAAGATCGCTAGAAAGAGCATACCCGTGATCTATCAGGGATGAGTGAGTAGATATTCCGGAGCTGCGGATCTTCTGCACACGGCTGACGATACACGCACGACTCAGATTGACGCCAGTGAGATGTGCTGAACTGGGCAAGTATAGTATGGCAAGATAACCAGTCGAGTAGAAGTACTTCGTCACTACCCAAAATGCGCGGGAGAGACATCGCTTTCGCAAGTTTAATTGCCCCACACACAAAGAAGGCCCAACCATCAGCAGTATCAGTGCTACTGGAGATCTATTTATGACTTAGCTGTCTATGCATGTAGAAGAACTTTTCATCTTACCTTATACCAGCCTAATAACAGGCTGGCAGCTAGACACTGCAGGTGCTCACTGAGGTGCATCCCTTCTTTCACTGAAGCTGCGAGCATCGAGATTGCCTTGCTCTTGAATAGAGAGGCTTCTGCGCCCCCGTACAATTTCAATGATGACAGTGCTAGAATCCCTTGTAGTACGGCACTAGATGCCGGTGTTTCATCCTTGAGGGCAATTCTCAAGAGGAATTGGGAAAATCTACTGTCGTCTCCAAATGGGGCCAATAGGTGCGGCACCATAGTTGTAACTATATTTGATATTAATATGTTAGGATTCACGTTAATTGGAATGGGACAAGCAATCGCGATGACTTACAATACGAGAGAATCATCTGTCTGTCGGCACCGACTCTAGGTATGGGTGATAACTGACCAGGCACGTCATTCGACCACACATTAAAGTGCGCCGCTATTGTTCGTTAGCAAACTTGCAGGAATGGCGAGCAGCGAGAGATTTACGAGAAAGATGCTTCTTCTCCAATTCCACCTGCAAGGTTATGTCCCATCGGGACATATTCACAAAGATAGCTCCACCTTCAGGTAATACCTGATTGGGGAGCGCGTGCTGACCAGTGATAAATCGACGGGCGTCCCTTGGCTTCGGCCACGATAGTCGAGTGGCTAGACGAATGCATTCTCTTTTTGACCTTGTGCAATTAATACAAATCGGGAAAGACCTATCACACCGGACTTTGCGATCTGCTACAACGTTAGAAGACAAGTTACTTTCGATCAGGGAGATGCCTGAGAGGCTCTATGAAACTCATTAAAGACCTTTGCATGTCCAACAAGCTTGCTGCTTGCTGTCTCGTGATTCGCCATCCATTGCACGTGAATCAAGGTCGAAAATCGTCAAAAGCACGAGGTTCTATATCACCATCACAGACCCGCTGGGGCCTCGTATGATCTGGGGGATTAATGTACCAGAATGATGCGGCATGTCGTCAAGGAGAGAGATGAGGTGGCTCGTCGCGCCTACTGCGTTATTACCAATCTTCAGCTTAGTAATCTTATTCGTAGCCATAGTTATCAAAAGGGTCTTTATCATTGACTACGTCATCTCTCAGTGGTCATCTGCCGTACTTAACTAACTTAGCCTTAATGACAAAATAATAAATACTATTAACTATCAAGATAAATTGCTATCTAATCTAAGCTGTTTCATCCTACTTCTAAGTCGCTTTTATCAATAGATGTCTCCACAGACAAGGCTATATGATAGATGGGTATTCTTCCCTTGCAGTAATACACATTTTTTACTAACGCAAACTATTAATGATACACGTTCAGAATTCAAATTGACAGCCTCTAAGGGCAATCAAATATCCCTCCATCAGTCGCACACATGCATTAGATGCATACTATGAACATCAAAACCGGTATTAAGCGGCACCAGCTATGGCGTCGACCTTTTTTTCTTTCAGGGAAATAGTCCAATCAACAGCCGCAACCCCCTATGATGGAAACTGCAGCTAGTGCTACAGCCGCATACCACGTTTGAGTGATCGTGTGGTTATATGCGACCAGAACACCTGGCAAGTACTGAGGAGTAATAACGTTCTTAAGCGCTGTTGCGCCTGTTGATGAAACAATATAGGGTGATAGGCCAGGAACGGCATCCGCCAAGTTCTGCACCAGCAGATTTGAGAAGATGGTATCAGAGACAGAAACGAAGATGGCACCTCCCAGAGTCTGTGCAAAGACAACCAACGCCATTGCAACAGGAATATCAACGGGCGGTACCGCTACCTGAACAACGACAAAACAGACTTGCATGCCTGCTCCGATCCCCATGCCGTAGAGAACCTGATATCCAATCCATGAAGCATGGCCACTATCGACGTGGAAAGTTGTGAGGAGGCCGACACCGACGGAGGAAACTACAGATGGGAATAATAAAAATGGGCCATAGTAGCCAGAGGCGGTAATGCCGCCCCAGGAAATGAAGGTGCAGATGATGACTGCAAGGACTATCGGGATGTTCATAACGCCTGATTTAATAGGGGAGGCGCCTTTAATTGCCTGGAACCAAATTGGGATCTTCAAGAGAGTATCATTAGCAATGGAATTCAGATTAGAGCAGGGAAGAGACTCACAAAGTATACAACGACAAAAAACGATGCGCCGAGTGTGATATTGAAAACAACAGAACCCCACACGTTGCGGACTTTAAAGATTCTTGGATGCACTGTCGCATTCTCCCCTTTCCAAAGTTGGACCAGGACAAATCCGACAAAGAGTACACCAAATAAAACAAAAAGGGCGATGACCTTGGCATTGGCCCAATAGTATTTTGAGCCCCCAAATTGCAGCGCTAGTAGCAGGCAAACTATTGATGGTACGAATAATAGAGTACCAAAGGCATCAAACTGGTTCAATTGTGCTCGCCATCCAAATTTTGGCTTCGATGTCCTCCCGGGAGACTGAAAGTAGAACCCAATAAAGAACGCTGTTACGCTACCAATAGGCAAATTAAGATAGAAGCACCATCTCCAAGTAGCTTTATCCGTGAGAGCGCCCCCTATCAGTGGCGCAACGACAGAAGCAATGCCAACATAGCGCCGATGAGAGAAGTGTAGGTAGGGCGTTGGCGTAGAGGAACGGTTCTGGAAATGATAAGCATTGCGCCGGAGAAGATACCGGCGCCACCGAGGCCAGCAATTGCACGACCGACAATGAGAGCTGTAGAGTTGGGTGCGACACCACAAACAACTGATCCGAGCTCGAATATAGACAAGGCAATCAGATACACTAATTTAATGTCGTAAAATGTATAGAGCTTGCCGTATATCAGCTGGGGAGCGCAGCCGGCAAGTAGCTATGCCGAAGCATACCATCCGACATCATCCAGGGCGTGGAACTCGTCCGTAATGCGAGGAATGGCAGTCGCTATGATCGTGTTGTCGAGAGAGAAGCACAGAACTGACAAGCAGAGAGCAATCTGTTGGTTGATATTATTAGGAAGGTTCTTCGAAGTATCAGAATAACAGGAGTACGAACTGTGATAATGACAAGTCGGGTTCCATGTGGATAGTCGGCAATCTCATCCTCCTTTGGTGTCGTCTCCACAGCCTCAGATGAGACCACTGCCTCACCTTCGCTCTTTAAATTAGCTTCCAGTGGTTTATCATCTAAATTATTATTTTCTGAGGCTGTGCCTAGGTCTTTTCGGTCGTTCATGATGATGGTTTGGTTGACATCTCTGTGTTAAGGAGGGGAAAAAATGATTGTAGTAGAACAGATTAGTGATGAACAATTACAGGAATAATGAGAAGAGACTTTCTACCTCTCGTGCCAGGTATTTAAGAAATATGCTCGCACAAATTTGCGCTACTGATTGTTGATAAACATTGCAAAAATTTGCGAGCTTTAAGCTTTGGAGCACGGCAAATAATGCTTACATACCTCCTGAGGTCGCCCTACTCTTAACTTTAATTCTAATATCGAGCCGTGACACGATTTCGTCATCATTTACCATGTACTATGCCCTGCACCTAATTAGTAACCTTGCTTATGAGACATTGGCAAGTATTTGCGGGTGATTGGTATGTCTTGCACCAGATAATTGGCGATCTTGCTTATGAAACGTTGGCAGGTATTTGCGAGTGATTGCTAAGAGCCGCCATGACCAGTTGCACCTAACACGAAAACACGACACGAACGTTACCAATCATTTTATCGCAATGCTTTAGCGTAGAGAGATGAACGATTTGCACCATTTTTTACCCGGCGCTGAGAATCCCGCCGACTGCTAATGATGAACAGTATAAAAGGGAGAGGGAGCATCCTCCGCAGCTCGAACCTCCTCTGCACTGTACGAAGCAAACGAAACTATGTCGAAGTATCTTCTTGATCTCACCAACGAATTTTCCGGGCTCCGGGCTCTCGTGACTGGCGGCTCCCGCGGTATCGGTGCAGCGGCGGCGCAGCGCCTGATTGATGGCGGCGCGAAGGTCGTGGTTACAGCCCGCAACTCCCACGAAGAAACACCAGTAGGCGCCATCTTCGTAGCGGGTGATACCCGTACAAAAGAAGGCGCAGCAGCTGTAGGGCACGCCGCGCTTGAGGCTTTGGATGGCAGGATCGATATCCTGATCAACAGCGTCGGCGCGGCTCGGCTTCATGCCAGCCTGGAAGCAATTCCCGATGATGAATGGATCGACTCGCTGAATATCAACTTCCTGGCAACTCTCCGGGTGACGGCCGCAGTGCTGCCGGCATTGAAGCAGTCGAAGCACGGCGCTATTGTGAACGTGTCGGCCGGTGGCCTGGTTCCATTCGCAGGCGCAATGGCGCATTACGGCGCGGCCAAGGCAGCGCTGAACAACTACTCCCAGGGCCTGGCTAAGGAGCTCGCGCCGCTGGGCGTTCGTGTCAACATCGTGACGCCCGGCCCAATCTACACACCCGGCGGCGATGAGGTGCGCAAGCAGATTACCACTGCCATGGGCATCACCGACCAGCAGTTCATGTCCACGGTACCACTGCAGGGCCGGGGAGGCAAGTCGGAAGAATTGGCTGAGGTGATCGCCTTTCTCGTTTCCGATCGCTCATCGTATGTCACCGGCCACAATCACTTCGTCACCGGCGGCTGGGGCGAACTGGTCTGAGCCTCCCAGACTGGGCTCACCAAGGTCCGACCTGTACCCGTCTCCGCAGCGGAAGAGTCATCCCCATAACAATTGCTGGGATGTGGGGAGACATAGCTAGACTGTTTCGGATTGAACGTAGCCTAACTTGGATTAAATGAATCGTACTCAAGCCAAGCCCGTATTGACAAAAAAGACTTCACACTGTGATTTGATAGTTCAATGTCTCTACCCGAGGTTATCATCTGAAACGCGGAAACAATGTGCAATTCCGCGATTGATGCCCAACCTTGCGGCACGAGGTTACGGAAACAAGGAACAATTTGCGAACCTTAATTCTACCATAGTTCGATTTATGGAGCTAGCTTACGGAAGGTGGGTAACAATTTGCGAACCTTGATTCTGCCACTAGTTTGATTTATGGAGCTAGCTTACAGAAGGCGGGCAACAATTTGCGAACCTTAATTCTACCACTAATCGTCATGACCAAATATTCGCTTCGCTCATAGTTGGAGGAAGCGACAGCGTGGTCTGGAAGTGACTGCACTGTTTGGCGTTCGCGGCTACTAATTGCCTTTTCGTGGTGCTTTATGTAGAGGGGTACATAAATTCGTTATCTTAATGAATTCTCACATCGTTGCTCTCACTCGCTCTTGCTCCCACTCTCGTACTTACTCCAACTCTCTAACTCTCACTCCTACTCTAGAGCCTATTCTCGTGTCCACTCTCGCTCTCGCTCTCGCTTAGAGCTTCTAAATCTAGTAATGGATCCTAGTCCCTTTGAGGAATTAGAGGGTACATGCAAAAGTACCTGCAAATTTAGCTTTTGGGGGACGCAGTTCACTTCTGCAGCGCACATTGCTTGCTACAACAATTATAAGCAAAGCGAATATTTAGTCACAACAACTAGTCCAATTTGTGCCTTTAAGAAGTATCCAATTGGCAGGCAAAATGGTTCCCAGATCTAAACAGAACTGCATTAGATCCCTAATTTAAGATTGCCATTAAAAGGCACAACGTCTAAGTCCAGCCGTGCTCTCACTTCTCCTCCTTGACTTGAACGAGCAACTTGCCTACAGTTAAGTCATAGTCAGCGAATCATGAACTCTCCCAACAAATTGTCAGCTCGTAGGCTTACCAGTGTTGGTTCCTGTGAATATGCCAGCGAGCGCCTCTTCAGCAACAGCCAGCCCACCTTTGATAATGGTCTCGCTACGCTTCAGCTTGCCTTCTGCTAGCCACTGTGCGAGAATCTTGGTGGTAACAGAAAATTGATCTGCATATTCGTTCATAAAGTAGCCTTGTAAGCTTGGTAGAAGTTAGCCCTATGTAATTTGGTTTAAGAGACAGCAATGTACCGAATGCTCTTAAAAATGATGTCCAGATAGTTCTATCGTAGTTGCGATTGTCAGCATATGCTAAAATAAAACATTCGTGGCAGAGAGAGTTACCTCAATTATCGCTGTATTTCCAGAGTTATACAAACTGGTGGCTATAAAGCGTCAGCAATCAACCTCTTGCCTAATAAGAGTAACGCCTAAGCATACCACCACAAAGAACAAATCTTGCTCGCGGCTTTGCCCTACTCAATGCAAGATCCAAAATCTTGCCACCGACATTGTCAAAAAAAACATCGATGAGCCCATCCGTCTTTTGCTCAAACTTCTTTGCAAAATCTTTGTCTTTGTAATTCAATGCATCACAACCCAGCTCCTTCAAATAGCTGACCTTGTCATCCGTCCCCACAGTACCTAGCACTTTTGCGCCCTTTAACAAGGCAATTTGGCAAGCAGCAGTCCCAATTGCACCAGCAGCACCAGAAATAACGACAAAGTCGCCAGCCTTGATATCTGCCTCTTTAATTAAGCCAAAATAAGCACATAATCCTGAGAATCCCAGAACTCCTAGGCTGTCGGTAAGTTTGGCACCATTCGGAAGATTTATCGGAGTCACGTTCGCAGCATCAGTAATTGCAAGCTCGGCCCATCCAGCATTGAACGTGAAAACCTTCTGTCCTACGGAGATGGTTGGGGCCTTAGAAGCAAGGACGTTTGCAATTACAACCCCAATCATAACAGCCCCAACTTCCACAAAAATTTCTACCGAAGGGCGATAGGAGCCTGAACCTGTGTCTGTTAGCTTCATGGATGAAGATACGGCAGCCGAATATTCCTGGATAATATGAAGCCTAGGCTGAATTCCTGCGTGCGTACGTACCTTCTTCGATCCATCCTCGCATTGCTGGGTCGATGGAGATGTACAGTGTCTCCAAAAGTACTTGACCATCTTTAAGGTCATCCGCTGTAAGGATTGGGTTCGTGGCCAGTTTGAAGGTCTCGCCAGGGACAATGTTCGTTTTTGGGTGCTTTGCTAGGATAAGGGATTGGAAGGTGGTTTTAGCCATGGCGAAATAATATTTGAACGGAGAAAAGGCGTTGTCCTACTTTCTTTCTAATATACTACGTTGCCCTTATATACTATGGCACTTGAGCGTCTGAGCTAGTGCTAAATTATATCTGGCCCATTAATATCACATGATTTGTAATGCCAGGTTATTACACAGCCCGTACGACCAAAAGAGGTACAATTCGCAAATTGTTGCTAGCCTTACCTAATCTAGTTCCACAAAGTGTCCCACAATTCGGAATACTATATCAGAAATAAGGTTCGCGAATTGTTGCCAGCCTTCCGTAATCTGGACCGTAAGGCTAAGTAATGATTGGTTGCATCATATCGAAGCTAAGATAGTACGGATCGCATGATCAGTCTTAGTGAAAGACCTTATATTGAATATAGGCCTTGTTAACGGAGGAAATTGGATTTGTAATTTGACCTCATTTGTCAACGTCAAAACTATTGAGGAAGTGTATAGTAAAGGCGAGAACAAATCACACAGGATAATAATTCATGTGTTAAAGTGGGGCAATGATCTGAGTATTAATTACAGACTTACTAAGTTGTTGCAAGTATTTCCGGCTGGTCTCTGAACGCGCGTAGTTTACTAAAATCTCTAACTACATTAGAAGTCTGGAATCGGAAATATTTAAAAAGAATATATTCGAGGTCTATTTTCAACCCCTTGATCCAAATATGGGCGACAAAGTTGCTGTTATCTTTGGTTTTGGTCTCAACGTTGGAGTCGACGTTGCGCAAGCCTTCGCAGTGCAAGGCTACAAAGTTGCCGTGGTTTCACGCTCAGACAAACATGCGGGCGGCATAGAGGGATACCTTCGGATTCAAGAGGACCTCAGAGACCCGTCTTCTGTTGAAGTTGTATTTGCTGCAGTTGTCAAAGAACTTGGCCATCCAAGCGTCGTGGTCTATAATGGTATGTAACCATTCGGTTCCGCTAGGACTGTACAGTGAAATTATGCAGTGAAAGCAAAGAAATATAAATAACTCAATACTTCAATAGCTTCTGCTATCAGCATGAATCCGTCAACCACTCTCGATCAGCAAATTTCCGCTTTTCAATCAGACAACAATATCAATATTGTTTCTGCCTATATCGCGGCGCACTTAGCTATAAAATCCTTCGCTTTGCTACCCCAAAGCTCGTCCAGAACGTTCATTTATACTGGTAACAAGCTTCCTTTTATGGTTGTACGCCCGCTGTTAGCCCAAGGAGTGGGCAAAGCAGGCGCTGCTCATTTAATTCACTATTTAGCAGAAGAATATAAAGACCAGGGTTACAAGTAAGCCCTCTGAGTGATTTTGCACAGGTGCCGGCTGTCTAATTTACTGACAATACTAGATTTTACTTCGCTGATGAGCGTACACCAGATGGAGACCCGGTTTATTCTGCGATTGATGGCCCTGCCCATGCTGAGTTCTATACTCAGCTGATTGAGGGCAATACCCGGGCTCCTTGGAATGCTACCTTTGTCAAGGGACAAGGCTATGTTGCCTTTCCTGAGAAGATAGTTCACGATGCTGTCGTTATGGATTTGGAATTACCTAATATTGTGTGAGGATAATTCGAGATCCAGTCGTTCTCGAATTTGCTTGACCGATACGGAGGAGGTATTCATGAGTTTTGTCCTACGCTAGTAACGCCGCTGTTTATAATTCAATTTATGCGAAGTTATTCAATCTGCCCGCCCCTCCTTGTACTCGTTACCACCTTTAAGCTCAATGACCTTCTGTATGTGCCGACGAATCCTCTCAATCCACGCTTGGATTTGAGCTTGTAGGAGGTCTTCGAAACAGCTCTCCCACGGCGGTACTACCTCCGCTCTGCTTTGCAGTGCTCCCTTCCGTGTAGTACATCGCTTCATCCATGGCCAACATAGCTCAATTATATTAAGGTCAGGTGAATTAGGACACCAAAATAGCCGTTAAATCCTATTGCTGAATATAGCGACTATGTAATGGGGCGTTATCCTCTTATACAAGAGTTTGAGGGTGACTTTTCGTACACCCTTTTGCAAATGGAAAGAGTTTTGGAATAATAATCTTCTTTTAGTAGCGATACTAATCAATTCTGCCCTCTCCTGCTTATCAACTTAACTTTCTATTTTTTGATTCCATCTCCACTGTGGTTTTGTACCAGGAAGATTACGGAGTGACATTCTTCGCATTCTATTTGCAAGTTCCCATTCTCCACGTAGGATAGGCTCTAACTCTTCATTCATTACGTTAATTTCAATTTCTGCGTCTCTCTTCTCTTTTTTCCTACTGCTCACCCAGCCTCTCGAGTGGTATCTTATAGCTAATAGCATCGCGCACCATCAGTCGACCCTAAAGCGCCTAGTCCTTCACGAGAGAATTATTTCAAATGGCGAGGTTGTGGATGGTGGTATCCCGTGGTACAATTCAGGATCAGTCGTTTGTCAATCGGCGCTAGAATACGCTAACCCGGACACCAAAAAGCCGAAATCTAGCTTCCCAACCGTGCACAAAACTTCAAAATTTCTAGAATTATAGAAAATCGTTAAATTGCCGGTGCAGTTTGCAAACTTATTACTTCAATAGTCTTTTTATTATTCTTAATATATTGATACGAAGTATAATAGTTTTTTTTCAAGTCTACCTGAAACGGGGCTTAATAGGGAGATCCTGCAGCCTTATTAATAAGGTTGTGATATTAGTCAAGATATGCACGAGCCACAACCTTATGTCCATCACTTTGGGGCTGGTCTACCATTGTTTGGTGGGATCGATTTCGTCTCTTCACGCTGCAATAGAGCCGTAGCATGTCTCTAAACTTTGATTTCACATTAAACTATTCATTTTTATATTCTCATTCCCATCGTTTTCTCCCTCATCCTAGGCGGGCGTGCTCTTTTAGTTCCCTCCTAGCCGCTGTCACATCGCTAAATAGAGCAAAGCGAGCACCCTTAACGGCAATATTAGCTCAAGACGACCCCTGAAACACTTACCCAAGACAACACACCTGCCCATCGCAGATTATCCGGTACGGATCCGCCCGCATTGTAATTATAAATTGGATCCTTTACCTTTTTACAATTGGACAGAACATCATGAAGGTTCATTTACGTCCGCGGAGACAATCCTACCTCTTCGCAGCCTTGTCTAATCCCCAATTAACCCTCAGCTTTCCCTTGGCAGCTGTCTCCAGCCTTACCTTATAATCCAGCGCGTCCCCTGATGTACTCTGACAGGCACAAGAGACGGTATACCGTCCAGTCACAACAGCAACGCACCTCGCCATCATGAGAAACCCGCTAACGTCGTGGTTGGCTCGCGCCGTGTTGACTTTGCTGTTTGCTACCGGACTTGCGGCATCTAGCTTCCTTCCGACGGGCACCACCTACTGGTTTTTTCAACGTTGTATGTTGCGATAGAATTCGGTTCATGCGCATTTTACTGACTGGCGCGCTAGCTTTGGTTGCGAAAAATTGGCTGTATATTGACGGCGGCGAGATTTGGGGGACATGGGGCCATGCCGGCGCCAATGCCAGTGTTCAGTGGAGTATGTCATGTCGCATTGTGCTGAACCGATTGAGCAAAGCTCATAACTGACATCCCTTAGATGAACAGACCTTCGCGATCGACCTCTCCAAATCTTGGACGACAGACTCGGTTGTCCCTGTCAAGTCGAATAAAACCTCAAGCGTACCACTTGGAAAGCGACCTGACTTGTGGTACGACCCAAAAAAAGACACGGTTCTATCCGTAGCTGGTCTGCAATATAAAAAAAACGGAGGCTCCTTTTATTTGAGCCCCCCCCAAGAATGGGAGTTCCAACCCAAAGACGATGGAAGCGTTAGCTGGTCTCTCCACACCGGAGACTCGGACGGCCCTGCTGCACATCTTCAAACCTGTTCTGGACAATATGTAACGACACCCGACGCTCACTTTATACATGGAGGCTTCTACTATAGCTACGGCGACAATGGTAAAACCATTAGCCAAGCATTGGATCAGATGTTTATCAGTAACTTTACTTCGGACAAATACGAAAATACGACATTGTCGAATACCCTGAATACCCTTCGAACCGACGGCGAGGGACAGTACGTTCCGGTCTTTGGGACTGACGGGGTCATACTCTATTTTGGGGGCCAAACTCCTACAGACCCCAGTATGCGTACCTTGGTCCCAGCAGCACTCGACGTAATCACAGTCTATGATATCGGATCTAAGAAGTTTTACCAGCAAGCGGCGACGAATGCGCCTGCTAGTCGTATGAATTTCTGCTCCGCTTCTGCAGGTACGCCAGGTAAGAACGGGACGTACGAGATGTTAGTTATTCCGGACCTTCTATTGCACACTGTTTCTAATATCTGCACAGTTTCATATTCGGAGGGAGATATTCCTCGTTCGATCATGGGGAGCGTAAAGATGAAGTTCTGCAAAAGGTATTCATCCTTACCTTGCCAGCCTTCACATGGATAGAAGCGCCCAACCAAGCGGAGCATTGGCGCACGACACATACTTGCGCCCGAATAAATAATCGCCAAATGATCAGCATCGGTGGTATCCCAGGCGATAATCTGGGTAATATACCCTCGATGACGGAGGGGGACGCATTGCCGAACGGACTGGTTCTTTTCGATATGACGACTTTGGAGTGGACGACCAAATACGACCCTAACGCCGCGGCCTATAAGCCAGCCGATATAGTGACAGCCAGCTATAAGGCGACGGGGACTTACCCTCAGCTATGGAATGACCCGGCACTAGAGCAAATCTTCGTGAGAAAGGATGCTTCCCAGAACCCATCCGGAACCTCAACGGGAACATCTACGGGAACCTCTACGGGAACCCCAACTGGAACCCCAACTGGTATTGGTAGTAATGACAAGTCGACTTCGACTAATATAGATGGAGAAGCTCCGAAATCCAAAGCGCCCATTGGAGCCATTGTAGGGGGCGTCATCGGAGGCGTGGCTGTTCTTGCCATTCTCGCGGCCGTCATCTTCTTCTGGCGGCGTAGAACACAACAGCAGAAGAACGTACCCCAAATCGGTCCACAGAACAAGGAGTATTACTCCGTTTCACAAGTACCACACGATACGAGTGAAATGTGGACTATGGGTAACATTCCCGAGACGTCGGGGAACCCCATCCACGAACTACCAAACTCGGTCAAGAAATTTGAATTGGGACCGGGGAAATAGAATATAAATCTATATACAAACATAACAGTAATTAATGGAGTTCAAACAACTAATAAAAATTCTCATTCTGATCACTGGCAGAGCCCGTTGAACCTGGACAACCTGGGAAAGCGAGCTGGATAAAACAGCGACGGAAGCTGCCCCTTTCAGGAGCCTCCCAGCCGTCATATCGTTAAATATAGAGTATCATTTACTCTCACTGCAGTATTTTATAAGTTGTAATCATAGCAATTATACTCACCATCCTAGTTACTAAGAAATAGAACCAAGTTTAGAGATCCTACTAGTACTCTTAGTCCCGCACGACTAGCCCAAGTGACGCATTACCCACCATTCTCACTCCCGCATACTTATCACACCACCACCGCTTCCCCAGTGCTTCTCCAACACTCCAACACCTACACCCACCATGCCAGCAACCCCTACAACAAACCTCAACCCCCCACCCCCATCCCTACCCACCCACCCCTTTACCTCCATCCGCAAAACCCGCTCCATCATCGCCCAGCAGCTCGACCAACTATGCTTCGGCACCTCCCGCACCCAATACCTCCTCTTCTCCTCTCTCCCCCCCTCCCGCTTCACCACCCTCTCCCTAGGGCGCTACGACGGCCGGCACACCCTCCCAAAATGCGTGCGCCTCACCTACGACGCCGGGAAGGAGGAGATGGTAGCTAAACTGATGGGGGAGGCGAGACTGGAATCTTCGGACCGGCTACTTGAGTGGTGGATTTTCTCGAGGGCTAGGGGTATGGGAATGGATTGGGAGGAATTACTGCCTGAAGGTGCGACGACGTGTAGGAAGGAGGGGGTGGAGAGGGAGCCGGATTCATCGTATAGACCGAGGGGGAGGGGGAGGGATGGGTGGCCGACTGTAGTTACCTTAGTTGGGTTTAAGGAGGTGGTGGAGGGGCTGAGGTGGGATGCGGGGTGGTGGGTTGGGGGGTCAGAGGGGGAGGTGAGGGTGGCGATTATTATTATTTTGGGTCTTGATGAGCGGGAAATTGTGTTGGAGACGTGGGAACCATCCCGGGATGAGACGAAGAGGGTTACGAGGTCGGCTGCGAAGCAAGTCACTCGGACGCAGGAGGTGTGTATTTCTAAGGATGAGGTTGAGGGTGCACCGCTGGTGTTGGGGTTTGAAAAGGTGTTTGGAAGGGCTGCTGGGGAGGGGGAGGGGGATATTGTGTTTTCGGCACAGGACCTGGGGCAGTGGGCGAGGAAAGTCTGGTTGGATGATGAGGACTGAGTGTTCCGTAGTGAAGTGGTAGGAATGCTAGTTTTCGTCGTCTAGAACAAGGATACTGGGTCTATGATACGGACGGTCTTGTAGCTTGGAGGGGGGCAGGGTGGGTAAGAGGAGGGGGAAGTCACTGTTGGGTCGGCCGTCGTGGTGGGAATTATATAGGTCTGTCTTCGGATATCTACTATTAAGTCTACCATGCATTCATCACCCATCATCTATCATCCATCCATCCATCCCGTCATTACACATACCCCCCGTTCCCGTCATAATCACTCATCACTCATACTCCCATACCCCGCATCCACCTCCTCCTCCCCACCCCCACCAACAACAACACAAGCCCTCACAACACTAACACACACCCCAACCACCCCCTCTCTAACACTCTTCTCCACCTCCTCACCCTCCGGACCACCAATACCAACACGCAGATTTCCAGCGAGTGTTTCCATCGCCTTCCCAGCAATGGCCCCATCCTCACCACCCTTAACCTGCAGCGTGCGCAGTACGGCATAACACGCTGCGAACCCTAGCACCGAGTTCGGCCGCGCTAAGCCTTCAATATCTACCAAAGCCCTTAACCTGGTCACCGGATACGCAAGCCGCTGGAGTGTAGACGCACACGCGAGCGCGAGGTGTACGTCCCCCTCCACTGCACTCATCGTCGTCCGAAGAAGCAGTCCCTTCGGCGCCAACGGCCCCGTCTCCGGCGGCGGATCACGCGCCGCAGCCTCCGCTAACGCGAGTCCTAAATTCTCCTCCCTCTCAGCAGAGGAGGAAGCGAAGAGCGCCAAAGCCGTAAGGACGCGGAGATGCGGTGTTGATCCCGGCGGCGCAGTAGCGAGGGCGGTGGATAATAGTTTGCTAAGTGTTGGCGAGGAGGAAGAGGAAGGTAGGAGCGATGATTCTAACGCGGTGTGGAGGGTGGAAGTGGAGAAAGCGGCGGCTAGTACATCGAGGGGGGAGCGGATGGCGCGATCTTCTGCGGGGAGGGGGGGCGTGTTATATGTCAACGCGTGAGCGGTTTTGATAGCTGCGTCGGAGAAGACCGCCTTTGCGGGCTGCGCGAGGAGGGCGAGAAGGTGTGGTGGTAGCGGTTCTGTGGAGACGTCTGTGCCGGAGGCGGGGAGGGCCTCAGTGATAAGCTGGAGGGCGCGGGCTGCGGACCATTTCTTTCGAGCCAGGTGCGCGGCGAGGGTAGGTGATAGGGGGAAAGGGGCGTTGTGGAAGAGGATACGGATATGTAGCGCCTGCAGCATCAGCCGCGCCGGTGTAGCGGGAAGGGTAGCGGAAGCGAGTAAAGTGAGCGTCAGTCTTGCGCGCGAGACAAGGGGATCGCCTCCGATGAGCTGGGCGTCTAGGGCGATAGACCAAGCTTTTATGCGAGCTGTTTCTGAAGGGGAGGAGGAGCCGGTGAGGAGTGCGTAGGCGGGCGCGCCGACGAGGGTTAGGAGGGTGAGTTTTGTAAGTTTTAGGGTTAGGGCGGCGAGGGAGAGGAGGGGTGTTGGGGCCGGGATCCAGATTGTTTGGAGGGCTGTGAGGAAGGCGCGGCGGCGGAGGCGGAGGGGGGAGGCGATGGTGGGGGCCAGGGAGGCGAGAGTTGCGTTGGCGGTGGATTTTGGGGAGGAGGGTGGCGGTGCGCGGCGGAAGAAGGAGGGGAGGAAAACGGAGAGGAGGGCGCCGAGGAGGAGGAGGAAGCGGAGATAGGAGAGGGTTTGGGCGGAGGAGGAGTGGTGGCCGAGGATGTTGATTTCGCCGGATGATTTGAGGAATTTGGCGGCGTTGGTGAGTAGTTGGGTTGGGAGGGCGAAGAGGCCTCTTTGTTCGGAAGGGCCGCCGGAGGAGTGGGATTCGCTGAAGTTGTCGAGGACCATTAGGCCGGCGAGGGAGCCGACCATTATCTTGCCGAAGTATGCTCCATTCCCCCCCCATGCGTTGGTGCCGCCTTGCGCCCGATTTGGTAGGGGTTGTGGCTCTTGGTGGATTTGATATGCTTGCTGGTTTATTGGTGGAGGGCGGTGCGCTCTTCTGAAGTCTTGTGGAGGCCCAACAACAACACCGTGGTTGCCATTTGGAGCAAGTTGTCCGTTGGGGAGTTGTCGATTCGACATTTGTCCGCTATGCATTTGTGTGTTCGGCATTTGTCCGCCCATTGGCCCGTGGCCGCCTGTGAATCCCATTTGTTGTTCGAAGTTGAATTGATTGTTCGGGGGCGGTGTCGGATTGGGTGTCATATTGAAGCCCATCGAACCAGATAGGAATAGTTTCTCGAATGCGGCCACGCGGGCCTTCATAGACTCGTTCTCTTCTGCCAGGCGCTTTGATCGCTTTTCTAGATGTCGAATGTATTCTGTTGCTTTCGATAATACGGTTGCCTTTGTCACATTAGCAAACTTCCCCAGTATATCCTGCCTCTTCACCGACCTTATTCAGCTTGTGCGCTGGTATGAGCCCCTCGAGATCTTCAACCTCCGTACTCCCGTCACTTCCTCGCGCACTCTTCGTCATAACGCGTAGACTTGGGACACTGTCGCGTAGAGCCAAGATCTTGTCGTTCAAGTTCGTGCGATACCGCTTCTCGATCATATTATGCGCCGTCTTCTTAACTGGCCGCTGGCCGGTCTCGTCGCCTGAGTGATCCTCCTCATTTCCATCCGTGGACGACTTTCGCTTTCTCGTTCGGCTCTGGTGGTCTGGTGATGACATTGTCACCGAACCGCTTTGGCGTCTGCTGGTTGCCGAGTGAGGACTCCTCGAGTGAGGACTCCTGCTTTCTCGTGCACTGGGATATTGGAGGTGAGCCGGCATCGCGATGCTGCGCAGCAGCTCTTGTTGCGCCACCGACAAAGTTCCCATGGCTGGCTGCTGTAACGACTCGACGTTGGGTTGCATGGGAGCGCCCACGCCCATGCCCATCGGAGGGCCGCTCCATGGCAATGGCGCTTGGTCGAGGCCTTCCTGGCTGAATGGTGGGGTATCTTGTATGTCCCAGAACTCTGGGAACATAGGCTCGACGTCGAGATTCAACATGCCGTCGAGTGACGGGGATATTTCAGGGCCGGCCTGGTATTCAGGAAATGGTTGATCGGGCATCATTCCCGCCATCTCGCCGAGTCGACGCGGCCCGTCCGTGTCTTGTGAACTTGGTATTTCGGCGCGCCGATACGCGCAGGCTTGCCGATAAGGCGCAGCGTTTAGAATCCGGGGTAGGGACGGCAAGGAGACTCCTGTATCATCGCTTCGTACGGGGTAAGGGGCGGGAAATGGCGAGTCGGTAGGCAGTGTGAGATGTTTGTTGTAGTAGAGGGCCGAATATCCTGTTTTCGCATGTCTCAGGGCCGAATTGAAAAGGACAAGAGGAAGGGTGAGGGGCGGAAGCGGGTTCCGTTCCCGCAAGAAGGCTGACTGACTACTGTGGGCTTTTGTAAGTACAAGTACAATATTACTGTATGAAGAGAGACACAGAGACACACACGGAACGGCAGAAGTCGCAGCGAGGTTTATGCGGATGACTAATCAACATTGGGCACATGGATTTTCCCAGATCTGCGAACTCTTTTTTATCTATTTTACCGCCACAGTGGAGATTTTGGAGATGGGAATGTTCTGTTTGGCTGCGCGTATCTAGACTGTGCAGACTATGCAGACTACGCGGAATGTCTGCACGTATAGAGTATCATGCACTGAGACAGACATAGCCGACCTTGGAGACTGAGACATCATTAGGGAGTATTAGGTCAGGAAAATCCTCCCATGGCCACGTATTTTGTTGTTTCCCGTACAAGCTGGGCGTTGCTACCATGCATTTCTACAGCAGGATACTATTATATTATGAATGGATTTAGTAAACGATAGGCGATGTATATTACTGTGCATGTGATAAAATGCACGTAGAAGTCGATAGAGTTAGGTTTAAAAAGGAAGATGAGTAGTAGTAGTAAGAATAGTAGTAGGTGTAGGAGGAGGAGGAGGAGTAGTAGTAGTACTTAAGTAACTGGCACTGAATGATGTATGTTGTACCTGTTGGTATCACATCTGCCGAAGCTCTAAAACGACAGTTGTTTGTTCATAGACCGAGACTTTCATAAATGAGAGTTGTTCCTGTTCATAGGGATGTTAGGGATGTTAGGATGCTAGGATGTTAGGCATGTTAGGGGATGTTCGCATTGTACATTCTCAGTCCAGACTTGGTGCCTGACTAGACTCCGGTATATCATGTGATCAGATGTTGTGTTACCGCACACAAAAATATAAAATACCACGTGATAATATGCACAATCCGCGCACAATGGTATACTTTATGCATCACGTGATAATATACAATGTACTCGCACAACGCGATAGAATGTAGTTATCACGTGATAATACGCGGTCTAACCACAACCACATACATAGAGCTCAACTTCTACAACTCGTCCAACAGAATTAACCTTCAACTACTACTACTTAGAATTTATTCGTAGCTACGCTCGATCTCTATTCTACTGCCGTGCCCTCAATATCCCTTCCATGTGTTGTGCGATACTACTCTACTCCTATAGCAGCTCCATCCACCAAAGTCACTTGGCTCTTGGCTTTGTCTCGTTCCTTGCCATATTCGAAACTCACGACGTTGAGAACATGCTTCCGAAACATGACATATCCGCCACCACCCAAATACACCCAATACCAGGGACGCGCTACACTAGAAAACATCACAAACATCATGCGAACCTCGTTCCGGTCCGTGGGGGAAACCAGGGATCGCCCCTTTCGCACAGTGTCGGCGCATCTCATGTCTGAGCCCACTGTTCCGTAACCTGCCAATTGTCTCTTGGTCGAGCCTTCGTGGCCCACCGCCAGGTTTCCCCAGTGAGTGAAAATTTGTCATGGCTAGGCCTGGTAAGCCACCATGTATCATGGTGTTGTTGTGTGGAGAGGTCATGTCCCGAGCCAAGGTGAAGCTACTGTCTTCTCTCAGACCCCTAGACCCTACTCTATCTTTAGTCTCGTCACATCTCAAGTCTTTCCATCTGGAATCCTCATCTCATCGTCGCTCTTGTTGTTGACGCCGGCGCTCATCAATCATGACTGGGTGGTTGTAGCACGCGACATGCCAGTTGTGACGCCTTACATTCTTGTTACCCATAGACTGGGCTTTTATTCTCTTTCGATCTCTTCTTCCTTTTAGTCTGCAGCATAATGGCTATCTCAGACAGCATTCAGACCTTGTCTGCTGCCTTTTCATTGTCGGTATCTCCAAATTGGGTTTGTCTCTCCACTACTAACCATCGTCCAGTGGTATCCTATTGCAAACCGCAGTCTCTTCATTTGTTATTTATCTAAGCGGTCATGGTTCAACTATATTCCAAGACCGTCGGAGGCTGGTCCTCATAACGTTCATTCTATCCTCTGCTCTGTGGGCGCAGATTGGATTTCTTAATTTCTTGATACCCTCCAGGAGCTCGAATATATGTCAAGGGACTATCGCGACATCGACCTTCTTCGACCAAGCCGCACGAACGCTGAGCGGATCCTTTCTCCTCTGGACTGTTGCGCATGTGTCCAAGTCGTCGGCCGAGAAATATGGTCTCGGGTCTCTAATCGGGGCGAGGGCGGTTAGTGGTATTGTGTTTGTTGTATTTACAAGGGCACAGTATGCACCATTGTGCGTGCCACGTTCCGAGGCACTGCCAGTATCGATTCTTGTTATCGGTCTAGATGCCATCATCCTCGGCCTCGTGGCGATACGACTCTTCACCTTGGGGTTCTGCGGCAGCAGTAACGGAATACAGTCGACATCGAACAAAGAACAAGGCAAAGCCCTCGCTCTCTTCACAGCTGGATTTGCCATTTGGACTGGAACGAGCGTGACTCTGCACCTTGGGCTTTCCTCCATCATACTATTGCTACGCACTGCCATTCCCGCCACCGGCCTTGGTATTCTCTTGACTATCGCAGCGATATGGTCCGAAGCATTACTATCGCCGCGCGAAGCAGAAGGTGGGACTCCGGAATCACAGTCACCGTTCATCGCCCCGCCACGCCCCCGATTCAACTCGACCAGTACTGGCGATGGCTCTCCAATGTCTAGTACTAGAGGGGCTACCAATGGACGACTGTTTGTCGTGAACCCATCGAGCACCCCCGGTGATTCGCCACAGCTACAAAGTTATCGGGAGGGGCCACAGTCCAATTTCGGGAATATAATGGTCAATACTCGATCTGTCGATATTGCCACCGGAGTTTTGTCAGCAGAATCCCCCACCGAAAGGCGCTCACTTGGAACTTCCACCAATATTATGGGCGGCGTGACTACTACCATATCAGCCCCACTTCCTGTCATTCCGTCTATTCAAAGATCGAGACCTGTTTGGGATGGCGAGGACCCGGATGCGAAACAGAAGCGGTCTTTCTTCGGCCGCTCCAAGCAATCCGCACAGTCAGGCCCGAGGAAACTCGCGATTTCTCAGCCTATATTGATTAACACGGATGAACCTTCGGGCGCACCCTTAAGAATGCAAACCGTGGATCTTGCTACCGCAGCAGCTAACGAACGAGCTCGGCGTGAAGAGGCGGCCACTCAACGCATTCTCGTGGCCACTCGCCCCGCCCCTGCACCACCGACCGGTTTGGATCCTTCCGAAGCATTGAAGAGAAGCATCAGCACGGTCCGCAAGAAGCCCTCTGGAAACTATCAAGACTTGAAATACCAGACTTCTCAAAGCTCCGTGAGCTCGAATGGAAGTTCTAGTTCTTCAAGCCTGTCTCCCGGTCGTAAAGACGTACGGAGGAGATCTCCACGCCAGCTGAATGGGTTTGATATTGACGAGAAGAGGCAATACTACAAGCCTGCTATTACCAATACTTTACCGTCGAATCCAAAGATTAAGGACTTCCAACCTGTGCCCGAAAAGCGACAAACGATCATGTTCATGAAGGACATCGTCTATGATGACCCCGGACTGGTTGACTCAATTATCAATGAGGTGCCGAACTTTTCAAAGAAACCTAAAGCTCCCATGGACAGGTCCAAATCCGTCGGTCTCGCCGCCAAACCTTCAATCTTGCATCGAGCGCGCCCATACAAGAAGACTAGAGACTCGGAGGGTGTGTTCTTTCCAAGTGAGCCTTCGCCAAACCATCGACGCAACAGATCTAGCTCATCGGTATTGAGAGCTCCTCGCATTGGAAGCCCAACCTTGCTGCCGCCGCTACCCGCGCCACCTGCGGATCTTGCTCAGATGCGTGGATTGTTGAAGGATCATATTCACAACATGACAAATGACGAAAAGGTTTCGATGCTCTTCCCAATGCCCCCAGTTGGTACATTCAAATCGCAACGCCGATCATCTGTTCCGTCGCTACCTAGCAGCGTGTCTGTGTTGTCTATGTCTACCGCCGATGCGCCTGAAGCCATAAGCAAAGACGAGTTCGCCAGCCGTAGATCGTCAAGGCGATCAACTATCATTTCCATATTACCTGTCGAAACGAAGGGCAACCTTTCACCGAAAAAGCATACACAGCAACTCATACAACGAGATACATACAGAAGCGCCCTCAATGCTACTGTTCCTGACGTAGGCAATGATGTTGTTCAAATCAGAAAGTCTAATATCCCGTCTCAGAAAATGTACTCCTCGTCTACAGAAATGACCGATAGCTCCGACGACAGCCATGTGGTCAAAGATGCCGACTGGTTGCATGAGCCATTACCTGCTCTCCCAAAGAGTTACACCGCCCAACGTGATTCATCCTCAAGCACCGCGGATTCGCTCCTTAAAGACCACAAGTTCATGTCGATAATGATGGGTTATGACCCTACCGAAGCCCCTACGACCAGAGCTGGCCCCACCTCGTTCCTCCACGACTCATCGCAGACTTTCGGAACCGAAGGCTTCAAGACTCCCACCGTCAAAACCCCCACCACCGACACTTGGCACACACGTATCGGTGACCAAATCCCAGCGTTTTCGACTAGGCAGAACCACTCCCGTTCTAAATCAGTGCCACCTACCCCTCTTATTCTACGAACGGCAAAGAATAAAGGCTCGTTTGCTCAAAAGCCGCTACCAGCTGTGGTGATAGATACACCTAACCGGGCCTTGCAAGAAATCCAGGCCCAGTTAAAGCAGCTCGAGGAGCCTGATATGCTACCTTTCATTCGCGATAGGTCGTCTAGCCTTGGCGACGCTACCCAGGACCAGCGAGATGATCTTCTTGCTGAGATGGAAAAGGAGGTTGGCGAGCAGGAGAACAGATGGCAACGGCTTCATGAGAACATTGATCGCGACTCCAAGAGTTCCGAGGATTTCACTCCCTGGACTACGAGGCGCAACTCTGTTGCTTCTATCACTTCAATCAATACTGTTTCCATCAAGGAAGCTAGAAAGGCTCGAGTTAGGAGTATTGTGGAGGCTGCCCAGAATATTGTTACTGTCACCAGCACGCGCAATGGGGAGATCGCAAAGCCAGGGTTGTGGAAAGACAAGTTGGAGGAGGCTCAAAAGTCATATGCTAATAATGCGCCATCTTTCTCAAATTCGCTCTCAACGGCAAAGGTTGTCACGGCTAAGCAAGCTTCTATTAGAGCAGTAGTTGCTGGGGGCTGTGCTGTAGTTGCAATCCCATGTCCGAATCAACGTACAGGTAGACCGCATCTCTGGAAGCCTTGCTCTCCAAAGGCCGTACAGGTAGTTGGCCTCATGTGGACTCTCCCTCAACAGCCTATCCAGGTCCGCCCATCCTCGTCCGAGCCTGCCGCCTTATGTGTCAGACCAGCACAACGACGAACCATCGAGCCTCTTTATCTTGAAAGCTTGTATATGTGGCACATGCCAACTCCTAGCCGTGTCCGTCCGACAACTGGACTCTGGCGCTCTAAGAACACACGACCGGCAAGTATCGTAACCCGCCCAAAGACTCAAAAGCCCATTCGGAAGTCCAGAGCAATGACATTTTTACCTGATATCGGTATGTACATATTTTCTTTTGATCGTCATCCTCTTATTATTTTTACATACTAATTGCTTTGTCACTAGTCGAAAGCCCTAGCCCACTACCACACAAAAGGGATACTTTAGGCATATTCCAGTTCCCGTGGGGGGAAAAGAGTGACCAGGCGGTGTACCAACCCGCGTTGCCTACTATATCTAACCTCCCACGTCTCATGATCCCAAACACACTCGGATCCAACGATTTTAACGAGGAGTACTCGTCGTCATTTTTCGATGACTACGACGACCAAGATTACCACTCTGACTCTACCTCGCTCGATGCCGACACTCCCAGAGACGAGGCCAGCGACGATGGATTCGATGACTCTACCCTGTGGGAAATCGCCAATCTTCTAGATTCGTCCGATGTCCCCAGCAGACATAGCCTGCTGCCACAGATTAGAATTATTGAAGACTACGACGACTCTGACGACGAGGTTGTCCCAGCTGGCAGGGCGCCTGTTGTTAGATTCATGCCTATTATGCCTTTGAGCCCGAATCCTAAGAGCCCGGGCCCAAAGAGCCCTATGGATAGTGATCCAGAGGTACTTGCTCTTACCCCGCTTGGTGGAGCCCAGATGCAATTCCCAGCACCTCTCACTTCTTCAGTCGAGCCAGAAGCATTCATTACAGACATTCGTCCGGATGGTAGATCTGCTTGGTGGGATGGGAAATCGCACCTTCCAAGCGGCCCAAGAGACACCGTTGCCTTCAAGAAGAAGCAGGCTCTAAAGGCTTCCGCTTCCAAGGCGACGTCTTACCTTTGGACACCGCCCAAGACTAAGGTAGCTGCCGTTTCGAGCGGGCTTTTCACCCTCGATGCCTCCAAGGTCAGAGATGTTACCACCCAAGAGCCTGCAGCTATTGCCATGTTCACCAAACCCCGCCCAAACACGGCTCCTCTACCAATAATCTCCTCAACCAAGCTGTGGTCTGATAGCCGTCGCGTGTCTGTTTTCACGTTCGACTGGATCTCTGAGTCTACTGTCCGCCCCACGAGCCCGTCCGTTGGCACTTCCTCGGGGAATACTTCTCCAGGAATGGTAACGGAGTCGGACGATTACTCAGTGAGGACTGTCAGCACGAAGGCTTCCAGCCTTCAAAGCGAGCGAAATGCTATTGCTATGGATGTACCATTCATGCTGGTGGAATCGTTTTCGGCCAAGGAAATAAAGAAGACAAAGCCACGATCGAGGCCGATGAACGCTGCAACACCAGCAGAATGGGATGCCGCCTTGAAGGAGGCCATCAAAGCATCTGCCATCCCGGCAAAGAAACTAGGGGCTACAAAGGAAATGTGGGCGCATGCGCTCGAGGAAGCTTTGCGAGCATCAGCACAAAAGCCCGTCAAGGCGGTTCAAAGCCCAACCAAGAAGAGCCTTTGGTCGACTGCAATTTCTCTTATAAGACCATCTGAGAAGTCTACACCTCTCTGGTCTGTACAAAAATCACAGGGCGCAAGTAAGGTAGCAAGCATTACTCCCGTCGCTGACCCAGCATTCAAGAGGTCGTCGGTAAAGATTTCCTCGGAGTTGCCAAAACTCGATTCTACAAGCCTGTGGTCGGTGACGCAGCCGGCGGCTGCCACGGCTACGGTTCGTAGCTGGCTACACGAAGCTCCCCCGGTTTCTCAGGTTCAGTTGGTTGTGACTCAATCTCTTCCCATCATGTGGGCGCCTCCCGCACAATCGCCATCGAGCCCCACTTCTTTTTCTTCGTCTAAAGACCTCTGGCAGCCTCGCGGCTCTCAATCAGAACAACAAAATCCAAAAATGATAATAACGAGTATTACTCCCACCATTAGCCCAGCATTCAAGAAGTCGTCGGCAAAGATAACTACGGAGCTGCCAAAACTCAATTCTACTGCCCTGTGGTCGGTCACCGAGTCCGTGGCTGCTACCGCCACCGTGCGTAGCTGGCTACACGACTCCGCCATAGAGTCACCGGTCCAGCCGGCCGAGGTCCCTCAAGTTATCAACACCGGGTTATGGACGCCGCCGGCTCCAGCGCAACCCAAACCCGTTTCTACGTCTAAGGGTCTTTGGGAACCATCTGCGCGCATTCCGGCGCAGCGTTCAGCACCAATTACGCTTTTTGCCGAGCCGATCAGCGCGCCTTCACCTGCTACGGGGCGGAAATCCAAGACGGTCGATCTGGAGGAATTGCCGGCGCTGGAGAGCTCGCAGCTTTGGAGCTTGGGGCGTGCAACTGTGCCGAAGGAGGATAAGATGAAGAAGAGGAGGGACTGGATCCGTGAGAGGAGGACTAGCAAGGTCAACTTCAGGTACTAGTTGTTGGAGAAGGCAAAGGAGAAGGAGAACATGTAGAAAAACCATTTAGCGTCAGACAAAGGTTAACGTCCATCTACACGTACCGAGAAACCAACTGTGCTGAGAAAAATGATATGTATTTTGACTTGAAGCATCTCAAAATCTGTACATTTATAAATATGTCTATTTTTGCATAGATCGTATTCTACTCTAATCGTAGGTGGAAGCAAGTTGCGCGCACTCGCTTAAAAGTAGAAGCAAGTTGCGTGCGTTCAAATTGCGACCGTAAGTACCTAACCATAGTAAATTGTATACAAAAGTACTTATAAATTCAATTCTACGAAATTATCACTTCCTCATTCCCACTCTCACTCCCACGCCCACTCCCACGCCTACTCCCACGCCTACTCCTACCTACACTAGCACTATTATACTAGCTCTTAGGCTTAGCTTCTAGGCTAGTAATTAGGTCTTCTAACTCTAGAGGAATTAGAAGGCCTAATTTAGTAAGCTAAGATAGGCTCTTCTTCTAGAGGCGCTCCTATTTCTAGGCTTCTATAATATATAAGAAGAATTTATAATAAAAGTATATGTTTTCTTTCCTATTATACTATAATATACTATATTAGCTTATAACCCCTTATCTATATATTAAGTTTCCTATATAACTATATATATTAGAACCTATAAGGATGCCCTATCCTTAATATATTCTTAGGACTAGACTTAGAGCTAAGGTGGTTATATATAGGGAGCTAGGGGCTAGCTAACTAAGTTAGAGCTATTTTAGATACTTAGAGGAATAGACTTAAGGGGTTCCCTCTTTATCTTTTTTATATCCTTTATAGTAGACCTATAAGATTATACTAACTCCTATCTAACTTATACTTCTATATATAACTACTTATAATATAGTGCCCTATATCCTTATATATAGCTAACGTATTTTATAAGCAAGTGGCCTATATAGGTAAGTAGCCTACTAAAACACTAGAATGTATTAACGTAATTACAGTTAATATACTATAACTAACATAAGCCAAATCCTCTAATTAGGAGGGTAGAATACTATTTGCTATTAGTACAATTAGACAAGGCTAATTTTAAAGTGTTTAAGAAGCTGTAGCATTATATAATATCCCTTAAACGACACTATGTTAACGAATTTAAGGAATAGCTTCCTCTTACAACTCTATCCCTAACTTATAGAAGTTAACTCTATATAAAGAGTTAGCTCTTATTTAGTACATCCTTAACCTAGATTTACATAGATTTCTACCTTAGCTATAAGGTATATAAGAAATAGTAGACCTTTTACTTTCTAAATAAGGTGTAAGCCCTATTAGGAAGAACTAGACTACTAACTTTATAAAGCGTTATATAGAAATTAAAGCAAAGTTTAGTTAGAAGTATAATTATAAACAAGCAAAATGTAAAGATCTTAAGATAATTTAAGGGTAGTTTACTCTTATACAAAACATAGTTGTAAAATATAGAATCTTAGAGCAGGATATCTACAACTTTAATAAAGCAGGTTTTATAATAGGAGTTATTACTACTATAAAGGTAGTTATAAGCTTAGAAGTAAAGAGCTATCTAAAGACTATATAGCTTAGAAATAGAGAGTAGGTGTTAATTATCTAAGGTGTTAATTTGTATAAATAGGCACTCTTACTATTTATTATTTTTAAGGTATAGAATTACCTCTCTACTTAGTATAAGGACTTAAGATTACTAGACAATTAGGTAATTACACTAAGTAAGAATAGGTAGACTTTAAATTTAATTAGGTATAAGTAGATTTAACATTTCAATTAGTATACAAATGCTTATATAGTTAGAACCTATTACCTTCTTATTCTTAACAGATATAAGAGCTACCTCTCTACTTAATTTTAATACTACTATATAGAATAGAAGATAATTACCCTCTATATACCACTATACTTATTATATATTCTTTAGCCTCTTAATGTAAGCTACTTTACACTACTAAAGCTTTTATATAGAAAGTAGATTAAAACCTTTATATAGAACTAGCTAAACTACATTATAAAGCTTAAGTTCCTCTCTACATTTAAAGAAGCCTTTAAAGCTACATTTATAGAGTAGAACATTAAGAGTAGGTTCTAAGCTATAAGACTAGTTCTATATAAGCTGTAGAATGTCCTCTCTTACTTAAATCTATAGTTAAGGACTCTAATGTTATAGCTAAAACATACAACCTATATACTATAGGATAAAGTAATAAGGTAAAATAGCTTATAGCTAATTAGTAGTAGGAAATGGACATAGAGATTATAGGTAGCTTAGTTAATAAGGGCACCTTTAGGAAAAGGTACCTTTCTTAGAAGGTACCTAGTAAAAGAGAGGTGCCTATTAGGAAAGGCACCTATATAGAGCAAGGTACCTCCTTAAAAAGGCACCTATAGGAATCAGTACTTGTAATAAGTATAGCACCTCTTATAGGACACATATGTAATTAGATTAGTAGGAATAGTAAGAATAGTTAGAGAGTCTACTATTCTAACTATTCCCTTTAGTATAACGCTACTATATAAGTAGATAGATAGTTCTTAGATAGGAGCTTCGTGCTTAACTTAATATAGTATTTGTTATATACTATAATGTGTTTTATAAAAGCCTTTAGTGTCTAATCCCCTACCTCCTCTATTAAGTAACCTAACATAATAAAACCTCTATAAGTCTTATAGTTAAGACCTAGCGTTACACTTTAAGCACTACTTCTATAAGGTACTAGCTTATATAGTAAAGCAACTATAGCTCTAACTATTCTAAGCCTAAGAGGGAGTGTTATTAAACAACCTAATACACTAACCCTATAGTTATTATAGAACATTCTACTTAAGAATAAGGAGATGCTAGATACACTACCTATTATGTTAGAACTTAAGGAGACTCTTTAAGTTAAGCTCCCTAACACGTTCTCTAGTAATAGAAAGGAACTTAAGGTATTCCTACTATAGGTTAAACTATACTAACACTTTAATAATAACAAGTTCCTAACTACTAAAAGCTATACTATATAGACAGCCTCCTACTTAAGAGGAGAGGCTCTCTAATGGATTAAACTATTCCTTAAAGACTATTTTGCCTATAAAGACATAATAAGCATAATGGCTACAACTAACGTTATCTTTAGTAAATAGAAGGGGTTTAAGAAGGAAATATAATGTATATTTAGCAACATCAACAAAGTTAAGACTATAGAAGACTACCTATATCTGTTGAAACAGACAGGAAGTGTGTTAATGTACTCTACTAAGTTCTAGAGGTATAGTAATTAAACTTACTAGGATATAGAAGCGCTTATTAGTTACTATCGCTATAGCTTAAAAAGTTATGTCTACCTAGAACTTATATAAATAGAGAATCAGCTTATAGATATAGTGTTGCTAATTAAACACATAGTCTAAATCAACAACTAGCTATATAAGTTCTAGAAAGAAAAAAGGAACTATAACAAACTAAAGAAGTATAACAGCTACTAAAAGAATGAAGGTAGAAGATAGGACAACTACTAGCAAGACAACTAATGGTTAGATCCTATAGAACTTAATGCTACGTTTAAGAACGAGAGATCCTACAACCCCTAAAAGGAAAAGCAAATTAAGGAGCAATTGTACTTTAATTATAGTAAGCCTAGCTACCTAGCTAGGGACTATAAGCAACTAAGGAAGGGGAACGAGGGGTATAAGTTTAAGAAATAACTAAACGCTATGTTTATAGACAAACCTAATTAGGGAGTTAATAGTGTTAGCACCCTAGAAGGGCAGAGCTTAGACAACGAGGATCTTAACAAGTTTAATGCATTGCTTAAAGTTGAAAACAAACGCCTAAACAAGGGATTAATAGAATCCTAGAAACTTAGGCTAAAAGAGTTTAAAGAAGATGTAAAGGGGATTACCTTTAAGGAGAATCTACTAGGAGTAGTAGATATCTATAGGCAGAGCATGCTTTATAAAGGGACCCTCTAAGCGATTCCTATGCCACTACCCCTATTAGGATAGATAGGCACTAGACAAGACTAGGAAGTTATAGTTTGTACTATAAGGTGTTGCCCTAGATACCTATAAGGGAGGGAACCCTAAGGAGCAAACTACACTGCTAAGGAAGCTACTATTTAGTTAAAATACAAGCTTATAGAATATAACGTATAAGACGAACAATAGGAAAACACTTAGGGACCTAAACCCTAGGAGCTACAAGTAGACTAAGCTGCTATAAACTATAAACCTACTAATAGGGATATAGAAAGGTTATATATAACTATAGAGAAATCTAAGCTTATAGGTAAGGCAAAAGAGGAATAGGAATTAACAAAATTAGATGCATTAAGGATTAATTATCCCTAGCACCTATATATATTCTAGGAACACTATAAGTACAATAACTATAAGAGTTACCTATAAAAAAAGAACTAGTATTAATTATTTCTAAAAATTGCACCTTAGGTCTACTTTATAGATATAGACTAAATTAATGCCCTTAGACAAAGCTAGTCTAAAGGAGAACTACCTTTAAAGAAGCAATAACAATAGGTATATAAGAAATACCTACACCTGCTAGATAAAGTAGAGGGATAGGGAAGACAATCTTCCTAAGGACTGCCTATAGAGGATGATGAACATTACTATTATTCCTTAGATAAGTTAAAAAACTAGGAGTCCTTAACAGTAGGCTACTAATAAGCAATAAGAATAGGCCTAGGACGAAACAGCTATGTGCTATAAAAGGCAGTATATAGCTATATATAGTTACTAAGATATAACAGCAACACCTCTAAGCAATAATTAACTTAGGAGCAATAGGCAACTTTATAACGAAGAAAGTAGTAGAAACGTAAGGTTTTAAGACATAATTAAAAACTAATCCTTACCTACTAATAGTTATAGATAGAGAGCCTATCTTAACTAATAAGGGGATAGTAACCTACAAAACAGTCCTATTAGAAATAGTTATGCTATGTAGACATAGGGAAACAATCTAATTTAACATTATATATAGATAATTATATATGTATCCTTAGTATACTATAGCTTAAGAAACACAACCCCTAGATCAACTAGTAGAACAAGAAAGTTATAATGAGCTAATGTGTATAT